TTTGATTGGATCTGTAGGTTGCCGTGGTTTAAAAGCCATCAAGTACTCAACATGTCGTAGATTCGAGATAAATAATGAAGATATCAAAAACCAGTTTAAAATGTCTAAAGTGGGATGTGAGTCGATATGAATCCCCTATCGCCACAAATAAAAACAGCTCTTGAAAAAAAGAAAGAAATCTGAGCAGTTAAATGTTAGACCAAAAAATAATGGTTGCCCATACCTTGTATATCCTGCCTTTGTAGTAAAATAAAGCACTCGTTTGCCAGAATGTAATATCTTATTCTAACTTGGAAACCTTGAAACAAGAAAATTGCAATTTAAAAGTATTAAATCCATATCATATTTGCAAGCAAGAAAAAATGACGTAAAAATGTTCAAGGCGAGTCGTTTTGTTTGAAATTGGTCTCGGCATATTGCTTCTCTCGACGAGAAAATAAAATAAAATGAACAGGTGGAAATTGTCCCTCGAGGAACTAAGTAAATTGATTTTAGCAACATTTCTCCTTTTCCGGCATGTTTTATTCTATACCGTGTTAAAATAAATCAGCCTTCTTCTTTTCCGCAAAGCCGAAATTTGCGAAATGCTTCAGGCTCACTTGACAATTCCTTTCATATGCAAATTGTACGAAATGAGAGAAAGAAAAAGAGCTCTAAAGTTGACGCGTTTTCGACACATCGGATTACTTTTTCCCTTTGAAATGAAGTCTTCAAATGAAATGCCACTTACGTTTTTTGTCCATAGCTATCGGCAATCAATTTATAATTTAGAAAGACAGCTAAGGTATAAAGCCAAAATCTTCTACAGTACAAATGGCAGAAAGTGATTTCTTTGACACGTATCGTACAAAAAATTAAACATTTTTAAACACATCGCGATGAAAAAACAAATTGTAGTAGCAAAACTTACCAGGTTTTAAAAGTAGCAAGATCAAATATCATAAGATGTATATTGCCACTTTCCCGCATAAGAGATTCAGACGAAGTCCAACCTTAGAAAATACAACAAAAAGAGACTCCCCGCTGGGATACACCTGTGATCTATTACTTTGAGAGACTCCTTACTTCATAATGTTCGCGTTTTTGCTCTTAAAATTCTAACAGAAGCTTTATCAGTGACTTAGTACTCTATCAAGAATTCTTTTTTTAAAAACACGCGGACATGCGGTTAGAAACAATGCAGATTTGTGCACCTTTCAAAAACCAACCTTGCGGTCTACAGCGATGTGCGCGCCAAAATAATTGGACCTTTTGTTATCAAATTATGTCCTCAACCGGAGAATAATTACCATACACAAAACAACTCGAAAACTTGTCAAAGATTAGTTTACAAATGCGAGAGATATAAGCCAGATTAGCAGCTCCTTAATCTACGGATAATAAAGTAAGACCGTAAGTGTCTTTGACCCGAAAATTGAGCTTACTAAGTTATGATAAGAAGATGCGTCTTAAGCGAATGGCCGATTTTTACAGCTCGCGTGCGCTTTTTTCAACTTTCAACTAATTGTCGTGCAATTACAACACGCGTGGTTTTCAAATGAGAATTTGCTGAATTGTTCATGGAAGAGTTACTTTCTATTAGTTCGGCGCAGAGAATTAAGATTACTGTGCGAAATCTGATAACTATCAAATATTCTTCGGATAATTCTACCATTGGCTGATTACTTCAGATCAGAGATCTGCTCGGTTTAATTAAAAGTTCTTCTTTTTCGGCATTTCGTAATTAAAGTTAATTGCAATCAGTGAAAAAAGAAAACGTGAGACTTTGATAACAATTAATTCTGTCAGTTGATATTCTCGATTAGTCCTTAAAAGCCTCGTGAGATCAATTTTTTCCAGAAATCGAGGAAAATTTTTCTTTCCAAATTGAGCTGATGCTAATATCGATAAAAAGTTCTTTAAGTTTTTTCAAATTCAGCAAAAACTTGCGTTCCTTTCGCCGATTAAAAACAGTTCAGCATTGTTTATAAACGGAAGCTTGGAATACAAACGATTTTAAAGATCAAACTTAAAATTATTAGTCATTTTGTGTATTAAAAATATTTTGAGATAACATCGGGACCTACTAATCTGGGTTAAGATTGTTTCGAAATTGCTAGTGTTATGTTGCTTTGTTTGGAAAACCTCCTGAAGGAAATGAAACAAATCAAAGCGATCGTGGATTGAATCTTAAGCCAACAGCTAATCGTGGGAAACGAAACGTAGACCGCCCCTTCTTTTTGCTGGGTAAGGAGCGTGGGGTGAGATAACGACACGCAAGTGGTTATGGTTTGGTTATGGTTCACGCGCATGCGTGAGTAAGAAAATAAAGTTTAGTTGTCTTAGTAACGTCTAGGTTTCATATCAGACAACCCTGTTAAGTGTTAATCAGAAAATATATTTCATTTGTTTTATTTGCTTCTTAAAGACATCAAATAGTAATGGAATTTATTTTCAAACGCTTTGATTTTCCCCCTGCATGTTGAGTAAGATGATGTCTTCATCCACAATTAAAAAAAGTTGCAGAAAAGATGCATGTAAAATCATGCTTTGATGGGATTCGGACCCATGCCTCCCGGTTACTGGTTGGGCACTATTACCAACTAGGCTACGTAGCCACCTATTTGGAGCGAGGTAAATTAAGTCCGTTGTTCATTCCATTAAGGAATCGAATCGGGTTAGATCTCATTCGCGCGCGACAAGGTACAAATATGGTAGCCAAGTTTACAGTAGCCTGCTGAACAGGCTTAACTTGATGCATTTTTTAAGGACAATTTTCTAAGGATGCAAGCGCATAGCGGAGGCAAGCGCTAGCGGAGGAAAGCACTGGCGCAGGCAAGCGCTTAGCGGAGGCAAACGTAAGATCAATGACATTCTTTAAGTCTAACGCACGGCACTCACGGAAAACAGCTTTTAGTGTTATAGTATATAGTTTGAGTTTTAAATATTCTAGCGTATGTGATATGTATTTTTTAGGCTGATGAATTGACCGTGTTTAAATAAAAATAAAATGAAATGAAATGAAATGAAAGCACTATTGCAGGGAAGCACTTGCGGAGGCAAAAAAATAAATTTGCTGAATGAAAGAAAAAAGTCTTCGCCTTAACGACTTGAGAAATTGCTAGGAAGTAAAAATTTGCGATCTCAGCATTACAGAATCAGTGCGAGATTCCGCCTGATATTTTGATATTCTCAGTTTCCCTGACAACGCGGTCTCAATCTGTAGCGACTCGACTCTACCTCTCTTTCTAAACAGGTTACCCAATCTCTCAAGTTCGTGTGATTCGTTGAAGATTGACACAAGTAGCTTATTTTTAGCGATTGCTATTCTGAACTCCAAAATGGTGGTAAGATAAGACAGTCGGAGCGATAAAACAGTTTCGGAGCGTTTCCAGAAAGTTCACTATAAGCAAAATTGCATGGTGTTGTAATGGTGGCTAACAAACAAACTCAGAATTCCTAAGAAAACTCCCACATTTTAAATTCACCACCTATTCTAATAGCTCACTCTGAATTAATTCGAATTCGTGCATGAGCTTTACTTCCAATTTTACAAATTCCACTCCAATTCTCAAACTTTACTCCAAATTCGAAGAGCTCACTCTGAATTCTAAGCTTACTTCAAATTTTAAAAGCTCACTCCAAATTCTAAAATTTCACTCTGAATTCGAAACGCTCACTATGTGATTCTAAACGACTCCACTCTGTATTCTAAAGGTTCATTCACAGTACTAAACTCCGTCTACTTTGGAAAAATACAGCTTTCAAAAGCAAATGTGAACAAAGTTGAGATGAAGCATGATCTCCCGGTGAAGCTGTTTGCCACGAAAATTTACGCCTAACGGAGATTATGACGCGTTGATGGTTTATAAAACTTTTAAATAAAAATGCCTTTTTCCCAATAACTCGGGCGCGTTTTAGGATTTTAACTTCAATTTTTGGAAAATAGTTTGAATTATTTATTGAATATACTCTAAAAAAATTTGACTCAGTTTCCGAGGCTTTGCAGTACAATTCTTTTAAAAGTAATAAAAAAGTCAATAACAACGATAAAACATTTGAAATAGGTGTTACAATCTTGCCAATTTACAAACGTTGGGATTATGGGATTCCAAGGACAATGTAGCTTTAATGAAAGAGTGATCGTATCATTAGGGACTTGGATATTGATGGGGCGATTCAAGAAAGATGCCATTTTAATGTTTTTCGCAATTTATGGGGACTTGATGCACTGAGGATCTCAGTTCAACAGAAATTTGGGAATCACCTCCTCACAGGATAAGTAAATAGATAACATAACGAGAGAATCATCATTTTCTCTTGATAGCGTAGATACCCGTACCTCCCACGCCCGATGAGGCTTCCACGGTCTTGCTGGCCCCCTAAGTCACTATTAGCAGTGTTTCCAATTTCTGAAAAACTTTCTTTATTTAAAATTTTTGCATTAAAAATAAGAATAACGACCTTAATCCAAGAAATATAAATATTTCTCTTGTTCTTTAAGCCAAACAGAAGAGGGGTCCTGTACTGATAGGAGCGGAGCCAGATGACCTTCTTTCAAACTGGTAGATTATACGGAATCGTACAATCCAAAAGGGAACAAAAATCAGGTTCATTCACGATTTAGATTGAAGAAATGTTAAATGGTTTCCGTGTTTACATGATGTAAACACGGGGGAGGTTGGGAGAACACGAGATAAGCGTAGGAAACCACGACGCGAAGCGGAGTGGTTTCCAGCTTATCGAGTGTTCTCCTAACCTCCCAAGTGTTTACATCAGGCTATGTAAACAAGGAAACCATTTACATTTCTTTTATAAAATAACTAATGAAAGAAGAACGAAAACCGTGTCTACATACGCTCATGTAAAATGGTTTTATGGCCAATCAAAGCGCGCGTACTATTTGAATTATTTTATAATACTTCTTCATTCCCCAGTTATCTGCTTTTTATGCGCCTTTTTACCGCCCAATGTGTCACCCAGAGATTTATGTGGTCAGCAGATTGCTCGCTAAAAGGCGGGTCTTCCCAAACATGGCGGACGAAGCATGTCTCTTCCTGCATCACCTCACTAGACTTAATTTTTGTTAGAAGCCTTTTTCCTTAACGTGGATTCTAGCTGAAGCTGGTGGTATGGCAAACCTTTACCTTGAATTTGATGAGGACGCTGGGAACAACACTCATATTATACCGAAATGTTACGACGTAAAAGATGTAAACGCAAATTCCTCACAGAGGCAGTTGTTGATAAATTACATGGCAAAAGATGGAGGAATTCCCGTCAATTTTGGGTTGAATATCTTAGGATGGATGGTAAGCGTCGTGTCTGATCTCTATGCTGTGCTTTATTGTCTTAATTTTTTGCCTTGCTGTACATTCTATTACTTTTATTAAAACTATCCGGTCTGATGAAAATGAAAATGAAAAACGAAAGCATGTAAATGTAGTCGCTCATATTGACAGTTTCGTTAGATCAGATTGGAGGTCGTTGTATCGATGCCCGATTCTGAGTAATTTCACCGAATGGTAGTCTGAAAAGCTCTCTTGTATTTTTAGTTTTATTTGAAAGTATTTATTCTGAGATTTGTTTGTGTGCGAGACAACATTTTTCGACCTTTCGACCGGGCAGCCGCGCGTAGGATTTAATAACAAAAAAACAATCACTTTCTCTGTTCCCGAACACCTTGCAAATACTGCAACTTTAGGGAAGCAGAAAATTATTTCAAACTTCTTTCCGATGGAGATAGATGATCATTCTGCAGCAGAAAGTTGACAAATTATATTATGGGCATGGTGATTTGTAAGTCCTACATTTGTTTTCAACCTGCTCGTCTCTCTACTTGATGCACTATTGCATAATATTATGTTAAGTACTCCTTTATATCGAAATTAGAATTGAAAATAGCGATTTTATGCGGTCATTGGTTAGAATATCAGACAATTTGGTCTAGAAAGCGGGCAGTTTTTCAAATCTTTGTCCCAAACGTCTTTTCCCTACTATTCGATTCCTTTGTTGTTGAAATTGAAGCAGGTGAATTATGCCAGCTACTGTTCATTCATTATGCAAAAATAATTTTGTGAGTTATTACTTGTTTGCCGAAACATGCATCAAAATATGTTCTTCTCTTAATGATGTACAATAAATTTCTTTAGGGAGTTGTCGGTTCAGATTTTTCATACATATTTACAAGTGTACTTAAATTTTTGGTATCAATGTTATTTTATATACTTAGGAAATACAGCCAAAAGATTTATTTCCCTTCAAATTGTTTTGACTGTTGAAAATTGCTGTGAACATGATTTGATAATGCTTTCCTTATTTTTATCTGCATGGTTCTGAAATGCCATCATATAATTTGCTAATTTTACTACAAGTTCCTTAGTTTTGAAAAAAGATATCTGGCAGCTGCAAAAAATAAAATTGAGCTTTTCTCTTTTTTTTTTCCATTTAATATAAACATTTTATATTATAGTGAGGTCAGCTACAGGTAACAAATAATAAAAATAAACCCCACAATATGAGGAATTATTTTGTCTTTTCAAAGTACAGTTGTTATTTGGTTAGAAGGTGCATTAGGAAACTTTCTCCTCTCTAGGAAAATTGATGTCAAACGCAGGGTGTGTCTTATGATATATGGAATTCTTTACAATTTTTTCCTTTCTTTTGTGTTTGAAAAGTGATAATGATATCATCTACAAATACATTTACTGACAAGGTCAATATATTTTTCCAGACATGTCAGTAAATTGAGGATGCATGCATTTTATCTTTGAGTGAGAAATATGAACAAAAGATTATTATTGAGTTAGCCTTTACATTTATGGAATCAGCTTTTTCTTAATATTGAACAGTTGCCTTATTTTAAGCATTTTCTGCAATTAATGTAATTTGGTCTCTCAAACCTAAAGGCCAGTTCTAAGTATAATTGTTGCCTCTCATACTTAATATTATAACTTTTGTTAACATTTCTTAATTTTTTAAACCTGCACATCTCTTTTGGTACATTTGTGAGTTCAAAACAAGTGACCTATCAAAAGTTGACGCAAGCAAAAATAAAGGGGTTGGATATTGGTGTCAAAGTGTGGGGTTGTACTGTTTTATTTATGGGAAAAAGCAGACTTTGAGAGAACTTTTTGGCTGTAATTTCCAAAACTTTTATGTTGAAAGAATCCACTGAACAGTTAATATCAAAAACTAATGGCTTCATTTATTTTTAGCCATTGGTATACTGTGATATCTACAATCTTATTGTATTTCATTCTTTATTCACTACAGTTTATTACAGATGATTCTCTTACTTCATTTTTTTATTACATTTATTATTTTTGTAATACATTGGTGATTGTCATTTGTTTCATACATGAGCCACTGGCTCTAAGTCTTAAAGGCAATCTTATCCCATGTTATGGCTGTAATGTATTGACTGATTGATTGGAGCAGACAAATTCTTATTAAATTCTGCAAGTGGTAAGGTATTGTTCTGTTTATTGTACAGGCATTAATTACAAGTTTAAATCGAACACAGTTTGAAACATCTTTTAAAACTACTGAATACAGAGATCATTTGCACATTAACTTAACTTACAGAAAAAGTGACTTCAACTTCCATCATAATATAAAACAAGCACTCTTTTACAAAAAAAAAACATTTTAGTTCAAAGTTAATTGAATTCAACCTTGATGGTGTTTAGTATAGGTTTTTGTTTACTTCATGTCAATTTGCTCTGCAAGGTTTTTTGGAGAAAACTTTTCAGAGCTGTGGTGTATCTCTTTCTATAGATTGTTTTCATCTTGTTCTGTGTCATTCGCCGACTTGTGTGGGATTATGGAAGACTAGCTCTGATACAGAAGGAAGACCAAGGGTATGTATGGTATTGTAAATTTAGTAAAGGACAATTATTGCACATTGATTTTTCAAATAACCATTTTGCGACTGTGACACAGATTTAGATAACAGTAACATAAATACTGTCATGTCATGTCCAGGAACATTCAGTGAAAGCAAGTCATGTGAGATTGTTGTGGTTCTTATTTTAGATGGACTGAAATGTTCTATGGATCAAGGCAAACATCTGAGGAGGGACGTGCAAGTCAGGAAGGTGGTATGAATGCTGCAGAAACTGTTGAATTTCCAGCTGTCAAAAGCAAGGTTAGTATTTGGTTACATGCATTATGCATGTAGGAAATTTAACCAATTTAACCCTTTAACTCCCAAGATATCATCAGTAATTCTCCTTTCTGTTCATGATATAGTTCCTGTGATGTTAGTTTGGAGAATTTGGTATTAGATCAACTAGTAATCCCCTAATTGGTATTTTTCTTTTTTCTCATCACTTGTCTATTTGATATTGTAAGGAGAAAATCTATCTTGGTCACTCATGAGAGTTAAAGGATTAATGGGATTTGCTAACTGGTAGGGCAATCCTTTTAACTTTCAAATTTTGAAGAATTCCAAACAATTTTTGGCAGTAATAGGAGGTGGTGCAGGTGGTAAATTTTACCAGTGACTGCCTGAAAATTAGAACACTGGTGTTTGACTTCCTCTATTTAATAACTATCCTTGGTCCCTTGGTTTGACATTGCCTCTTTAATTGTATTGTATGGGCTGGTCCTAAGAAAAAAATGCTGCTTTTAAAAGTGAAAAAAAAGTTTGAAAGAGTGCTTTCTTGCAATTAACATGCTCAAAAAAACAGCTGTGAAAAGTAGAATTATTGCTGGGAGTGAAATCTTGCAATTGCTGTATAGAATCTCTTTTATTTCAGGGTCCATAACTTAAAATTACTCATAAATGGGGGTTCATTTGCTCAATAAATAGCAAGAAGGAACTTAGTTGATCATTAAACAAGGGTATTGTAATCAGTTTTGTAGATTTCCAAGCCGTGTATTTATATAATGTTTGAAATCCAAGATGGCAGATGATTAAAATAATTCTTAGAAATGATGTGTTTTCTTGCACATGCCCAACAGTGAGACTGCCCTTTTTAACCAATTTTCCTAGTTTGTGCATTTTGTTTAGTTGAAGCAAATCAGCTTGTTTCACCATTTTGACCAGTAGAAGCAATTCAGCTAGTTTGTATTATTTTAGTTAATTTGACCATTTTAACCACTGAAAGAAATTGAGCTAATATTGTGTTTAATTCATATTGCATCAATATATCCTTGTTTTCAGGGTCTTTTCTCATGGATACCTGTGTTCATGAGAGTGACAGACGAGCATATCCGTCTGAAGTGTGGCGTAGATGCATTTCAGTATATAATATTCCAGAAGCACCTTATAGTTTACAGTGTGATTATATTCTGTCTGTCCATTGGTATAGTTCTACCAGTCAATTACACTGGAACCAATGGTAAGTGGGCCAGGAGTGAAACATGAAGCTTAGGTACATGTCTTCTGTTTTAGTAAGGAATGAAAGGGGTAAGTTTCTAAAGAAACTGTGGTACTGCATTGGTGGGAGAGTATAACAGGGTAATTTAGTATTATCAACTGAGGTTAATAATACTAAATACTAAATACTAATACTAAACCATTTGCCCTGATGTGGGAAATGTTGACTTTTGAAACGCTTTACAATGGCCAATCTACATTATCAACTCAGTTGATAATATTAAATTATTCTGTTTTAGCAACTTTTTTCAGGGTGGGAGGGGAGGGGGAAGAGGGAGATATGGAATCTGTTCAACTGATTCTCTTTTATTCACATTCACTACAAAGGCCATTTATATCCTGAGATTAATTAGTCTCAGTCACAGAATCTGTACATTGATGATGAGAAGCCACTTATATTTAACCCTAAGAACACATCACCATAAAACTCTGTTGGCAAGGCATTGTGTGGATAACACCAAGGGCCTGGGTTTCAGACCTGGCCTGGTCATTGTGTTGTGTTCTTGGTCAAGACACTCTCCTATCACAGTGTCTCTCTCCATTCAAGAGTATAAATGGGTACCGGTGAATTGTCAGGGAGCCTGATGAAATGCTGGGGGTAGCCTTGTGATGGATAAGCATCCCATCCAGGGGGTTGGGGTAGTGATACACCTAGTCACTTCTGGAACCTGGGATCTGCTTGGGCTGGGCAGCTACTTGGCTTGAGTACAGACCAAGCAGTTAGCACAATACTTTTTGCTTAACAAATAGAGAAGCCTTGACTGTGGTCTCTTCTGTTGTAAAGCATGCAGGAACAGTAAAGAGCACAGTCAAGGCTTCTCTATTTGTTTCATAATAAAAAATCTGTTACATTTCCCACATAATACTTTCAATTTTCAAAACCAACTCTATTTACAAAGCAAACAACAGTTTCATCAGCATGCTCTTTCAACCAATGACAGTGTGTGTTATATCTGAACTTTATTATAATATCACTTACCAGTACCTGCTGGATAGCATTATTCACCCATTGAACAATTGGGCATAAGGGTTGAACTTCATCGCTTGATGCGGAGTGTGAACATCCAAATTGGATAGAAGAGAAGGAGAAGCATGCTGAAATTATAACTTTAATATTTTATTGGGGTTCCAGAGCCAAACAAGAATTCTTTTGGTGCCACAACAGTGTCTAACCTGATGGCTAGCTCCAGTGTCTTCTGGCTTCATACAGTTTTTGCAATTATTTACACTGTGTTAATGGTGATTGTGTTGCGGCATTTTACCAACCTGTTTGTATTTGAGAGCCACGATGATTCCAAGAAGACAATCATGATGACTAATGTACCTAAAAATGTGACAGCTGACTTGATCATGCAACATTTTCGGTGAGAAGTGTAAAGATGTTACGAGTGTTTAACCTTTTAACTCCTAATATCTGATTGTTAATTTTCCCCTTGAGCTGCTACACGTTTTCTTGTAAATTAGTTGAGAGAATTTGGTGTTAGATCAAGTTAACAACTTCTATCTGATGAGATTGAGTTTTCTTATCACCTGTTTGCTGGATAATGTATGGATATTTTAGGGAGAAGTTACATGTTAATCACTTCTGGGAGTTAACAGGTTTACTTGGGATGTCGCTAATAACTTTTTTCCTCTAGAATATTATTATTTCACCTAAAATTAAAGTAGCTTCTCACAATTTGCACAGTGACTAGTAAACCCTCTCACTCCTAGCGACCAATGAAGAATTTCTCTCATTATTTTGATCACGTTGTAAAGCAAAAGTGATGAGGAGAAAGAAACGAACAATTTCATAATACAGCTTGATTGGACACCAAATTCTCAGAGCTACAATTATATGAAATATGCAAAAAACGTTGAGGGGGAACAATTTTAAGATCCCAGGAGTGACAGAGTTAAGCTTTGTTTCCTTCGCGTCTGTTGTTTGGCCTTGTTATGCGTGAAGTTCTGATAGTGTGTTGCGTGAAAAATGGAAACAAAGGCCAGTAAGGGGACTGATTTTAGAGCAAATTCACTGATTAAAAGTCTGATGAAAAGTCTGTTCATTGGGTTTTTTTCTGAGGTTAAAGGTGTTGTTTCTCCATTCTTAGCCGTTTGTTTTCCTTCCTAGGTAATCGTTTTATTGCCTGTGTTCTAAACTTGTCAAACTAATATTTGTTGTCTCTTTCAAGGTAAAAATACGTCAAAGCGTTTCATAGCAACTTAGCGTGCTTTCACAGTCAAGCGTTTGACTCAGAAAAAGAAAATCCATGTTGATATAAATGTATCACAATTTCGACAGAAAAGAAGTTTGTTCTGCCATTACAAACAGGTTGAATAATTTTGGGGGCGAATTTGCAATGGGGCGAAACCTCCAGTTATCTAGAGAGACCGAAAAATCTGGCTTATATATGCTCTCGCATTGAGCGTTTGGATCATAAACTGTTGGATCGTAGGTCATAATCTCTCTTGCATTTCTCCAGGGAAATCTATGGTGAATCACAAGTCCTTGAAGTTCAAGTTGCATTTGACTTTGTAAAACTGAAGCAAGCGCAGAGAAAAGTTCTTGCCGCTCAGATGGGTAGGGAACACTGCGAAGAACTTCTTCGCAAGACTGGGAAGAGACCGTTAACCACAGTCAGCACCAACAAGCTGTCTCCATGTTGCCACTGCTGTGGCGCCAGTCACGTGGATGGGATTGAGTACTTTACTGAAGAAGAGGAAGATGGGAAAGTCGAAGCTGATCAACAGAGGCAAAAGCTGAAGAGTCTGGGAATAGCTTTTGTGACATTTGAAAATGCAAAGATTGTTCAGAGGTACAACAATTCTAAATTAATGGAAGCTAGTGTGACAGACCTACTTATTAAGATGTGCGCGGATGTTGGTCATGCTGTTTTTCTGTTATTGATCGAGATGATATTAAGATGCATTTTTTTAAAGAAAATTTCTCAGAGTAATAACAGCAACATTGCCAACATTATAAGTGATTATAAGTGTGCAGTACGCGCTTTATTCCGCCCGCGGGAAGATTGGAGATAAGTCGGGGAGAGCCTGGCTGGGAGTCTGGCACTAATCAGTGCCAGGCCCCTTGTACACCTCTCGCCGGCTCACTCTGCTCCAGGCATCATACTTTCCCGCGGGCAGTCGAAGAAACCCTCGGGCCAAACCGCTGATAATGACGGCCAGCCTTATAATCCTTCATATATTTTTTGCTTGCGTGATTGGTCGAAGCGCGGTCACAGTCATATGACTATCGCTTACGGTATTATCTTACAGTAAAGGGAACAGGGTGGTCCGACTGGCCGAACAGAGAGAATCTCGTCAGTTCAAAACGTCGAAGGAAAAGTCGCAAAGAAAGTACTTCTGCTTGAAATCAGAGAGCGAATTATCGCTTGAAATGTAAATAAACATTAGCCGAAATTAACATAAAAGCCATATTCCTTCAAATTGACGTGATCAACAAATTCGTCATTTTTCATTGAATAGGCCAAAAAGTACGCTACCATCGCCAGAGTTCGTTTTTGCTCGCCCTCGCTCTGACGAAGAACTGACGTCCGAAAAGTTAGCTTTAGAAACTGCTTGCGGTGGCCACGCCGCAGGCGTTAACATTATCAACTCAGTTGATAAACAAATTTATCTTTCAATACATCCCACAGAAGCAGTACCACAGTTTCTTTGGAAACTCATCCCCTCTTTTTTTCATTTTTCTCTGTCTTGCAGATGTCTGAAAGACTTCAACACAATCAGACATGGAAGTCCAGAATCGTCTGTGTCACGGAGGATCTTCTCAGACCACTGGAATGTGTCGCAGGCTCCATTAGCTGGGGACATTATCTGGGAACACCTTTCCGTTGACAATGAGAGTTGGTGGGTCAGGGCAGTGCTTATCAATACATTGCTGTTTATCTTTGTCCTATTTCTCACCACGCCGGCTGTGGTACTGTCTACTCTGCAAGAGTTGGAGGCCAGTGTCGGTGAGCAGTTTATTTTTCCAAACTGTTTATTCCTTGAAAAAATAAAAAGAAGGCTGTCTTGTCTAGGTTTGGGTGACTTTATTTTCAACATTATTTAGCTAAAACACACACGCCTATTAGCGTGCAAAGCACTAGTCACCTGACTAGTGACATGACTAATGAATAATATTACTTGAAAGTGCTGCTCAATCCTTCAGTAAAAGTTCGAATTACCTATCACTTCTTTCAGAGTTCTTAGTCTTCTGACAACAAGCTGAAATAAGTTACAGAGTTATCCAGTGATTGTTTTTTATCTTTCTTTCCCAAACTTTTCGCAGCGAAAAGCAATCCAAAGCTCGCTGTCCCTCCAAGTCCATTTCTCACTCAGTTCTTGCCCACTATCTTGCTGTGGAGTTTTGCGGCGATCCTTCCAGCGGCTGTGTCGTGGTCAAGTTATTTTGAAGCCCATTGGACAAGGTACGGTACGATTTGAAGGAAATACATGCTAATGTTTGGGAGTAAGGGGTTAAAAGTGAGTAATTACGATGAATAACAGCGAGTAATAATGAGCGTAACGTTTATTACAGAAGCAATCGTTAAAGGTGAACTACCATTTCCCTCAATCTTGAAGACTTCCTAAGCCTGTGGAAACTCTTGTTCACATTTCATCAAATATTTAAAGTTGGTCTAAAAACGCCAAAGGGCAAATTGCCGGAAGGTCATTTTTTTGCCGTTTGCCATTTGTCACGGAGATACAAGACGGAAGCCGGTTACCGGCGGTCTACCGCTGACCATAAGACCTCTTACCGCCGTCTGTTTAGCCTGCGAGCCGCTTTTCGTGTTTGGATTTAGCCTTACGGCTCCTTTCAGGGCTGCAGTCGCCGATAACACCATCGGCAACCTCTTATGGAAACCTTTGTTAAAACGGACTGCTTAAAGTCTAGACCCACATCTGAAGCGACTTTTTCGTGAGACAAACGATTTTACTTCGCAACCAATTACTTACTCTATCTACAACCGAAAACTGCCTTTTTCGGAACTCCCTTCTCTTAAAGCACTGCACTTCGCGATGAGAATCCTTTTTGCCCTTAAAATCGTTTAACGTTTTAAATTAAAAGTTTCAATGTGAATTCCTTGTATCGAGGAAGATATTTGGAGGTTTTGCCCCATTGCAAGTTCGCCCCTGCCACCTTTCACCATCTTTCATGCCGTTTCTGTAGAAATCATATTTTCATCAACATGCATTTTTTTTCTGAGTCAAACGCTCGACCTCGCTAAGTCGCTATGAAACGCTTGGCTCAAGGACATGTGGGCATAAGTATTTTAATAAACATACTCATATGTTGCTGGGCTCAGCGTATTCAAAAGCTGCGAAATACATAAGTTGTCCTTTGCTTGAGAATACTTGCAAATGAAAATTTTATATTGATATTTGCACAAAAGAAATTTGATAAATTTAATAGTAATTTAATAAATTATTTGTTGGCAGCCAAAGGGGCCATTATTGTTTAGTTTGTAGCTAGAAGTAAGAAAGCCCTTGATGTTGTCTCTTATCTTTTTGCAGGTCAAAACTTGAGCATTCTGTGATGGTCAAGACTTATATCTTCCTAATGCTGATGTTAATTATTCTTCCGTCTCTGGCTCTCACCAGGTAAACAATTAAGCTGAGTGATATGTTTTTTTTTTAAGACTGTTAAAACCGAGTTCGCCGTTGCTTCTATTATGAAGAGTATTTGTACTTGAGCAGTTTTTAGCTGAACGTCGAAAGTGAATCAGGATTGCATTTTTTGCGGATAACTACACTTCGGGATTGGTCGAGAAAAATCGAGGTAATTTGGTATTATCAAATGAGTTGATAATGTAAATTGGCCACCGTAAAGAGTTTCAAAGCTGACGTTTCGGGCGTTAGACCTTCCTTAGAGCGAATGACGAAGGGCTAACGCTCGAAACGTCAGCTTTGAAACTCTTAACGGTGGCCAACTCACGTTATCAACTCAGTTGATAGTACCAAATTACCCTGTTATACTCTCCCACCGACGCAGCACCACAGTTTAATTGGATAATTAACTGAAAACTGTGCTGTAGTTTGACACAAAATTATTGGGTGATGCGGTGAGCTAATATTGAGACGTATTTTGAACAATCTTCTTGGCCCATCTCGACCTTGGTCTTTGTGTTCTTTCCGTTAGCAAGATACCTCACCCTCGCAATGACGCTCTCCACTCGGGAAGGTTAGGGTTATTCCCTATTAGGGGTAGGGTGGGGGGTCATTGCTCTCTGGCAAAAGTGAGCAAACATAAAATCCAGGTGACGACCGGTGCTACGTTAAGTGTTGGAAGAGAGGCATGCGCCCTTTCAGGCTCGGGGCTTAAGATGAAGTGTACCTCGTCTGCCAAAGCTCGGGCCGAGCTAGAAAATTGTTCTCACCAATTTTTATTGCCTCGCTGCTCCAACAGAAATCATGATAAATTACTGAGGGAACTTGAAACTTGATCAAGAGAAATGTTAACTTGGGTTCTTCACTGAAAAAAGCGGACGGTTACTCAAATGTTTTTGCTGTGTTTTTGCTGCAGCGCGGATGCTTTGTTTCATTTGACGCTTGGAGGAATTTCGTCCGAATTCCAAAGTAGACTGGCGTGAGTATAAAATGCTGATTAATTTTTTCTTAGTAGTATATTTTAAGAAGAAATTTTTAAAGGAGCTTCCTGAAATCAATTCATTTTCTCCGTCGAGGCGGATAATTTGCAACTTCTCTCCACGTAGACACATCGTAAAGTACACCGATAGTTAGAATTAGGAAGTCATAAAGTGGAAAATATTGACACAATCTGATAATAAATTCTCTTAACCAACATTCACCTGAGTATGTGATTGTCATGTCTGCTCAAATCTCAAGTCTAGCAGGTTTCATCAAAACATATATTATAAGTTTTGATCGTACCTTTAAAAGGAAACCGTTTAATCAAGTAATTTGAGCAGCTCAAGGAGTTTCAGTAACACGAGAGCCTACACAGAGGCGAAACAGACGGCGGTAAGAGGTGTTTAGGTCAGCGTTAGACCGCCGGTAAGCGGTGGCTGTTATGGAAACCCGTGTACTCTTGTAATAGTTTAATTGATTTAGTAAACTTAGCTACAGCAAACGAAAAATATTTTCACGACTTGGTCTAGTGTTCTACCTTTATACCCAACAGTATTCCCTACGGTCTCGATACACTAATTTCCTCTCGTGTTGAACAATGAAGAACAGATTAGGAAAGGTGAATTGTTAGTTGATAGTAAAATGAGTTTAACAATTTCGTGTCTGTTGTGTTCTTACGGGTGAAGGCTGTTCTGAAAAGAACTCACGGTTGTGGGTGACTGCGATCAGTGATGATTTCCGCTCAAGTTGTCGAAACGCTAATTATTGTCCTTGAAAAGAGCCCCCTTTCTCCCAGGACTGCCATCACCCTTGACTTGGACTGAGCTCATCTCTTAACCACGTCTGTTTGCTCTCTATTCCAGTTGCGTGTTCCTACCCAACAATGGCGCGTTCTTCGTCAACTATCTCGTAACATCAGCACTGATTGGAACCGCGCTGGAACTGTGTCGCTTTCCTGAGCTTGTCTCCTATGCAGGGAGTATGGCTTGTGCACGAAACGAAGGAGAGAAAAGGCTGGTTCGCAAGGTCAGTGGACTCTTAGGCCTATGTTACGGTTGTTCTTCTTGAAAAAGTTCCGTTACGTCACGCTTTTTTTTTTTTTTTTTTTTTTTTTTTTTTTTGCCCCGTGCAAGACTTCTGTCAAATTGGAGGAAAAACAACTTAAGATCACCGGAAGGTATAAAAGTATTAGATGGGTGTGTTAAACAGAGGAAGAACGGGGTTGTTGAAGTATGTGGAACGAACTTTACTGTGACTCCTTTGAAGTCAACCAAATTTCCGTTTTCGGTTGTTTTTTCAGGGAATGAATCTCTGAACCTTCTTGTTTTATCACTCTTCTCAAAATCGTACTAAAATATTTAAATTTATTATAGAATGCAAGGTAAGCTGATAAAAAGAGTTTTTGTTCTGACACCAGGGTTGTTTATTTCACCAGGAAGCCGTGCGTGAGTTTGCTTATGGACAGCAGTACGCCTGGATGTTAGTTATCTTTACTCTGATGGTTGTTTTCTGCCTCACCTGTCCTCTTGTCACGCCATTTGGTAAGTCACACAAAAAATTTTCGTCACGCTTGCAAACGTTGGTAATGGCTGCAGTACATTCGGCCTACGAGCACGAACGGCGAAACCCATGAACGAAGCGAGCGAATGAGAGCCTCTGTTGAGCCAGACCACTTACAGAGCATATAGAAATAAGAACTATAGGACTCAAAACTATAGATTAGTCATCCTTCTGAGGATGCAGTTGAAAATGTGTTGTCTTGCTCCTTCCATTTCCAGCGATTGTGAAACATCTCGAGGTGTAATTGTATCAATTTCCAGTAAAGCCTCTTTACAGTGTTTTACTCTGATTTTAGCCATGATCTAACTGCTCGCCACAATATTATTTTTTTTAACCTGTGTTTTCATTATATATTCACAGGTTTACTTTACTTGGCCATGAAGCATTTAGTCGATCGATACAATCTTTACTTTAACTATCGCCCTCCGGCTTATAACTACGTGGACAGCAATGTACATCACACTGCTGTGACGTTCGCCGTCATTTCAACTTTCTTTCTGTTGCTATCACTGTTATTTTACTCCTCTATTAGACTAGGTAAGTACGACACGTCAGTCTAATGTGTGCCTTATCAGAGCAATTTTCGAATGAGTGTCGAAAGTGATCCGGCATTGCGAAATTTATCACTTCACTCTGTGATTGCGCCAGCCTTTCAACTAATCAAATGCAGGAGTAAAACCAACCGCGACTTGTTCACCTTCGCTTTCTCGCGCTTTAGGAAGTTTACTTGTTTTTATCTTGAATTCTCGTTGGCTCCTTGTTATATTTTCATTTTGTTGCACTTGACTTTTTTGATTTCGTTGGTTTTGGTTTTCGACATTCGAAAAGCGCTCCTCGACCCCGTGAGTTAAGGGTCAACGCGCTGGACTTAAAATCAAAAGGCCTGAGTTGGAACCTTGGGGGCCGGCTTCCTGGCCTCTGTTTTGCTTGCGTCATTTACCTCGAAGATCGAGATGTTGGTAGTTTTTAAATTTAAAGAGTTGAAAATATCAGGAAATAAGTAGAATAGACTGATGTTTGAGGAACCGTGATACTATTCCTTAGATGTAACTATTAAATTATCAGTGGTGTCAAGTCCACAAGGTAATCGTGTTTTGGTTTGAGCAAAACAGTGCCTTTCTGAACCCACCAAAGTAACTTTTTTGCGGCGAGTTCGCCGCTAGTTCGCGGCTAGTTCCATTCATTATTACAACTGTTGTGGTAATTCGCTACTGGCTGACAAAATTATTTAATCAGTTCAATGTCGACAGACATCGAATGATATTTAGAAGAATTTTTCAGAAAATAGTGTTATACAATATTTTTACCTCTTGTTTTGCCTGTCGAAGACAACTTTGATTCACGGAAATCCCTATTTTGAAAATATCTAACTCGAATCCATTTGTGGAGGAAACCAAACTACAGTAATGTGATCAAGTTTTAATCAAACAGTTTTGGTGTACATCATTCCCTAACCTTTCTAGCGAAATTCTCATACCTTCCCATTGTATACGGTTTGCATGGAAACCTATCAATGTCTCGCGAAACTGTATTAATTCCCTAGTTTCCTTGGTGACACACGCATCAAAACCTTCGTTAAAAATTCCCTACACTGCCCCTACCGAATACGGTTTCCCTAGAAACCCCCACTGCTTCGGAAAACTTCTTCGTCTAACGTGTTTGATTTTGCATAAGGCGATCGCCCGCGATCATTTCTCGTTACACGAAGCAATTGTTTTAAAAATTGGTGAGTTGGCAGTTTTATATGCTACAAACTTGCCAGCCGAGATAACATGACTGCGCTGTATAACTAAGGAGTAGTTTTTCGGTGTGGGTTTCTTGGATGGATTGGGATATGGGACAATTTCGTCTGCTTTCGGAAAACTTTGGAAGTAAGTATCGACGGTAAAAGTTAGGGCAAAGGCTCTAGAAGATTCGATTTGGGTCCATAGCTATCTGTGGTTTTAATTTTGCTTTCGAGATAAATATCTTTATACGTTGCAAGTACGCATTTGCCTATGAAAACTTGCGATCAAACGTCCGCCTTTGGCCGTGAAAGCGGTATCTTTTCTTTGAATTTCTGAAGTGTTCCTGTAATCCTCTGTATCACTGATAGGAAAACTTTTAAAATTATGTCAAATATAAAATTTACTCGTTTGTCGTATTTCAAAAACCTTTATACTGAAAGCTTGTTAAAGATCGTCGATGGTTAAAGATTCTAGCCATATTCCATAAATTAGCTTGGCGTTTCTTCGGCAGAAATTCGGGTAATCAGACCTGGAAATATAATTTTATTTTTTAAAATTTCACCCATAAAGCGCATAGTTGAGCGAAGTAGTGGTCATTAAGGTGAAATATTTGATCTAATTTGCAAGAGATATTGCAAAAAGTTATATTAAACAAAACTTCTTTGTTTCAATCGTACCTTTTGTATTGAGAAACCACTTTAAGCGACTAAACGTCTTTGTGTATTTGATTTCGAGCGTAATGTCGGTAGCAGTCTTTGGGGCAAAATTGGAAATGGCAGGTTAAGGTACTGCAGAAGATATCTTCAATATGACGAAGATTTATTTGAAAATCATTAATTGGAGCTAATACGATTAAAAGCAAACTGTTATGGACTGCTTTTTCTCAAAGAAAATGTGAGTCATGCGGGCGGAGAGAAGCTATTTGAGATTCACAGTATCTTTCATAAAAGAACATTATCACGATGCAAGTAGTTTGGCTTTTAACTTTAGAAGTTAACCCTAAGGGTAACTTGTATCTAATTACTCCTTACAGTATTACTTTTGAATCACACATCAGGGTTTGGAGAATAAAACAAATGATCACCAACTGAAGATGCCCTTGATTGTTAATCAAATTCTCCTTGTCAACATCTTAGTTAATGTATAGAGAACAGTAAGGAGAATATGCATACTTATCTTAGGGCATTAAGGGTTAGGCAGGTTGTAACTTAGGATTATATATCTGAGTGTTCTCCCAACATTCCGCGCGGGTTATTACGCCGGTAAACCGAGAGCAAGTGCAGTCTCCTGCACATAATCTAAATGTTTCACATCAATCTGGAAAAAACAGTTTTCAAAAAAATCTCTTGTTCATAGCTGAAGATCACACACGACTCAAAGCCAGACGGCGAGAAAGTCAATTTTTTTTACCGTTTCTTCTAGCTTCATGTTTAACCTCGTTACTGAGCCTGCGTTCATACGTCCACAAACACAAACCCGAAACAATTTTTTCAATACAGTTTTTACCACTTATTCTCTCTCTCTTCAGGTATCAATGATCCCCAGACCGTTTTCACCTTGGTCGTGGTGTGTATCACAGTTCTGCTTCTCTTAGCTCGAGTATGCTTTGGAATGTTCAAGAAATTTGGACCTCACAAGGTAGTTGTCAGACCATATTTAGTTGATAGAACGTTGTTGTTGTTGATATTTACGTTTTGTTTTTCTTCTTTTTCTCAGGAATACCTCTCGACAGATGCGGAACTCAATGGGGCTGATGTTTATATTCCTGTAAGTTCCGCTGTTTTTGTTTTTTGGTGTGTGTTTGTGTGTGTGAGTGTTTTTTTCTTTTGTTTAATGAATGGAAGGCCTCCGTTAAACCGAAAGACTGACGAAGGGCTAACGCCCGAAGCGTCAGCTTTAGAAACTCTCTACGGAGGCCAATTTACATCATCAGCTCAGTTGATAAAACCGAATTATCCAGCAAACAGTTGATAAGAACGGAGAGACTTAATAACCTGATAAAAAACGCCAAGTTCTCCTGACTAATTTACAAAGAAATTGAAATCACTTAGAAGGGAGATTTTCAAGCCAGATCGTGGAGGTCTGAAGGCTGCTTCAAATCAGGGGGGTCCATGACCGTTGATGTGTCATTGCACTAGCTAAGGAATCAAGTGTTGCGTGACATCATATCATTCACCATGTCCATTGTTGCGTTACAGGAAGCTTATCTTCCGCCAGTCCTTCAAACAACGCGTGAAATGAAGGCCACTGGTAGTGGAAGTGACAACGTTTCTCCTACCCAGCTCACCAGGCGGAAGACTTACGGTGCGACTCAGAATGACCATGTGATCGATACGTCACAACTGACACCCAGTTCGGAAACTGTTGTGACTTTCGATGACGAGGACCGGCACTAAGTGTAAGGTTCTAACCGTTGGGAAACATTTAGATATTTATTTTGTTTGCCTATCTTTCTATATAAGGTAGATCATTTGTGAATTTTTCTTTTAAGTAGAATGGATTCTTCTCCAGTTTGTTGGCTAAGAATTACAACCACTGGATTTTAAATATCACTGGAAACTTTCACTGGCGTTGAAATGAGTACTTTTTTGGTTGTAACCCGGAAAGTTTCATTTTGCCTGGTGCTTTTGTTAGCCGTGAAATTGTAATGATGAATTTAAGAAATTGGCTTGTTTGAAATGCATGCCGTGCCTTAATAAGCGCCTGGAAATATTGATGCTTTCAGTCGTCAATAATTTGAGTTGTATTTTTCTTAATATTTTACAAACAATGTTAACCGTGATCTTTTTTGTTTCAATAATCGTTTTCTTAAGATCAAGTCTTTTGGTCTCAATATTGGAGAAGGTTCTGTGTAAAAGAGGCATGTTAATACTTTGTCTCTGAGAAGCATACTAACAAGATATAAATGAGTATGAAAAGACTTTGTGGCGGAGAAGAAGTTACTACAGATAGAGGACTGAGGAGCGATGCTCGTCTCGGGTTTTAGACGCATTTTAGTAGTTTCTTGTAAATTCCTAAAGAACGGTAGCGTTGTTCAAATGCGCCGCATAATTGAACTTTGAGTTAAACTTATTTATTTAAAGTAGGTTAGCAGTATCTACAGAAATGATATTTTTTTAACTTTCTTTAGAGGAAGTTTCAAATGTGTAACGTAATGTTCGTTATTCTCCGTAGATCTTCGGAACTTCTAGTATTGTAAACTCGGAAATTGGGTGTCTAATTCAATGGGTTGTTTAAATTAGTATTGCTATTATACTTATTGACATTTTCATTAGGAAATCAATTTTGAATGATATTTTGTGCAAGAATAAGTCATGCTTAGGCATTTTGATAAACATCTTACAAGCCCGCTTACTTTGGGTCGCTCCTAGAATTGTTTCAAAGTACTTAAGAAAATATTTGTCAAAGTAATTTGTTTCGTTATTTTAGAGACAATTTACGTTAATTTTAATGAATTTAGTGGGTATTTGAGGAGCTGGTTTTGGAATTTAAGTTATTTACAATTGCGACCTGCGAAATCCACTTAAATACGTAGAGACAGTCAATTGTAAGATAGGTTTGTTTCGACTCCCATGCCCGTCGTCAATTTTCGTTTGAAAGTGTTTGTAAAAGTTAACTGATTGTTGATTGTTTCCCTATAATTTAGAGCTCTATGTTTCCGCAAGATTTTGAATTTAAAGGCATCATCGAGACAGATGCATAAATTGTTTTCTACTTATTTTTTACGTTTTCCACCTCTAGAACGGTTATATGAATTAATGGATTGACTGTTCTTTTGAAAATCAGACTAGGAGCATGAAGGGTACTGAGCCGGGGGGGTCAGCAATAGACTTCCGTTCTTTAGATCTCTCGGGCGTTTTTTCGCCCCAGTTCTTCCTACAACCCCAGCTCACATGCGTGGATCATTTTCTGAAATAACCATGAGTTACTGTTTTTCCCTTTTGTTATTTACACACAGACAAGCAGACATTTAGTGATTAGGACTTATTGCCAAGTTGGGCTATTTAATTTTTGCAGTAGAAAGACTCAAACCTGGGACTTCAATTATTTGAATAATTATTCACTGATTAGTTTCTGATTATTGTGTAACTACTATACATGGTGCGCTCAGTGAACTTCATTGTAGAGTTCTTGATGAATTAATCTTGCCTGGTGAAAAAATAAAGTATTAATCTTAAAAGAATAGTTTTTAGAAGTCCTTGTTGGTCTGTCGGACCTAAAAATTCGTAAAATTATACTCAAAGATCGTGCGCGGTATGATACACCTGAATCCACTAGAGTTTCCAAGTCGACGGCCGGTCTGTCGACTACCCGCCGTCTTTAAAACTGCCCGAGAAAGGGACGAAGTTGGAATCTCGGCTGAGTCTGTCTTCCACGGGACCATGCAACTCAATGTTCATTGTTTGTCAAGAAAATTTGTTTGCAACGGTACATTGTTATGCAAAAATGTGAGAGAAAGAGAACCGTGATAGATCAAAGTACATTCAGTGTAAATGACGAGCAGCTATTGTGGGGTGATTTTTCTGTTCCTTCAAAAACTCATTATCTAGGATCACTCTGAAAAGTCCGGTGGAACTCAACTGTAGAGTTCTTGATGAATTCATTTTGGCCGTTGAAAAAATAAAGTATTAATTGTAAAAGAATAGTTTTCAGAAGTCCTGGTTGGTCCGTTGGACCTGAAAACTCGTCAAATGATATTTAAAGATCGTGCGCTATATGATACACCTGAATCCACTGGAGTTTTCCAAGTCGACGGCCGCTCTGTCAACCACCCGCCATCTTTAAAACTGCCCGAGAAATCCCTGGGGACGAAGTTAGAATCTCGGCTGAGTCTGCCTTCCACGGGATCATGCAAGTCACTGTTCATTGTTTCTCCCCGTGATGTTTCACCACTCTTTGATCGAAGTGACCAATGATGAAACGTTACGTCATAGTTTTCCGCGAAAAAGCGAATAGATGTCAATAAGACCAAGACTATCGCATTAGTTTTACTGAACTCGCTATCGAAATGGGTTGATACAAGCTTCTAACGAAGATAAAATCTCTTAATTAATTAAGGAGGTAATCCGCACAATCATTCATCAGAGGTGACCAATCTTGGCGAATACTTCGAGGATTTCCATTTCGTTTGTCGTGGCTTGCTTGATCGATTTTTCCGAAGTCGAGGGTAAGTCGCACCGTGCACTTTAGCTAAAATAATCGCTTCAGTAGGCTCAAATCTTCACATTTCCTTGCCATCAAACCTTGTACGGCATATAAAAACGCTTTTATCGATGTCTGTTTAGGATCGTGCGCACAGATAGGCTGGAGTGAGTTTAATTAGGTCGCTGAAAGAAAACCTCTTCGCTAGAGACAGTGAAATATGGAGAAATGTACGTGGAGGGTTGCAATTTTCCGGCATATAAACAGTGAAAGAAAATTTTGACTCGATCAATACCGTAAGCAGTTCGTCTTGGGGTTTTTTCTTTCGGGAAAAAAATTCGTACGCGCGCTAGTCTCATTAAAAAATCCCAGCCAACTATTCATCATAAGAAAGCTTACTAACTGCAGTTTACGATAAAAATATAATTTAAAGTTCTTTCCCACTTCCAGAGGTAAGAAAGAATTTTAAATCGATTTTTCTTTTATTTGATTGAACCGAATTGAAACATTCAACTTAACGTTTCCATTAAAAAAATTATGAAATCTTAAAAAGCACCCGATTTATTTCGAAAAACGTATTTTCAAATAAAAGTTGATAAATCAGAAAGGTGTCATAATCTCGGACCTGAACGAATCCCTAGGGGACTTTTCGCGGCAACCGCTCATGACGGGGCTCGTTTTTTCACGTTATTTCCATATTTTTCTTACATCAATCACTTTACAAAATTCAAGCGTGGAAGCTCTTTGATTTTGAAAAGATCTTTCCTCCTGGAAAAATCAAAAGCGGAAAGAAGTCCTTGGTTAAAAAAAAAATACAACAACAACGACAACAACAACAAAAAACAACAGATCTAATTGGCAGAACAACAGCTTAGCACGTGCGTTTTAAAACTTTGTACATTTCTTAGCCGTCCTATGCAAAACAACAACGTGAAATCACCACAAATTTCGTCGTCTGCGAACCAAAACCGCGACGGCAAATTATTTCTAATTTCCATTTGGAACTCAATGCTTCTTTTATACGAAATCTGTAATTTGCGAAATGGAAAATCTGAAGTTTGCGAAATGCAAACCTGTAATTTAAACACTAGTAGTGCAGAAAATTTATGGCCACCGGCCGGAAGGATGAATCGGTCAGCCCACTACCGGCGTGGTTTACAAACGTAACCTTGCAAATAGTAACAACTTGGGAAAGTGCGAGAGGAAAATCTTCGTGGTCTACTTACTTGAAGTGGAAGCGTCACGTATTCCTCTATGTTGACATAGAAGAAACAAAGGCCAGGCTTGGTCAGGCTGCATGCGAACGCCGAACGAGAATTCTCTCTCATTTTCATCACCACGGCACTTCAGTCTAAACACCTATGAGCCTAGCCTCGTCCTCGCGCCGTAATTTTGATACCAGATCACTGAACCGCGAGAACTCGGAAGTAAAAGTAGAAGTGGCCTATTATTACCTAATTCCTTGCCTGTTAACCCACCTGATAACGTAATAAAAAGCCATTAGCACTATTGTATGAAAACTACTATCCCATATCTTCCCCATGTATCTTCTCAAAAGTAAAAAAATATAATTGAACTGATAAAATTTAGATGAAATTTTCAAAGACGCGTTTTTTTCATTCAGTGCCAAACAATGCCTGTTCTTGCAAAATCACACGGTGCCCCTGGACTGTAAAATAGTTTGAATACGCACAGCGAAGCTAAATTAGTCATGGCTTTGTTTAATGATAACAATTACGTGATGAGATGATAGTCAGTTGTATCTTTACCGCACACCAATTATTGCGGTCTTAAATAGACACTACCCGTTAAGAAGTGTGTCATATAAATACTATGGACACAAAAACCTTTTCTGTGTCGGTCTCAAGTACTGGGCTTCGTGAAATATTCTTTTCTCCGTTCGCCCGGTCCGTTTGTGTATTTATGTTTTGTAACCTTGGCACACTACGACAATTTAATATTAAATTTTTTTATGTTAACCGCACGAAAGGCATATTTCCGATGATGAAAACTATATTTAATGTAACTATCGTCCATTGACGATATATCGTCCTGATAAACATGCCAAAAACTTCGTTTTAGTTCTTGATTTCGGGAAAAACGAAGAGCCAGCTAGCATTTTTTTTCATTTTTGCCTCTGTTTCGGTTTTTCAAAGATTGTTTCTAACCCTGTCAAGTTTCTTCACATCCTCTGTCTTGCCAATTACTTTGCCACATTTTTGGCGAGAGTCGAGGATAAGGAGGATGTAAATCAATTGTGTTCATTGAAAGTGTGGCTGGTCGTATGGGTTTCAGCAGTAATTGGTAACTCTTCAGGTTGCACTCTTATCACCCCTGACCACTTTTGATCTTTCTCAAGTTCTTCCAACCCTTTTCTTTGGTCATCCTGGCCCAAAAGGTCCTCTCCCACTTGAACAAGAGCAACGACTCTTTCCTCCTCTTTGTCAACTTCACCTTCTTCTTCTTCGCCGTCATGATTCATTAGACTGCTCCCTTCTGCATAATCTTCACTTTCAACATCATTTAATTCTTCATTTCTACCAGTCTCTGTTTCATCATCATCCTCATCGTCATGCAGGAAGCCAGTGTGAATGATTTGGTCAAGCTCGCCCCTTTCATCAAATATTCAGATTGCATGGTGATGTATTTGAATATGAGCCGATGACACACACTTCTTCCAGTTGTCTTGAAGGTATTTATTTTCCTACTTCGGCATGTGGGAGCAAAAGTGGTGTAAAGGTGGAAGGGTGTGAACTTCTGTTTCAGTTTCACAGGGGGAAGTGACATCAAAGAATTCAACACCTTTAACAACACCTTTATCAAATTTCGAGATTATTTTAGTTAAATTCTATCTAAACGTGGTTATAGGTATCCTTTTCAGAGTATTTTTATTTAATTTTTAATTTTATTGTATGCTTTTCTAGACCTTAAGATCAATGATTATATCTTGTTAAATTTTATTTTATTTATTTATTTATTATTTTTGACAGGACCCCAAGGACAACAGTGTTACACACTGATGGGTTTCAATCCTGTATAAAAATTCGTTATTATTATTATTATTATTATTATTATTATTATTATTATTATTATTATTATTATTATTAACATGCCTCCACCAAATTCCTTCTCCACACAAAAGGAAATCAGAAATGCGCTCCAGTTGTGCTTGATAAGCACTCTAGTATTTGAGGATAATTCTGTGTGGGATGATACTATTTTCTGCCTTTGGCTAAGCACTTTAATAGTTTTCCCAGTCATGACTTCTGCTCTTGAGTGGCACTTTGTCGGTTGATTTCACCTTGTTTCATTTCTGCTTGCATCCCGGTCAGGCCAGGGGTGGTGATCTCTCTAGGCCATCTGCTTGATGTTACCAAGAAATACTCTCAAAAGTGTTGAAATGGCGCTCTTGTTGTTCTGTGTTGATTGACCTGGAGAGATGATGCAATGTTGGATAGGTGTGTGGCACACCAGTGAGTGCAGGTAATGACCATATAATTTTTCTCTGTTACTATTATAGGCTTTCCAATAACCTCCACACATACAATAGCATGAAGAAAGGTTTGATTGTGAAGGCTTAATACATTTTTGTGGCATCTCTCTTGTACCATGGCATACAAAATTTGCATGATTTCCAACAAGACCTGCACCTTCTCACTGACAAAACCTATGAAAGGGAAAATAATAAAATGTAATTATACAAACACTTAATTGATAAAAAATCATTTTGATGGAAATAAAGAAAAACTTTCTGTAAGTGAGGAGAACAACATGTATCAATAATTATGTTACTGTCCAATTTGATGATAAAATTAACTTAGCATAACAGCAGTAATTAAGTAAAATGTTTGTTTGATCACAACAGCTGGTTACTTTTGAAAAGTAACTATCTATAAGATGCCAATGTAATGTGAAAAATGCTAAATTTTTAAAGAATTATTTATAACATTGTCCTAATCCTCTGCCAATTTTAGTCCAAGCTGGTGTGACCTACCAGGGGTGTGTGTTGGGAGGGGGGATAATAATAAAATTATTATTGATAAGGCAAATTGTACATTTAAAGTATAAAGTTAATTAGGACCTCTACATAACTTTAATAGTCAAACAATGTTCACCTCTCTACTGTTTTGCAAGCACAGTACAGATCTCACGATAATCTGAACCAGTGTCACTGTCTCCTCACACAACTTTTACATAACATCTAAGAGGTGTGCAGAAATTTCAGTGATAATGTTTGAGATGTTTTCCCTCACATCATGCAATGGTTCAGTGGCAAGGACTTCATACATCCCTATGTAATGAAAGTAATTAATACAACCAAAGAAAATTAATTTATCTGGATCTGACAAATACATGTACACTGTAGTTATATCCTTAGGAAAAATATAGAAGTTTTTAAACTGCTATTGTTAAGTGTTGCTTTTACATGTATAGTACAACCAATTAATTTTGCTTTTTAAAATTGATATCATTTGATACTTGTCAGTTCAATTATAAAGTTGTTATTGTCCCTAAGAGTACAAAATTATACAACATACCCATGATGCTTTGCAGAAGATGAGATTTCTCCTTAATGATGAAGTGTACATAAAAGTATTAACTGTGCAATTTTCATTAACCATCCATAGAGCTGCTAGTCCATGAACTTAACATACAGTCAGGAAAGAAAGTCTCCTTTATGGTAAAAGATAAATTTATAATAACTTTGTGTTATGCTGGTACAGTAAATATTTGAGGTAATTACATACCTAAATAGAGATCCTTTATACTTCTTCCTTGATCCATGATAAGCTTTGCTGGTACTCTCTGTACCAACAACTGAAGATGCTATTTTAGGATCATCTGCAGATCCTTCTTGTAGCCTTCATCGCACAATCCCCATGCTCTACATTCCCTTTGCAGCTCAGCAACTGGCATGTCTTTGAAGAGTCTGATTCCACCATTTCTTTTTGCTTTCCCTGAAGGCCCCGCTAGCAATATGTTTCGCCAGTCTGCTGAAGACAATTGGGGGCGTCGAAAACTGTATGTAAGGTCAAGATACCTTTGTGAATCTCCCCTACATCCACTTCAACCAGCATTTCCACTCCTCTGCTCTCCACTCTCAAAATGCTGCTCTGGACCATCTCCATAGAAGAACCGCATTACATCATTCACTTTAACACCATCACTGGTTTCTACTTGGTAAGGAAGGCAATCAAGGCACTCTTGTCTGTTCTCAATATATGCAAGCTGCTCAACCTCTTTTGATCCACATCTCCTAAGAATATAGAGATGAGGCCTTTCAACAATTGCTGCTACATTATATCTCCGTACCATCTAACCTTCACCTCTTTAGGGGTGTAAAAGAAGGCTGGATCACCAAATCGAGGCTGGACGGGCATGAGGTATACGGCTGTGCTTCATTACAGTGTTTTGAGTGAAGATTACAAGCAAGCATAGCCCACGATCATTGCTGCGTTAATTTCTGTAGTATCGACCAACGATACCAAATCATTCCTTCGAATGATTTATTGAAATCGAAATGGATTGCCGCCACAAGGCGAGATGAAGGGCCAAATTTCTAAGTAAGAGTCGCGTCGTGACTAGTAAGCTGTTAGTAAGCTGTGAGTCTTCAATCAAAAGGTAAAGTCGATCGCTAATAACATGTGCATCTAGCAGCTCATTGGTCACAACGCGATTCTTACTTACCTCGAAATCCGGCCATTCATCTTGCATGTAGCGGCAATCCATTTCGATCTCTTTGATCAATCAAAACTCAAAATTACTAACTATTGATAAACACGCAGACACGTTTGGGCCAAAGAATTCTGTTTATTGATGAAAATTACAATGTTGCGCCCCCGGGAGGGCGGGAGGGAAAGCGAACTCGAACACGAACCTAGCAGACACAACTAGCTATCTAACAGCGTGGAGACGCGAACATGATACTCTTATTGAGCCATCCCTGTTATTAATTAACCTCAATCAACCATCAATCAAAACTCAAAATTACTAACTATTGATAAACACGCAGACACGTTTGAGCCAAAGAATTCTGTTTATTGATGAAAATTACAATGTTGCGCCCCAAAGGAAGTAGAAAAGGAGTTGGCCCAAACGTGTAGATGAATGATAAAATAAAAATAAAAATGTTTAAAAAAAATATTCGTATAAGAAAAGAAACTGTATAACCGTATGAGCGCGTGGAATCAACAATTGTGACTGAAAAGGTCTGCGGCCATAATGTCAGCTACCGAAGAGCGCGCACACAGCGGTAGTGTTAGGTATTGCTTGTAAGCATCAGAGCGCCAGTCGCCGTGGAGTTGGAGCAAATGTTCCGGGGCTCCTGCATGGAACGCGAAAGTGGCACCGCCCCGGCGAAAACTATGAGGGGAATAGTTCGTAGGTGCAAGGCCGAGTTTGCCAAGTAGTTTCTCGAGAGTCGTAGTGAAGAAGGACGCAGTGACAGGAGTAAGGCTGGTAGCAGTAGGAAAGCAGAAGAACGGATCGTCAGAACTAGCAGGCACCAAGCTGAAGTAGTGATGGATGGCGGTGACCGGACAAAGAGGTGAATGTGGAATGCTGGGCAGAGGGACAATATGGATGCCTTCCTTATGTTGGCGTGTCTTGGACCATTTAATGCGGAGGAAACATCCAGAGGTCGTGAATTTGATGTCGCGCCTAGTGAGGTCGCGTTGGCAGTCAAAGGTGGAAGCTGTGGACGAGACCAAGCTAGACTTGCGCAGAAAGGAAAAGAAAACCACCAGGAACAAAGCCCATATCATGGCGTGAGATGGGCAGTTCATGTCCAAAACATGGTAGATGTCGAGTAAAATCGCGGGCGTAAGGGGATGTTCTTGACGAGAAGCGGTACCCAAAACGCGCTTGAGACCTCTCTTGGTGAGGGAAACTTCGAAACAAGTGAACGAGTCAGTTGACAGACCATGGGAGAGGTGTAACAATCGGACTGCGTTGAGGTGATCCAGAATATACTGGTATGAAGAGGGCCGCTGAGTGAGGAAAACCGCGTAGGAGGAGATGGTCGAAGGTGACGCTGGAAGAGGAACCAACGAGAAATCTTGGCAAAAACGGTGGAAAGAATTCCACTGAGAGCGGAGGTTGCGCATTGTTCCTGGGGCATAGGCCTGATGTTGTATCTGCGAAACGCGGTGCTGAAGCTGAGAATACATGGATGCAGGTGGTGTGTTGGTGACTTGAGCAGAAAAGCCTGGAGAGTGAGATAAAAGGCCAGATTAGCAGTCAATCTCGAACTGAAATAATTAAGGTGGACAGAGAATGTGGGTGGTGGGGGTGTCAGCGGTCAAGGCGTCAAAGCGAAGGTGATGGACTGGAGATAAGTGCCAGCGACTGAGATGATCAGCGATGGTGTTATTCACCCCAGCTATGTGTCGGGCAAAGATGTCGATGTCATGACGAACGGTGAGAAACCAGATTTCCCGTAAACACAGGTGCATCCCAGGAACGCGAGAACGGCCGGAATTGATGGCGAGCACGCGATTTGCATTATCGCACTGCAAATAAGGCGTTGACCGCGAAGAAGTTCGCCCGAAAGCTTAAGCGCCACCATTATGGTCAACAGTTCCAAAATGTTGATGTCGTGTCCAAACTGACTGAGGATGGGGGCGGGAAAAGGGGTGTGAAAGTACTGCCCTGTGAAATAGCCACCCGCACCGGTGCGGCATGCGTCAGTGGAGAGGAATAAACGGTTGTCAAGCCAAGGTGAAGTCTTGATAAGCGAAACACCATTGTAGGACGGCAAGAAGTGGCACCACCAGCGGAGATCGGAGTGATTAACACTTGAAAGGGGGCAGTTTTTCGACAACCGGTATGTTCGGAGGGTGTAGAGCAGAGACGACATGAAAACGCGGGCGAGACGAACACATGAAGTGACAAAAGACATGACGCCAAGCAAGGACTGCAAGTCGTGTCGTGAAACGTGCGTCACGGAGAGTAGAGATGTGCAGCGGGACTGTAGCTCTGAAAGGCGGTCAGGAGTGACGGAGACGGTCATATCGGTCGTGTCTACGAGAACGCCAAGAAAGACCATCGAAGTGGCCGGGGGGAATCCTTATCAGGAGATGTACTCAGTCCGAGGCAGCGTAAAAGGTCTCCCAAGGCCTGAAAAGCGGCTGCTGATTTAGTGGGAGTTACTGCTCCCCCAAAATCGTCGATGTAATTAGTGCAAGAGTAGCCAAGATTCTGATACATAAAGGTGACGGCAGAAGTGGTGGTCTGGCACATCATGGCCGAGGAGCGAAGACCAAAAGGAGGAGCTATGTCGAAATAGATGGAATCACGGTGCTGGTAGCCCAAAAGATGATAGTCCCGTGGGTCGATTCGCAACTGGCGGTAAGCTCGGCTGAGGTCTGTCTTGAAGAGATGACAGTGCTGGCCCTTTTGACGGATGATATCGAGCAAGGCATCCAGACCGGGTAGGCGAAGAGAGAACGGTTCACCGAGGTAAGCGTCGCGTGGAATACCACAGTTTACTGATTGACCAGGAGGGTAACTGAGGTCAACAACTACCCGTGGTTTGCCGGTGCGGCTGTAAGCGATTTGGAGAGGAGAGATCGAGATGTCGACGGAGGGAGGATTGGTAACGAAGGGCCCGCAAGTGGCGCCAAGTTCGCATTCGGAGCTAAGAAATTGGTCGATGACTGTTGGATTGGATCTAGCAGAACCATGATTCTGAGTGGACTGGACGGGCTGAGAACAGCTGGAGTATCCGACCGGCCAGCCAAACGCAAGAAAATCATACAGAGACTTGTCAGGATAATGGACGAGACGGCGGCGCCATTCGGGAATGTTGAGGTTCGAGGGTACCGGAAGACGAAGCGTGAAGGCGTTGGGACCAGTAGAATGCTGGAGGCGGGAGTGGAGAGAGATGAGACGCGAGGTAAGCGAGGACTTCAAAGGGAAAAGACGAGGACGATGGGCGGAAGGAGAGCTGGTTGGCGAGCGAGGAGAAGCTAGGGTAGGACGTGCGGGATCAGGTAGTCATGCCTGGGACGGTGATTCTGTGCGGCGAGCTGGGACGGGAAACTTCCGCTTAGGGCATGCGAGGGCTTGGTGATCGGAGCGTTTGCAAACGACGCAAACGTGTTGCTTAGGGCAGTCAGTGGACAAACAATTGTTGTGCCAGGACCATTCGTCGCAAATTTGGTGACGCGGAATCGCTGGTTTAGGTGAGGCAGTAATCGCTTCGCCATTAGCTGGAGGTTTAGCCGCCTTACGTGGAGCGATCTCAGACAGCAAGGACGAGGGGGTCAAAAACTGGACCTTGAGATGATCAAAGGAGTCCCCCCACTTAACTAAACCAAGCTCGAGGGAACGCAACACCTTGTAATGAAAGGAGCGGGCCGCTGACCACTGGTACGCAGATGCGAAAACCATAAGCGAACTCGAACACGAACCTAGCAGACACAACTAGCTATCTAACAGCGTGGAGAGGCGAACATGATACTCTTATTGAGCCATCCCTGTTATTAATTAACCTCAATAGATCATTCGAAGGAAAGTTGAAGAAAGATAAATTCTCGCCACTTTTGTTTCGTTTGTCGTTACTACAGAAATTAACGCAGCAATGATATTGTTTGTAATCTTCAATCAAAACATTGCAATTTACTACAAAACCTCTAGTATGCCCGTTCAGCCTCGATTTGGTGCGCTCCACAATTCAAGATGACGCTGCGTGATAAAGGTTTATGGAAGTGACCAATGATTAAACGTTACGTCATACTTTTCTTTCCGCAAAAAAGCCCGCCTTTTTTTGGATCTTAACAGTTTTACACTGCGTCCTCATGGAGACTATCCCTTAAATTTTACTGAACTCGCTATCGAAATGGGTTCATACAAGCTTCTACCGAAGATGAAATCTCTATAGGAGGTGATTCGCACAATCATTCATCGGAGGTGACCAATCTTGGTCGAATACCTCGAGGGTTTCCATTTCGTTTGTCGTGGCTCGCTTGATCCATTTTTCCAAAGTCGAAGGTAAGATCGCAACGTGCACTTTGTCGAAAATAATCGCTTTAGGAAGCTCAAATCTTCATATTTCCTCGCTTATATACCTTTTACGGCTTATAAAAACGCGTTGATCGATGTTCGTTTTGAGATCGTTCGCACAGCTTGGCGGGAGTGAGTTTAATTAGCTAATTTCGAATATTTCATGTCGCTGAAAGAAAACCTCTTCCTTTGAGACAGTGAAATGAGAAGAAATCCACACTGAGAGTTGTAATTTTCCAACACATAAACAGACAAAATATTTTTTGACTCGAGAAATATCGTAAGCAGTTCGTCTTTCGTTTGGGCGGTTGTTCTGTGAGGTTTTTTACATTTTCTGTGTCAACATCGATCTCGTCTCGAATACATGCGACTCGCCACTCTAAAGGAGCGATCTTTCTGTGTACAGTGTGTGTGTCCATCTCCTCAGATCTTCTTGGAATGAAGAGAATTATCTAAAATTTCTTTGGAACGAATCGACCAGATTTGTAAAACGTACATGTAAGAAAATTAAACTTACTCTAGTGCTTCCTATCCTGAATAATTTCGGCTATTAGATTGTGAAGTAGAGTTATTTTGTGCCTGTGATTTACCCGGTACTCTGTTTTTCATTTACCACTTTCGTAATGAAGATCTGAAACCCTTGCCGAAGGTCTTCGATGCAACGTTAACAAACTGTAGCCTTACTGTAGCATCATCTTTTAAAATATTTTACAATTACACATATAATTGCGGAATTTGTTTGCCCTACACGCAGGTTAGTCCTTCTGGTCATCACAGAATCTACCTCCTCTAATGGTGATGGACAAAACAGATAAGATCATAACCTTTAGGTAAGCGTTGAAGAAGAAAAAAAAGGAGGCCTTTCGATTATTTTGATGGAACACTCAATTTAGTTAGCAGTATTAGATGCAAATAAAGGCTTTCTAAAATTAATTGGTGGCCATAGGCTGAATCGTTAAATAATTCGCAATTCATACTTTGTTTAATAAAAAAACCTGTTTAATACTACAACAAAATAATTCTAAAGTAGGCTATGGAATACTTATTAAAACTGAAGTAGTTTAATCTACTTATCACCTACAAGCAAGAGCAATTTTACTGTGAGCTGCAGCCATAGGCTGTAAATCATTTTAATTAATCTCAACAGAGATAACAAAACTGTCAACCTAAAAGTGACTTTTTCATGACTTCATAACGTTGTCGCGGATCAGATGAATACCAACTAACTTATCGATGAAACCTGAGTCTTGCAGACAGTCTACATATCGGTTTCAATACTCAACTTAAACAATTCAACAGGCTGTGCATAATAACATCAGAGTCTTCTCTTAATTCTGATGGCGACTTCCTAGGTTGTTAAGATGTCAATCACTTAAGGCTATTTTTTCTGGCAATGAAGTTGTAAGAGTGCTTCTAACCCAGTGAAAATCAAAAATTGGAGTCATGAGTTTGATGGAATCAGAGTTGGAAGAATCAGAACGCAATGGTGTAACTTTTTTCCAATTCCATTTATGACTCCAGTGCTAACCAGATTGTTAGAGTTGCAAGCTGAAGTAGGCTGGGCCATTCAATGGCTTATGACTCTGACAATCCAGTTTTCACTGTATATCATAGCTGACAGAGTCATAAACTGCATTAATATTTTTCTTCCAAATCTGTTGGTTTGATTTTCACTGAATTGTATTACTCTGCACTTCTGATTATGACTGGAACTCTGTCGTAAATGAAAATCATCCTTTAAAGAGAAATAACACAGTAGTGAGACTCTGTCAGTGTATGGTTAATAAATGCATGTTTTACTGACCAACTGATTTATCTTTAGGTATCTTCCAAAACTCAGTTGTGATATCTCTTCTCTCTGTATTCAACATTAGTCTCTTTGTGATGTCAAGTCTTGCAGAGGTATGTACCATTACATTCATGCCACCTTTCTCTAAATGCAAAGCCAGAAGTTTACATCCACATTATATTTACTCATATGATAGCAGTTTTTATCTATCTTTCTCAAATGCAGTAATGCTGTGATATCTTAAAAGTATATGTACCTCTGTATGAGTTAGTAATGATAAATACAGTTATAAAAAATGGGGCAGAGTATATTCAAATCTATCTCTGGTTACATGTATGATTTTATATAGAATAATAATAGTTTAATGTGGGACAGAAAAATCTGATCCCTCCTTCAATAATTTACTGGACATCAGAAACAAAGTTTTAAATTCTCATAGAAAGAATGTAAATGGGGAAAAAAGTTAAGGTGGACATTTTCTGTAGTTACACCAACTTTTTATCAAATGTTTATCGGGTTAATTGAAACCTTATGGCTTACAATATGACTGTGAAAAACAGGTTACCAAAGTAGAAACTTTCAATGCAAAGTTATTTACCAAAGTTTATTACTTGCCTCGGTTGCCAAAGCAGTCCTAAATTGGAGTGTTGTTGAAGAGTTAGAGTGAGAGAGTAGGTAAAATTTTGCCATCATTTTTGCAATGGATACACACATTTTACAACATCTCAAGTTGTGTCATAAACAATGGTTTTTCTACCCAGCCCTTTGCAGTTGAAAGGGGAGTGAGACAAGGAGACCCCCTCTCTGCTTACCTGTTCATCATAGCGCTAGAAATTCTTTGTATTAGTGTACGCAGTAGTAAAGATATTAATGGTATTAAGGTAGATAATGAAGAGATCAGATTAAGCCTTTTCGCAGATGATTTAACTGGTTTTTTGAAAGATAATCTTTCGCTTGTGAACTTTCTTAAACTTATAAAAGATTACGGGACTTGTTCAGGCCTGAAGATTAACCACGATAAATCAGAAATAATGATATTGGGTAATTGTTCTTCTACTCTACAACAAGACAATGTCGTTTCATGCAACTTAAAAATTAAAAAAGTTGTTAAAATTCTGGGAGTGCACTTCACCTATGATTTTCGATTGAAACAAAAATTAAATGTTGATGAATTAATTAGTTCCATTCAACAAAAACTACGAATTTGGAGGTAGAGGGGATTTGACGACTATCAGAAGAATTCAAATTGTCAAAACTTTTATCATTCCTATTTTCCTGTATCGTGCGAGTTTGATATTAGTAAATAGGGAATTTGTGAAAGATGTGAACAAAATTATCTTCGATTTTATCTGGAAGGGGAAGGACAAAATCAAACGCTCTGCTCTTATTGGTGACATTGAAGATGGGGGACTTAAAGCCCCACATTTAGATTCTATAATAGAGACTCAGAGAATCCTCTGTTGCAAAAAGTTGGCAAGCGATCAACCGAGCAATTGGAAAAAAATTGTACTGCATTATCTTGAACCTGTGGGGGGTAAACTTATTTTATGTTGGGATTTTGATTTGAAGAAATTGCACATCAAGCTTCCAGCATTTTATGAAGAATGCTTTAAAAGTTTCGCAAAATGTTCCGCAGCAACTCATACAAATATACAGGATCAAAATAGACAAGATCTTTCAAAAACTATTGTGTGGAATAATAAATTTATTTGTATCGGTGGCAAATCTGTGTATTTTAAAAATCTCGCAGAAAAAGGAATTCTTTGAATAGGGGATCTAATCTCGGACAATAACGAATTTATTGTTAAAAGTAATTACAAGTTGAGAGAATTAAACACCTCGCCATTAGATATATTTTGACTTATTTCTGTAATAGACACCTTACCAGTTGAATGGCGTGAATCATTAAACACGCTTGCTTCTACAGCTGACGAGCCTTTCAATTTGTATAACGAAATTAAATTAAGTTTTAATAACAAAAACGTTTTAATTGAAACAGTCATTTCAAAGACTATATATAAAGAACTTCGAAATAGAATCATCACTCCACCGACTGCCCAACTGAATTTTAATACTCATTTTCTTAACGTTGTTTTAGAATGGAAAGAGATTTACAGCTTGTCATTTCGTACTTCCTTGGACACAAAATCGCGTGAATTCTAGTATAAACTACTTATTAGGTGTCTTGTCACAAATTCTTTTTATTTAAACAAAATTGGTATTATTCCATCCCCGGCGTGTTCCTTTTGTGGCGAAATGAACGAATCCTTGGAGCACTTTTTTATTTCTTGTCGTTATACTAAGGATTTCTAGGCTGAGGTAATAAAGTGGTTCGATAATCAAGGCGTAAAGATAAAACACCTCTCTGAAAAAGATATAATGTTTGGTATTTTAAGGTGTGAAGACGAATTATTAATCAATCATATTTTAATAATTGCCAAACAGTATTTATATTCTTGCCGACAGAACAAATCTCTTCCTTCAATTAAAGTATTAAACCTCAAAATTAAAATGATCCACCAACTCGAGACAATAATTGCAAAATCAAATAATAAGCTAAAAGATCATAATATGAAATGGGACAAGTACAAAAATTATTAGATGATATAGAATCTCATGTTTGTTGCTGCACTGTACTAGTATTATATTTAGAAGCCGAGGAGAGCTAAGAGGAACTGTGGATTGTGTATGTAGATATATGATGTACTGTGTCTGTCTGTTTATGTGAATTATGTTTGTTTATGAAAAATGTATGTAACTTTGAATTAATAAAAATTAATAAAATACAAAAAAAAAAAAAAATTTTGTGAGTGGGAGAGTAGGTTAAATTTTGTGCCTGATTGCCAACTCATCAATAATATTTTGTCATGTATCACTATAAATGAGGTTTAGAAACTGTTAACTCTGCCACTGCAATAATAATATGCCAAAGCTGCTGCTGCAGATAAGTCTCTAACCCCTAATCCTTTAGCTTTCAGCAGTTATTAACATGTAACTTCTCCATATAATATCCATTCATTATCTAGCAAACAGGTTACAAGAATGCTCAAACTTATGAGATAGAACTTGTTCCAACACCAAATTCTAGAGGGGAGAATTACATGCAACAATCAGATCTTGGGAGTTAAAGGGTTAAATGTTTCGTTCATTCTAGGAGTCATCTTCTTGCTATGAAGCCTCTGCAGTGCAGAGTTACCCAGATGACCAAACCAGATCATCCTCCAACCTGTTGAGAGTCACCATACTAAGCGATGAATGGGGTTCATCAAAAGGGGGTCTCTCTACAATCAATAAAGAGCTGGCAATACAATTAGCCAAACATCCCAACTTGGACATCAGTGTGTATCTTCCCCAGTGCAGTGCGAAGGACAAGAGTGATGCAAGTGGTCATAATGTTCACCTGATGGAAGCAGAAGAAATTCCAGGATATGATCCAATTGATTGGCTGTCTGTTATACCAGAAAATCATGCCATTGATATTATCATAGGTCATGGAGTACGTCTTGGTAGACAAATATCTATCATAAAGAAACAGCATGCCTGTGGTTGGATACAAACTGTCCACACAGCCCCAGAAGAGCTTGGCAAGTATAAGACCTATGCCAATGCAATCTCAAAAGGTGGGAAGAAGCATCAAGTGGAGGTAAAACTTTGCGAGAGGGCTGATCAAGTTCTTGCAGTTGGGCCCAAGTTGGCAGAAGCCTACAGGCGTTACTTGCGTTCCAGCCAGAAAGATCAAGCTACTCTGGATCTCACACCTAGTATTTTCTCTCAATTCTCCCATGTCAAACAAGCCAGTAAAGGTGGGAATACATTTGGTGTTCTAGTGTTTGGACGTGGAGACAGTGAAGATTTTCATCTGAAAGGCTACGACATAGCAGTTCAAGCAGTTACAAGGTTGGAAGGAATCATCATACCATCTCATGTTTGTTGGTGCTCCTGCTGGAAAAGAAGATGAAGTTACAGAAGAATTAGAGAAATATAGAATTTCCCGCCAGCAACTAACTGTTCGGTGCTTTGATGAAAGTAGAGGAATTCCTTGCCAATTTATTTTGTGAGATGGATTTGGTGCTAATGCCTTCAAGAACCGAGGGATTTGGATTGACAGCCCTAGAAGCCATGTCTGCTGGCTTGCCAATACTTGTAAGTGGTAACTCTGGATTTGGGGAAGCACTCAAGCAAGTGCCATTTGGCAACCAATTTGTCGTGGATTCAGATGATCCTGATAGGTGGGCAGAGGCGATTAAGGCTGTTCGAAAGAAAGATAGGAACTTAAGATTGGAAGAGGCCAAACACCTTCAAAAAATGTATGCCAGCAAATTCACCTGGAAGGAACAGTGTGATTCACTTTATGAAGCAATGTGTACTATCATGTCAAGTAAGATTTATGTTTTTCTCCTTTAACTTTGTTCTTGTCTAGTTGCACATTTCCTAATTTCAGGGTGTGGAAACTTGATTTTGGGGCTCTCATCTTCTGTCAGTAATATCAAGATATTACTGGTCAAAATATATTTCCAACCACCAATTCCCATTTGTAGGGAAGAACAGGTACAGTACAAGTTTGCTTACATCTTCATCATATAATGCATCAATCAATTTGAAGCTTCAACTTCACCTGGGCATTTGAACTTTTGAAGAATGGTCCATTCAAATTGGATCTTCCATGCACCCAAGAAATTCTACAAATTGGATCATATTTCATGCAACTCATATTAAGATAAAACACATTTATTCGGCTCTTAAGACTTGACAGCTCTGGTTCAAATTCCTTACCTTACCCTACCCTACCCATGTACCATTAAATACCTCTGGGGAGAGGGGATGTTATCAAAAAGATGGAAATAATTCTATTAAGTTTGCCAAACTGGTCTGGTGTAAGGAAGAAGGCAAGTGCAAATTTTAAACTCGGGTTTTTAAGTGCATGTACTGTTGGTAAATGTAGGTTTTGTTAATTTAATGTTTACTGAAATATTTTTCTGTGCCTGTTCTTCATTGATTCCTTCCTAACCTTTTTTGATTGCTCTCTAGTATTAATAGTATATATTTTTTTGGCAGGATCCACAGCTGATTTAGATTCTACCACAATCCCAAGAAGTCAGTTAACCTTGGTAAACCCTAATGAGGCTGATCAGGGTGCTAGACATTTGGCTCACAATCCTGAAGGTATGCACTTTGTAAAATGTATCAACTGTTGCTATGATGCATAGTTCTTCAACCAGAACTAACTTACAATTTAATTGGCCACTTCCAAGTTCTCACATTTCAGTGATCTGGTACTGAAATTAGGGCATGTGTACAAGGCTAAGGGCAAAGTTGCCTTCATCGGTTTAAAGAATAAAGTGCTGTGGTGGCAAAAACAACCAAAATTTTTTTTGAAAATTAAATGTGAGAGAGTGAAAAATTATTTGAGAGACACAAGTGAAGTGATGACAGCAAAGGAAAAACAAAATACAGAACTGTTTGATTTATGCAAGAAAGCTGCAGCATTGAAGCACATCAAAATTGCCTCTTCTGCTAAGGACCCCAAAAAAACCATTGGAGGAGAAATTATAAACAAGTGAGAGCAAATTTCCAGTACCAAATATTTTAATGCTTGGACGTACCTCTTTTCTAACATTCCAGAGTTTTCACTCCGTGTCCATATGCAACCTTGGGTCACTCATTTTTGTGCCATCATTTAACTGTTGTTTTACTTCTTGCTGAATCACAGCAAGGGCTCTTTGTAGTTTGCAAAAACAAAACGAATCAAATGCTAGACATGAGAATTGCTCGAATTGGGAGCATCATGCATTCCTCCTCAGCAGGAAAACATAGAATTGCATTTTTTACAATAAAAATATTCTACAATGGAATGAAATCAGGAAAAAAGTTAAGCTTGGGGTTCAAATGTTATTTAAAGTTCGTATTATACGCTAAGTTGTGTTTGCAATCCATGCCACCGACCAATTCCTTCTGGCCGGTGGAGTTTACCACACAGACTTGCATTCCATAAATTAAAGATTTTCATTTTGTAAATGGTAGCTTTCCATTTCACTGATAAAAGACTTTGAGTTCATTTTGGTAGGTAAAGATTTCCAATCCGTTTTGTTTAGATTGTTTTGTAAGTTACAGTAAAGTTTTGCTACGGATCAGCAAGAAAGAAACAACAATTTTAATCTTTTAAAAATGATGAGATAGAAGAAACTGAGGCCAGAGATGCAGAAGTTGTGTATCCGAGGATCCAAAATTTAAGGCACTAGAAATTTGCCCTGACTTGTTTGTAATCTCTCCTCCAACAGTTTTAGTGGTCTTCAGCAGAGGCATTTAGTTGGATCTACTTCATTGCTGCAGCTTTCTTGTATAAATCAAAAAGCTCTGCATTTTTTCTTTCCTTTGCTGCCATCACTTAGCTGAATGCCTCTCTCCCACAAATAATTTTTCACTCTCCCTCACCGAATTTCATGAAATTTTCTCTCATGTTCACCACCACAGCACTTCATTCTTTAAACTGATGAGAATGACTTGGCACTGAGTCTTGTCCTCATGCTGTAATTTCAGTAGCAGATCACTGAACCTCAAGAACTTGGAAGTGACCTGTCATAATAATTACTTACTTGTTAACCTACCTGAGGAGGTAATAAAAAGCCATTAGCACCAATGTATTTAGATGCTGTCCCATATTTTCCCCATATTTCTTCTCAAAAGTAAAAAAATATATTTGAACTGATAAAATGTAGAGATTTCATTGAGTAAACTATTGAGTATGTCCATATTTAGGAAAGTAATTTATCTGTTGGTCAGTACATCAGATCATGATCAGTCTGGAGAAATAATAACTTCTTGGTCACTGAGGCACATAAACCATAGTTGTTCGGTCATAAGGTGCACCATTTTTACAAGAATCTGAGTCTTTTCTCTCATGGAAAAAATAGATGCCAAACTTGGGGTGTGTCTTGTATCTGAGTATTTTGGTGAAACTGGTTTTGAAAAGTTCAGATTTTCCCACTCCTATTTATTGTTAGTAATAACTGGTAGTTTCTGTTCCAAAAGCAGGAAAAGGCATCCCTGTAACTGAAGAATTTGAAACTTTTTGTGACAAGCACACTTGAATGATACATTAGATCTGCCTTTTTCCACTTGTTTCCAACTTTCCACATGCTTTTACTTATTCAATCTCAAAATAGCAGATCCATCAGTGAAACAGCCTTCTAGGAAGCGTAAACGGTCCATCTCTTCTGGTGTTCAAGCTCCTAAGCAATTTAGATTGGTGTTGGATGACAAACGAGGTAAGATATGAAATAACTGTATATATTTTTGTTTTTGATATTGTTTTGAGAATAAAAGCATTTTCCATCCATCTCCTTATGTCACTTTTATAGTGTTTTCACCCTTTTTTTTTCTGGTGGGCTGGTTGTCCTCAGAAACTTGAATCTGGTAACATCTGTTAAATACAAAAAAATTATAAATTACAATACCACTCAGATATATGCTAACCAGAAAAATGTGCAGGAAATTTCATGTAAGTGCAGATAAATAAATAAAAATTTTCAATTTTGTGCATGCATAAGCTTGACTCATCTGCCTCAGTATGTCTAAGCTAGGCCTTTTGTTTTCCATTATTGATGGTTCAGTGTTTAGGGTGAGGGTTTATTTAACTGAGAAAACTGTCTCCTAGAATGATGATCTTCAGAATTTTGAAAGATCATACTTAGTCTAAAAGTATGTTACATTTAAAACTAACTACATTTTGTTTGACACAGATCACATTACCTTGGTGGTTAAAAGACTCCAAGCTGAATACAAAAGGAGGTCTTTGGTGAAGCCATTACCCTGGAACAATACCCTTCAACTGCAACTTGATGACACTTACACCAGATTGAAATTTCTCTCTCGAAGAAAACGTGACTTCATATTGGAAAATCTCGCCATTGACACAGATGAAATTTTTGAGTTTGACAAAGGGGAGGATAGCATGGTTTTAATTGAGGGAAGTCCAGGAATCGGGAAAACAACATTTTGTCTTTACCTTGCTAATGACTGGGCCAGAAAAAGATTTACAGAAAACAGTCAATTGAATAGCAAATTTGAGTTAGTTCTTCTATTGAAGTGCCGGGATTTTGAAGGAGATGTCATGGAAGCCATCTGTAATCAACTTCTTCCTGAAGATTGTGATGAGAAAATTAGGAATAATCTTGTGGATTTCCTAAAAGACTTTCACAACCAAGAAAAAGTGTTGCTAATTTTGGATGGTTTGGATGAATTGCCCATTAGGTCTAAATGCCATGTAGCTAAATTACTTCATAGACAGATTCTCCCATTTTGTTTTGTGTTGGTGACATGCCGACAAGAAAGAGGAATTTCAGCTCGAAAGGAGTTTCAATTTGAAAGTCATTTGCAAATTGAAGGGTTCACAGACAAAGCTGCCTCTGACTTTGTCATAAGGTATTTTGAAAACATTTCCCCTGCAAATGGCCAGAAACTTACAGCAGAAATTAAGGAAAATTCTCTCCTCAAAGCCCTTCTAAATAACCCTTTAAATTTGCTTCTTCTGTGTGTTGTGTTTGAGGACTCTCAAGGAAAACTTCCTTCTTCCAGGACTGAACTTTATCAGACTATAGTCTGTTGTCTCTTGAGGAGATATTGTGCTAAGCACAATTTGATTTCTCGTTCTGATGACAGAATATTGCAGAAGCAGTTTGAAGAGAGCACGCTTGCTTTGGGAGAGCTAGCCTGGAAGAGCCTTCTTAAAGATCGCCACAGTTTCTCTGAAGAAGAGTTAGCAAGCCTTGAAAGAAGAACTGATGGTCTAGTTGCCCGTCACATTGGTCTTGTATTCAAGGAGGCAAGTGTGAAGAAGATGAATCCTAGTGATGAATATTATTTTCTTCATAAAACTTTCCAAGAGTTTTTAGCGGCATCATATCTTGCACATAGTCTACAGAAAGATGACATTAACATCTTTAGAGACTGTTCCTTGTGGTTTTATGAAATTGTAACAAAATACCGGCAGGTGTTTCTGTTTGCAGTTGGCATACTAGAGAAAAATGATGTTTTGTTTAGACAAGTTGGTGAAGAACTTTCACAAAACTATGATGAGTGGAACTGGCTTCAGTGCTCAGAAGAAGAAGCAACATTCTTCACTGAATGCCTCAAGGAAAGTGGAAACTCAGAGGACATGGCATGTACTCTCTTTTCATTAATTCCACTTCCACAAGATATAGAGATCAATCACAATGTTGATCATTATCCAGAAAACTTTGTGCCAATTTTGAAAGTTTGCCAAGAATTTCCACAACTAAAACAACCAATAAACCTTTTCATAACTGATGCCAATTTTCTTGAGGATTGTGAAGTGAAGACCATTAAAGATGTACTAGAATTTTCTCATCACCTTGAGAATCTTGTTTTTTCTGCTAGTGAAATGACAAAGGTGCTGGCAGATGCTTTGTTTGAAGGACTGTCTTCCTGCCTATCCTTGAGGAAACTTTCTCTCAATGTATCACATGGCATGGCTCCTGATCAAGCTTATATTATTGGCAAGGCCTTGGCTGCAAGCAAGAATTTGAGAACAGTAGAGATGGCAATTGGCAATGATTGCAAGGAGACTTGGGTGAGTGCTCTTGAACAAGGATTAACAGCAAAAACACAGTTAAGAGATGTCACCCTCCAAATCTATGGAACAATGAGTCAAACCAACATACAAGCTCTAATACGCCTGTTTACCAACAAATCTTTGATCTCTCTTTGCATTATCATTTCAGGAGATATGCATGATTCTGTAGCTTCTGCTATTAATGAAGGTCTAAGTACTATGACATTTTTGGAATCATTTCAGCTTTTAATTTCTGGAAATTTGAGTTACTCTGGTGCAATTTCCTTTGAGGAGGCATGTTTTCAAAATCAGTCCTTGAAGACATTGAAAGTAGTTGTTTGTGGAGAGGTCCCTGAGAACTGGTCTACTATTGCCAGCAGGTTAATGTTATCTAAGAGAGCATCACTGTCTTGTGATTTTCAACCCAGTATCTGCCACAAGGTAACAGAGATGCAGATAAATCATCTTGGTGATCACATTTTTCCAAGTAGTAGATTATTGTCTGGACAGTCCATAACTTTGACCCTCTGGGGTGGACTTACTTGCAGTGGTGCAAAAGCCCTTGATGAAGTAATCAGAAGTTCTTTGATATCCAGTTTGACTCTTAATATCCATGGCAAACTGGACAATGATGTAGTACATTGCCTTGCTGAATACAAGAAACAAACAAAGACACTATCCTCTTTCAAAGTCAACTTTTGTTGTTATCTCTCTGAAGAGGAAAAGTCTGTTTTTCATGATTTACCAAGCAATGGTCAAGAATTTTCATTCATCTCAAATTTCCCCCAGGAGGAATCTACATGTATTTCTAAATCCTCTGACTCCTACCAATTGAAATCAAGATCTGAAACCTGCATGGTTAATCTAACATCCAGCAGCACAAGTGAAGACTCTGCACTCTTGGGAAGATTGCATGATGGTTTGCAAAGCACTGTACCTTTAACGACACTGAGCATCAGCATCAATATTGATGCTGGCTTCAGTGGAAACTGGGCTTCTGACTTGGCTACTGCCTTGGCTGAGAACACTTCAGTCACAACTTTCAGCCTGACTATAAACAACTATGATGACATGGGGGGTGCCTGGGGATGTTGCCTAGGTGAAGCCATGGAAAGAAACACCTCAGTGACCACATTAAAGCTCACATTCAACATCTTTGCTGATATGAGTGGTGACTGGGCCCAAGGTCTAGCTGATGGCTTAGCCAGGAACACATCGGTAACTACGCACCATCTTGCAATCAATGATTATGGTATCACAAGTGGAGAGTGGGCCTACACCCTTGGCGATGCTTATGCCAAAAACACAAACCTGACTTCACTTCATCTGAAGATCAACAACCATAGTGCACTCAGTGACAACTGGCTTGAAGGTTTGTGTAATAGTTTGTCAAGGAGTAATTCCATATCCAAGCTTCATTTTTACTTGAATGGACAAGATGTGTTTCTAAAGAATGGAAGTCTGAGAGAAAATCTTTGCAAGTGGCTAGCAAAAACTTCATCAAAAACATCGCTTCAACTGATGATAACCTTGTTTGGAGAATGTTTAGATTCCTCAAAGGAGTAGTTCCCTGAATCAGATGTGCAGCAGCAGACAACGGACATCCATTAATCATGGGTTCTCCTCTCAGAACTAAACCTTCCCAGCTGAGAAGACCTTGGTTAAGAGTTGTTCAGTATACTGATAGAAACTGGTGATAAACATTCATCTTACTATAAATAAGGTAAAACTCTTGGGCAGTTTCAGCTGTAAATAATGATCTAAAATGTGTATCCACAAGTTGAGTTTCACAATCAGAGTTAAAGAATTTGGTTGCCCTTTTTTTGCCCAATCCTGCCCAATCCTGCTCAACCCCACCTGCAGACAGTGTTGAATGAACAAGTTTGCCACAGAAGTTTGCAGTCTAATAACATCCATTGACAAAAGGGGGATGCAGGAATTTTTTAGGTCTCATGTTCAAGTTATTTTCTTGAGCAAAATTTAGAAAAATGTGAAGCCAAATTGTTACTTGCTAGCCAGACACAAAAGTTGGCTTTTTTGGTTTTTGTAGTGTAAAAAAACAAGCAGGGTAAAGGGTAACCTATGGTTATTAGTTTTCCTCTTTTCGGTAAAGGTTAGGACTATATCAAAAGTATGTGACTTCATCCACAGATGCCTCTTAGTCATATCAAATTCCTGCAGTTTCCATAGCTACCTGTTCTTTAAGACAACAAATTATGTGAAGTGCAGTGTTCAATATAACAGCTGGCTGCCAGTAGCAGTAGGAACTTTTAGCATACTAGCCAGCAATTTTTCACCAAAGAACTAGAATTTTATTAAAAAAAACATGGATGCTTATTGATTGTTCAAGTGAAGTAAAAGTCACTGTCATGTTATGGTGAACATTTTATATCAGGCAATGAAGCAGCCAAGAAATGTTTAAAAGCTTTTTGGAAATGTAAATGGGTATAAGTATACTATAGGTACCCCATTTCATATAAATTTTTTAAAATTAAAAAAGGTTTCTCAAGGAAAAGAGAAATATATGTGCTGACTGCTCATTTATTATTGACAGCTGGGGAAAAATATGAGTCTTGACAAAAGCCTACAAATTCATGTTAAAAGCTCAAAAATTATTTTGAACCCTGAAAGTGTAACATAACCACATGTTATGTCCAAACTCAAATAGAAGCTAAGCAACAGAATTTACACAAATTACCATTACAGCTGTAGGTGTACACCTTTTTCTTACTGTAGAACACCCCCCCCCCCTTAGTCATATTAAATTCTTTCAGTTTCCATAGCTACCTGTCCTTTAAGACAACAAATGGTGTAAAGTGTGACATAACCACTTGGTGTTACGTCCATACTCAACTAGAAGATAGGCAAGCTACTGCTGTGCTTAATATGTAGACTGTGCATTGGAAACATTTGCACCTGGTCCAAGAAGCAGTCAAAACCCCTCTCCCCCTGTTGGAAAAAAAAATCCTGTTAGGTTTACATACTCATTTAAGCTGGAAAAATGAGTATCCTCCACCCTCCATCTCTAGATCACAACTTCCCCTGTATAGGATTCTACTCCTAACAGTTGAATTGCAACTATGCTCTTGCATGTTGGGTTAGAACATAATGGCAGCCTGAATTTCTCAAGCTGGAGTCATGCCTAGAACAATGAGCCACTACCTACTGATGATATTCTACTTGCCACTACCCTACCCCCCCTCCCCCATTCATCTGACAACTAGTGTGTTTGAGATTAACCCTTTAACTCCCATGAGTGACCAAGACAGAGTTTATCTTTACAATATCAATACAAAATCAAGAAGACAAGTGATGAGAACCAAGAAAAGTATCAACTAGGCAATTATAAGTTGATCCAATACCAAATTCTCTCAAGTGATATCAGAAGAATTATACAGCAGACAGTAAGGAGAATTACTTACAAGATCTTGGGAGTTAGAGGGCTATCAAGACATGTTCACCATGTAGTAAAAGAGTTAAATAGTGTGAGGAACATGTGAGTTCAGAAGTGCCAGGAATTACTGCACGTAACATGCTAATCCAACCTTTATGATGAATTGGCTCTAAAATAAAAGAAGCAGCAGTGTAATCCCATGTTCTTAACATTTAACTCTTTTTTTTTTTTGAGGCACATTGAACTACTTTCTCAAAAGAGCATAAAAACATTTTGGAGACATTGAGCAAAGTTTGTTGACAATAATCTTAATAACTAATTTCTCGTAGACAAGGTTGACATAGCAGCATAGTGTATGTGTGTGCTCTGCGGATTCAGTGCGACCAAGAAGCAATATGTTTCAGCTTGAATGAATGTTCTCCCCAGGTGGAGAGGGGGGGGGGGTGTTAAAATGTTGCTACCAAGGGAAAATCGCTGCAAAGAATCTGATTTGGATAATCTATGTCTTGAAAATGAATCAGTTGTCGGTTTAAAAAGTGATTCCCCAGCTAGTCGCCTGTGCACCTCTGTGCTTGGGGTTTTTGACGTTTTCACATCTGAATAATTGCGATCAGTTTATACAGGAGAGTCATTTTGGTACGAGAGGGACTGTAAAGTACTGCATGAAACGCGTCCCACAACACTCGTAACATCACGATGGCTCTCAAATTGAGGAAGCAGTAGTGTAAAACTATAGCCTGAAAGAGGATGGATTTAAGAATAAGAACGAAATTTGAAGATATGAACCCATTCCTGAGGCCACGTCCTCCGCAATCAAAATAGCCGTGACAAGCGAATTTATATTTAGACTGGATCGACTACTCAAGTAACGCTTGCGCAGTAACCACAACGTAAACCAAGATGGCCGACCCTTCCCCCTAATATGATGAGGGACGTGATCACGTTCCTTCCTGGCTAGGATTTACTTAGATTCAACTGAAACTCAAGCTAAGGATGGCTACAGTCTGGGGGAACGAGGACGTAGCCTGCTACTTCACCACGAAGCATTCGTGGCGCGGAAAGTAAGTTAACACTTTTGCTCATTAGATCGATCGCCGCTGGCATGGAGGCTTGCTTATCGCGCGTTTCAACATTTCATATCCAGTTTTCTGACTCTTTTGCAAACCTATGTTCTCGTTATCACTTGCAGATACAAGAGGATCTTCTCCATTGGAACGAAAGGAATTACAACGTACAATCCGTCTAACCTCGAGGTCACAAATCAGGTATCCTCAAACCCCCATCTCCTTACCCCTGTTTGTAACAGTGTACCTCTTTTTCCGCAATGAGGTCATTTTGTTCCGGAGAAGCACTACAACGCAAATGGTAGAGAGTTAATTTTTTTTCAGCGTTTAGTCTCATAGACTGTCTCAAGATCTTTTCAGTTTCATTTACTACAAAAGTTAATAATCGCGGCGTCATCAAAATGTGAAATAGAAAGTCACTTTATTTTTTACAATGTTACTAATAAATCGGCTGATCATTTAAAAAATCGCGTTATTTTCCTATATTAATTATTCCATTGCACAGAAGAAAATTTTCAAAGATCAAAACTTTTTAATCAGTTTTGTTTTATGGCAATCAGTATTAGCAAATACGACGTACATGTAGAGTAAACTTCAGTCTTTGTATCCAGTATACAGTAGTTCTCATACATTATCACATCTTACAACAATGCCTCTTACAGCTTATAGAAAGTGAAACCGTTCTATTATTTCAATTTCCAAGTGCAACAGAAAGTTAGCACAATGTAACACCTTAAGTGTCCATGAATGATGAATTACATATGCATCTTCTGTGTTTGCTTTTGTTTTATGATCATGAATTTGACCCCAACAAGTGACAAGCATCTAATATCTCCTTACAATATCACCCCTGAATCAAACATTAAGTTTATGAGAATAAAGGAAATAATCACCAGTTAAAGAAGCTCTTGATTGTTAAACAAATTCTCTTGGTCAACACCTTGGGAAATGTATAGAGAACAGTTTTTAGAATAAGTATACTGATGTGAGGATACAAAGAGTTAATGGGCTGGTTGAATAAGCCATACTGGAATGGTTGTAGTAGTATAATTAACTCCATCCCAACATAATATGACCCAAGTCAATCTGGTGCAGCTTGATCAGGTCCTGGTGCAATTCACATGTAACGTAAGCCCTTTCAATTCCAGCAGTAATCACTGGGTAGTTTCTCTTTACAATAATGATACATTTTCTGGCAGAATGATGACGAGAAGTAAGAAAAACAATCAGGGAAAACTGTTAGTAAAAGTGGTGTGAGCACTCGCCTCCCTTTATTGTGCCTCAGGTCTGATTCCCAGCCTGGTGTCAATGTGGGTAGAGGTTGTTGTTGGTTCTCATCCTTGTTCTAAGAGTTTTTGACTGGGTCCTTTAATTTTCCTCCATCCACAAAAATCAACCTTTCAAATTCCAATTCAACCAGTAACAGTGGACAAGAGGAGCTACCTCATGGAATGTTCACTGTGAAATCTCATCTCAATAACTTCAGTTTCTTTTAACCCTTTAACTCCCAAGATCTGATTGTTAATTCTCCCCTCCAGCTTTTACACAATTTCTGACAAATAAGTTACTATTATTGGTATAAGATTCAGATGACAACTTCTACTCAATAAGTTTGGGTATTATCTTTCGCCTTTTGCTGGATAATGTATGGATATTATAGGGAGAAGTTTCATGTTAGTCACTTCTGGGAGTTAAAGGGTTAATTAGAAACTTACCCTTCTTTATTAATGTGTGCAATATGAGTCCTTCTTTTGACCAGCTACCTGTTTTTTTTTTTTCAGTGGGCATACAATGACTTCTGTAGAATTGCACCAAGTGCAAAGGCTCCTAGTGAGCTGATCATAACTATGAAGAAAAGTAAGTTGCAGAGAAATGAACATGCTAAGTGTATTATCCTGTGTAGAGTAAAAATTTCGCAGGTTATTAAATTTCAGAGAAAAAGAGTTCAAACTCTGGTAAAATTTATTCTGCTAAAATTTCTACATGCAAGTCAAGCACTGATTTGTGTGGTATTCAGCTTCACTTGAATTTTCTCAAAAGTGCATGTTTGACTCATTTCATTATGAAAGTGGAAATGAATGTTTTTGGTTTATGTTCATGTTAAGTTCAGTCTTTAGACATGTTTACAAGAAGTACTGCACGTTTACATTGCCAAAATTTCAGCAATTTTAAATGTAACACTCTTTTCTACTACTGAAAAGGTCAATCTATAAAGTGTAGGTGTTATTTTGAGATGAGATTTACTTCGCACAGTGTAGTTAGAAGTAGTGATAAATAAAATTTGGTTCATTGTGTTTATTTTCAGCTGGTGCAAGTAAAAAGATCCAGAGTATGACATTCTCCACAGAGCACAGGGCTGATCTTTTGACAGAGGCTCTTGTAAGTTAAATGAAGAGTAGTTCACTCTGATTTGGCTGTAATACTTTCAAAGTGTAAACAATTTGTCTTATAGTAAGTAAATTTGAAATTGTCTGAATCATTTTTACAGAGATTTCGTAAAGAGTTCTCAGACTTCAAAGCAGGAAGTGAAGTGGTAAGTTTTAAGTCAAATATGTTCTAGAATCAGATTTTTCTTTTTGGAGCTGTGAGTGTCCAGAACCCTTTGTTGGGTGTTGGGTTTGGGTTGTCAAGAAGGGGGAGGGGAGGAGGGGGAGGGGAGGTGGAGTGGAAGGAAGGAGAGAGAAGGGAGGGAGGGTTATAATGAGTAGTGCCTGAAAAATACATCAAGTTGATCTTATTTTGACTATTTTTCACATAGCAGTGTCCAGAATCCCTTTGATATGGTTACCAATGTGCAAAACAAATTGGCCATGTTATTGGGGTGACCATGTTACAGTTACATTTTTTTTAAAGACAAAGGGCGGTAATTAGAAATATATGGCATTCTCACTACCTGAACTGTTCTCTTCATTAAACAACCAGAATCTAGATATATGTGTAGTAACTGTAAAAAATTCTTAATCTTTACTGCTAGCTTCTCCTTTCAAATTGTCTTATATTCCTTTTATAAGAAACAGAGAGAAGTTAGGCTGTATGAAAAATCACTTGTAGTGTTTTAGAGAGCTCCCAAGTTGTAAATAATTTTCTGAAAATTATATGAAGTTATGTTGTGTGCAAGATCATTTTAATTAATATGTAATTTCAGCGTTTCAATGGATACAAATATCATTGGAGTGACACAAGGCTGCCGATAGTGTTAGAGGTAAAAGAAACACATTAGTTAATACTTGACTTAAACCTCTTGCTGCTACACATTTTCTTTTAAATTAGTCATGAGAATTTGTTGCTAGATCAAGATAACATCTGCTAGATAGGTTTAAGTATTCTCATTTCCTGTTAATTGGATAATGTATGGAGATTAGAGGGAGAAGTTACATGTTAATCAGTTCTGAGATTTCAAGGGTTAAACGTGATTTACTACCTGTAGGTTACACCTTGTTCTTTGGACCAAATTGATCCTACAACAAGAGAAAAGCTGTGTTCATATGATTACAAGGATTTGGAGGGTGTTGTGCAGGTCAGTGTAATGTAAAACAAACTTTTTATTGATATAATGTACATGTACCACTCCTGTACTTCAGTAGGGGTCTATGCTCAATTTAACCCTTTAACACCCAGATCAAATTTGTAATTCTCCTTACTGTCAACCATACAGTTCTTATAATGTTATTTCTGAGAATTTAGTATTGGATCAACTAAGTATCCCCAAATTGATATATTTCTTTGTTCTCACCACTTATCTGTTTGATATTGTATTGATATTGTAAGGAGAAATTCTGTCTTGGTCACTCATGGGAGTTAAAGGGTTAAGGATTTAGGTGTCAGGAAAAAAAACACAAAAAACAAAAGCAAACAAAAAATAAATTTTTCTGTTCACAATCATTTGTGCTTTCCTCAATGTAAGATTTAACCCAAAGCACTAGAAATTAAAATGTAATAGCTTGCCAGATGAACACCCAACACAGGTCACCAAATTACTGAATTTTACAGAAAATTTTTTGGACAAATTTTCTGGCCAAATTTTGTCTTCCTCCCTTGGCGACCAGAAATTTATGGGTTGCAGCTTGAAGCACATTCAGAATGAGGCATAGTACATGTCAAATTTGTTGACTAAAGATCCCTTTTTTTATTATTCTCTAGGTGTCAGACTATCCTGGTGGAATTGCCATTGTTTATGGTGGTTTCAGTAGACTTGTAAGTTGCATTGTATCTTAATGGTGACAATAATAGATTTTGAAAATTTTTAATGCTGTGAGAATTTCTCCCATAGTCTATTCTACAAGTTCAATGGACAAGAAAGCTTTTCTCCATCTTTTTGATATTTTTGTTACATTTCAGCATCTCTTTGCACTGGAACAGAGAGAAGAGTTAATGAAGAAAATGTCAGAATATGCAATGGCACATGTTGGAGTTGCAATCAAGTGCGTAGAGTTGATTTACATGTTATTGATAGCAAATTGGAAATTATGATTAATTATAACTAGTCTTTGATGTCTCCCAAGAGTTGACAGAATTTAAACACCAAAGACAACCCTGTGTATTTTCCTGTTACAGTCATGAATTCTTCCTGCTACTGTTTTTTCACTTTGCACCACACTGTATTTTTCCAATGGATTGAATCTTGTTTTACAATTATTTCAGTATATGAATAGGTTTCTTTTAACACGAGTTGAAACTCTTTTACTGAAAGTAGGAGAAACCATAGCAGTAATATACACGTCTATCTTTGTCCTTTCTACAGACAGAAAAGTAAGCCTATAACATTTGAGCAATTTCAAAGCCACAAATTTGGAAAATTTAGGTAAGTTGAATGTTACATTTTTAGTTAAGTTTATTACCACTTGCAAATGTGTGATTGACAGTTTCACACACACCCTGTGAAGTGATGTGGAAATCCAAACTTCTTTCCACCTACTTTTCAGGCATTTTGATGAGATGGTATAATCACATTATGTACTAGTAAGATTATATCAGCACAGTGTTTTTACAAGATATTGGGTTAGTGTGGGAGAAGTAGCTGTGGCTGAATGGCCTACTTGGCTTGAATTAAGACTTTACCATTTTCACTTTTAATACATATTTTTCCACAGTGAAGATGAGCACATCACATCCATAGCTGAGTTCAAAGTTCAGAAAATTTCACCCAGACATCATGTAAGTGTTCAATGATAATGACCAAAAATTAAACCTTTGAATGACATTATGTGACTTGTCCACATTTAAATTATTTAATTGTGTTAACTCTCTAACAATTTCAATTGTGCTAAGTTCTTTTCTTTTGTTTACAAAAGGACTTCAGGTACAATTTTACTAAGTTTGAACAATTGTGGTGACCATTTCATTTGATAGATGATTTTTATGGTTAAGATTTAATTTATTCATAGTTTTTTAATCAATCCTTTACACCCTAATATCAGTATCCACATTCTCCATACTCTTCTCTATACATTTCCTTTGGTACTGACAAGGAGAATTGTTTAACCATTTAACTCCCATGAGTGACCAAGACAGAATTTCTCCTTACAATATCAATACAATATCAACCAGATAAGTGATGAGAATAAAGAAAAATATCAATTGGGGGATAATTAGTTGATCCAACACTAAATTCTCTGAACTAACATAGAAAGAATTGTATAGTTGACAGTGAGGAAAATTACAAATTTGATCTGGGAGTTTAACAATCAAAGTTCCCTGCATGTAAGTTGGTGATCATTTCCCTTATGCAACATGATCTCAATTAATGACTCAGCACTGTAACTGTAAGGAGAAATTAGATACTGGTCACTCAGGGTATAATGGGTTAACCAAATCAATTTAATTTTTTGACAATGATATTAAAGGTAATATATGATGTGACTTTCTTTTACAGGATCCTGTTGTTCGCACATTGTGTCTATCAGAGACATGCATGATAGAAAGAGACCCTGCAACATACATTATTGTGAGCTGTCATCCCCTCTCTGATGTAAGTTTCAAATGTAAAGTTTCTTCTCACTTCTGTGATCTGGGCACAAATTCTTCCAACAAGTGATGTACATGTATAATTGTCAATTTTTCTTTTATTTTCAGGTATTTGCCATCATCCGTTCAAATGATAATCCTCAAATGTTCACCATAGAGTTTGTCCGTGGAGCAACAAAGAGGTTCATGTCAACTGAAAGGTAACCAGTCAAGAATATGTACAGTTGTTGTACATGTATGTAACTCTTTACTTCTAAGATCTTAACACTCCTTATCATTATTATTGGAAACTAGAATGAAAGAATTTGAATTTGTTTAATTTTCTTGCAGGGACTCACTGTTGGCCAGTCTGCTTGATGGAGTTCGTGCCAGCGGCAACAGGGATGTCTGTGTCAAAATGAAACCTACCATTAGAGGTTTGCCACCATTCATAACATACATGTATAACTTGTACCTAAATTGTTCTCATGTGTAATGGTCCACTTGTGTGTTTTGGTGTGTAAATGTCTTTATGGTGGTGTGTAAATGCATGCATGTGTGTAATCAAACAAAAACATTAGCTACAGAAGGTGTCTGCAATTCCTACTGACTACAGATGCAAAACATGCATTCTGCACATCAGCACATGCAAATACTCGTAACAAAAAGTGTAAACAAGAGAGGATAAATTGCGTGCTCATTTATATGACACAGATTCAATCTGTTGGAACTCTTGAATTGTGCACTGAGATAAAGTGCACATAATAAGAAGGAAGACTTCCAACACTCCAAATTCCAATTTGATCTGGAAGCAGAAGACAAGAAGAGCCATCTAGAGGAAGTCCATCATTAAATTCCATTCATTTATTTTTTACTCATTTCTTTATTCTAAATTAATATAAATACATGAAAATTTGTAGAATATTTATTATGAACTCTTCTGTTGTTCTTCTGTTGTACAGGTTTTAGATTTGCACCAGTCATTTCAACTGTGGATGAGGAAGTTGAAAGTCAACATCTCAGATTTCTTGCAGTTCCTCCAGGTACATGCTGTCATGTTTGCGAGCAAAAAAGCTATCCAAAACTGAGACGATATCATTCAATACCACTAATTTTAGATCAACTGTTGCCTAGAAAGTAAAAAAATGACTTTGGTGCAAAATAAACACTTGTAACTTTAATTGGAGCTAACCATTAATTTTATCCCTAGATAATTCTGTTATGACTTGTACATATGGAATCATGTAGGGTTTCCCAACAGAAAAGCCATCACTTTTTTCCATGTACCTACTGTTCAGTGTATTTTCCTATCAATGTGTCCTGACTTCCTCTCCTGACAAAATGTTTTTTTAACTTTTACTGATATTTCATCATGATTACCTTTTTTTAGCAAAATCTGTAATCAGTTTAAATTTCCCTCTTTTCTTTCATACAGCCACATTTGCAGAAGCAGTAGAAAGATTTAACAGCAATATTCCTTACAATGGATTGCTCCATGCAGTCACACAAGATGTAAGTACAGTGGGTCACTCAGTGTCACCTTTTGTCTCAGTCTCCTCTTTTGTGACCAACTCCTTTTTTTTTCCTAGTCTTAAACTATCTATTGTTTGTATTCTCTGCAGGGGCTGTTTGCTGAAAACAAGGAAAAGCTCATAACAGGAGCAATCACTGCTCTTTTAGCAATGGAAGGTGAGACACCCTCCCATATGATGTGTATATCATATAAAAAAAAATTGTTTTTCAATGAGTACTTATTATTTACTTAATCAAAATTTTAAAAATTCTGGAACTTCATTGGTTATCACCAGCCTGGTTTGAGCACTAATACGATGGTGTACACGTGATGCTTGTAATAGGACAGTTGATACATCATGCCTGTGTAAGTGGACAGTACATGTCATGAGTGTGTGCTGTTGATGTGCATTCTACCAAGTTAAGTTTTGTTTTTTTTTTTTAAATGAATAATCTAGTTTCTCTCTCAAATTTTGTCATAATTTTGATTAATTGGTAACAGGACTTCATTCCATCCAATTCTGTTCATAATCATACATGTGATTAACAAATTGGACTCCTGCTTTGTGGCTGTACAATTTTATTAATCACTCGTATGATTACAGACTGAATTGGACTCCACTTAGTCCTACTACTGTTATTAATTGAATTCCACTTAGTCCTATCACCATTACATACCTTCTAAAGGTTACACTGTTTCAATGAACATGTTTTTACTAGGTGATCAGAACACCATCTCTGTAGAAGATTTAGAAGGACAGTTTCAAGCCATTCGCAGACTTGTTGCTTCAAAAGCAGGATTTGAAGCCTTCACAACTCTACCCAAGTAAGATTATCTTTAGTTATCAACTTGTTTTGATATATTATGGAACTTTTGAAACATGTATTTTCTGACAAATGAAAGAGCTAAAGTACCCCTCACATGTACCGCAGCATTACATGCACTTGATGCAAGTGCAAATCCCAAGCACTGCACACCTGCAATGCACTAACTTGCATGTCACCACATTCACCTAAGTGCGGGAAAAATGCTTGCATGTTAGTATGAAATGGATGTAAAAAAACATGAAATCAATCAACTCGAACATTAAATTGCATGCACTGAGACAAAAGTGGTCATGACAAGACACAGATTGGATTCAAAATTCTTTGTACTGTACAAAGCTGAGTTGTTTGACTTTCTGTGCAGAAGTAGAGAAGAAACAATGATTTCAAACTGCATCAATTATGCTCCTATTTAAAATTTAGGACCAACTTTGTATGATTATAAAGACAATGCATGCAGTAACTGTTATTCATGCACAGATAAATTCCAGTTATTATCAATGATAATTATACTTTACGGCATTTAATGTGTAACAGGTTCAGAGACAAGCTCGGAGTGAAGGTTGTAAAAGCTCTGAAAAGGAATGATGATGGAGTCACACATGCTGCTATTGATATGCTCTGTGCTTTGATGCAGGTGAGAGCAGATTAAGTTGTTATTTCCTACTGGCTGGGTTAAAAAAAATAAGAGGAAAATGTCTGGGTCAAGTGAATTTTTGGCAGGAAAATGTTTTTGTTCCATCTGTGATAACTATATAATTCTTTGAATTTTATATTTTTTCAGCCCATGCACGACAATTATGACCTCAGACAGGAACAGATGAATAAGTCTTCACTTGTGTCATCCAGGAAATTCCTTGGCACGTTGTTAGATATCTTCACTACACATGTAGTAAGTGCCTTACACTTTTCATCAGTCAGTCCTTTCTTGTGCATCTATGCACCTAAAGGCCTCTGCATGAGAATGCTATGAATTTCTGCCAGATGCCATTCGGTCAAGCTGCTACCATGTCCAACCTCTATCCCTTATTTCCCCTTCTACAGTTCTCTTTCAAGTTTTCTTGGGGTAGACTCTCTTTCATTGGCCATCAGGAGTCCATTGCAGGGTGACTCTGGGCATTTCTGATGGCAGCATTCAGAGCACATGCCCCTCATCCATCAGACTCTGCATGAACTTTTATCACAACTGTGATTTAACATTGAATTCTTTCCATGATAAACAGTTGCTCTTCAAATTTCAGGGCATTAAAAACCTTCCCCCAATGTATTTGTGTTGATAAAGCCTCCATATTGTCAGAAATGGAAGCATTCTGACTCTTATTGTGTTATTTCTTTTTCAGAATAGAAGCACAGGGGCTCTTGTTGTTAGTTCACTTTTGGACTTCCTTACATTTGCATTGTGTCCACCATACAGGTACATCTAACATTTTTCAATCAGTTGCTACAAGCAGTATTTCTGCCCATAATCATATAACCATTACATTTTTCTCAAATATGATTGATGCCTCAGTTGGTTTTTTCCCCTAATAATTCTGTAAAGTTGTAATTGGACAGTTAGCTGTAATTGAACACCTGTAATCAGACAATTAAAGCAGCCAATCAGACAGTGGCCACCCAGCTAAATCCACCAATCACAAAATTGATTACAATAATCATGGCAACAGCCACTTCCCTAAAAAACTGGAGAATTTTCAAAATGGTGAAGTTATTAATTTTACTCCAGGAAATGTTTTGGATATTAATGAATACTGAAAGCCCTTTCTCAAAGGAATGTTATTGTTTGTTTCAGATAATTATTGTTAGTAGTGGTTATGATTCATTGGCAGCAGGACTTAATGTTGTCCAATTCGGTCTGTAATCATACTCTTTATTAACAAATCCGACTCCTGCTTCACAGTTGTCACATTTTGTAATCACTGGTACAGTGTATGATTTCAGACCAAATTGGACTCCTCTCAGTCCTATTACCTTTACTACTGTAGTCATTTAAGGACTCTTGTCTTGATTAATCTCACAACTATTTTTACTTGTCCTTTTAGCGAAACCACAGAAGGAACACAGTTTGACACTTTGCTGGAAATGGTTGCAGACCTTGGGCGAAATATTTTTAGGCTTTTTCAGGTATATTCATGCAGAGTGTAATTCATTCAATATTGGGGGAGATTATCACAATGATAATCTTGTCTCATGGCTAAAATAGAGAGTTTTGGACTGTGGTATACACATACATGTACCTCACAAATTTTGATCAGTGAACAATGATGGTTCTATCTCAGACTAACTAAAAGCTCTTAACACTATTTCAATCCTTTAGCATCCATCCATGGCAATTGTAAAAGGAGCTGGCATGGTTATGAAAGCTGTCATTGAGGTAAGTGTTAAAACTTTTGAGTATAAGATTGATTTGAAGATACTGTTCCTCTAAATGTAGCCCTGCTCACATTTTACATCTGAAAAGAACTTTGTTTTACAAATTTGTTGTTTAAGATGGAAACATGTAGAAAATATCACCCAGTCTGCGACTCTAAGAACGTATTGGCATGTAAATTATTACAGTATGATTTAAATGGAGTTAATTGTTCAGAAAGTTATTAAGAAGGATGAGGTAAGACTGTCCCCTTCAACTATTTAAGTTTAAAGTTTTTGTAACATGTCTGCTACAGGAAGGAGATTCAGAGATTGCAGCGAAAATGCAGGATCTTGCTTTGGCGGAGGGAGCCCTTCCTAGGCATCTTCACACAGCCATGTACACACAAAGCACAGACAGTAGGCTACTCACAAACAGGTGAGATATGCAAAGAAAAATGTGATTCATTTGTCTCAAGAGTTGGACAATGATTAAACCCGGGTCCTCCACAAGGAATCTGACCTCTAACTTTCCATTCCCATGGTGAGATGCTCTTCTACTGAGCTAGCTTAAGAGAACTCCTTGTTGAGCCTGGCCATGTTAGTACATACACCACATGTTTATATGAGACAAGTGTCCTACAAATAGTTAAGATTGGCAATTTGGCAGTTTATGGCCTAGGATAGTGCACCAATGAATTTTCTGTAGCACTGCGATAGTGCTTCAGAGGGAAAAATTGGAAGGTCTGATGCTTAGATCCTTTGAAGGAACTCAGATTAAGACGAAGTATAAAGTTAATTATCACTGTGTGTGAATTTTAGAAACAACTTATGCTCAATGTTACCTTTGTTGCAAACAGTGCAAACCTGTAATATTTGACAGGGCAATCTTGCGCATGATTCTTCTGTTGAAACTGCAGGGATATCAGAACAGGTGTTTTCGTGCTGGAATTCTTTAACCAATAGATATACTAGCCCCGTGCTCCTGTAACATTTGCACATACATTTGTCTGTTCATGCTGTTTATGTTTAAAATAAAATTCCACTTTCAGGAATTCTTGATAATAAAATTTAGTTGAATCATTTGAAAATTCTTAGAAAACTAAACTACTGCATGTTGTTTCCAAAATATTGTGTTAAATTTGACAAAAAAACTATTTCTATCAAAACAAACTTACTATAACTTAATTTGAAGATGCATGTAAGTGTATATCACATATAACAGATATAACATTGTTTAAATAACATTACTTGTCATAAATACATATTTTTCCTTCGAAAGACACTCACTTTGTATGCCTACAGAAGTGAGTTGGGTAGGAAGTACTTGTATAATTGTCTACTGTGCGTGTGATATGGATTTTGCCTTGTGGTTTTTACAATTAAAAGTTTGTAGTTTGCAATTTTGTTTTCAGTTTGTAATCTTCAAATTGGATCTTTCCTTTACTGTGCATTTTGAAATTTAAACCAGTATAGTTATAATGCATGCAAATACAGTTTTAGATCAAATGTACTGTTTATGTCTGATGAGTCTTTAGCTCTATGATCAGCCTTAATTAACTTATAGGGAGAATTTCTTCTCCTGGAAAAGAAGCTAGTTCAGTGTAGGTGACTCCCCAACATAGAATTTACTTTTACTCTTGGGAAGAGAATAAGATTGTGAGAGTGATGTAAATGTATCTTGTCCAAGAAAGTAACTCAGCTGTCCTTACCAGAAACTGCACCCAGTTCTCTAAACATGACTCAGAGGCAGAGGCATCTCATGCAAAAAATTAACTTAATGATAACAATGATGCTGTATAATTTTTATCCAGCACCAATGTTATTGTTAAGTTGATTTTTATTTTGTTGAGAATTTCCTCCTGTTGAAGTGGCTTGAAAAAAAATGTAGTTTCAACTCCTTTTTCTAATCCCATGACCCCATAGATTGAAATTATTTTTAAAATAATAAAACAGGAATGCCGCAAGGAACTGCACTCAAGCAATTCAATTAGATTTAGTGGTCCCGACCAAAAACAGCACTTTCCAAGATAACGCGACAAAGCTATTTAACAATTTACCGGAATCTACTATAAACTGTAAAGATTATAGAACCTTTTTAAGAATTTCAAGGAATTTTTTATGTAATAGATTACAGAGTGATTAGTTAGTTTTACTTTAATTTCTATTCTGTTAATCCTACTTCTACTTTTAATTGCATATTGCATAATTTGTGAAATAACCTAATTTGATTTTTTTTTTTAAAAATTTGATTTTTTTATTTTGATTGTAATTGACACATTTTCACAGGGAAGAGCCACCTGGTGGATCTGTTAATTAACCATTATTATTATTATTATTACTATTATTGTTATTATTATTATTATTATTATTATTATTATTATTATTATTATTATTATTATTATTATTAGTGTCCGATTTGTCCATATGCAATGTAATATCAACCCTGAATCAAATGGTAAGGTCACAAGAATAAAGTAAATAATCATAAACCGAGAAGCTCTTGATTGTTAGACAAATTCTCCTTGTCAGCACCTTAGGAAATGTATAGAGAACAGTATGGAGAATATGCATGCTGATGTTAGGGTGTAAAGATATCAAACATTACCAGTATTACTCATATTAGTTTATCCTGTGCTATGCTCTTCTTTTGATGATGTATTGGGGTTTTTTCACCCACAGGCAGCTCAGCAGACATTTGGTAACCCTGTGGGTGACTGGCCATCCGACTGCGATGGGTCTTCTGAAGAGGATCATGGTAAGAGTTTTCTTTATAGGTTAAATAGTCTGGGAACAGTGTCTCATTGGCCATATGGCAGAAGCTGAGACTAACCCGCAGAGCATGCGTGAAGTTTGAGGAGCGAGTGCACAGTATTTTCCTGGTGAAAATTATAGCTGGCATCATCTTTGATTTTTACAGCAGTGGAAGGCTGGGGAAAGTAATAATTTTGTACCAAGTGGCTGAGCAATGGTCTAAAGGAAGGAGAGGGGATGGGTGGGGTAATAGGAATCGTCTTTCCCCTACCCCCATCGTCCACTCCAACTATAAATCAAACATGGCTAACCGTATAAACGATCATGAACTAGTGACGCTAACTTGCCCGAACGAGACGCAGACTTTAACAGGGTCATCTGTCCGCATGCGTCAATTATCTTAAGTCTCATTTCTACCAAGATTAGTCTTAGTCCACGAGTAACTGTGCACTGTATGTGAACTGTACTTCATGTACAGAGAGCCTTAGTGACGAGCTTCTGATGTGATTTTACTTATGTCCATTTCAGCCTGCGGGTCTAATGAACTATCTTGAATCAGAGGAGAAGGTTAGATTTCTTTTGTTGAATATTGCATATGTTTAGTTTTAGATATCTGTTGTGTATGTAAATCATCATTGAAGATGTTGTGGTATGAGTTCTTTTTCCACCCCTTTAATTCCAAACCCTCGTCAATATTGTTTGTAATTCCTCTCACTCTCTGCCATACAATTCTTATAATATGAGTTTGAAGAATTTGGCATTGAATCAACTAATAATCCCCCAGTTGATATGTTTTTAAATCTCATCACTTGTTTACTTGACGCTGTGCTAATAGTGTGATGAGAGATCCTGTCTTGGTCACTCAAGGAATTGAAAAGGTTAAGAGAGGGTGTAGGAATGAATGAAATTTGCAACTTAATGTCACCATCATCTTTTTAAATACAGGTCCCAGAAGTGGAGTTAGATAAACTGCATGTCAGAGACAACGTCAAACTTGCTGAGGTAAACATAAAAATGTTTTTATACCAAGACAATATACCTGTTTGAGATCTGACTTCGTTTGAGCTCTGATGTGAAGGCAAAAAAGATGTCATTATTTTTTCATAAGTGTGCAACAAAGCAAAGAACAGCAAAGGAAGGAAAGTCTGAGACAGTCAAAATTGATGTTCTGCTACTGTGTTACAGATTTTTTTGCTGTGTGCTCAGCCATATACTACAGTAGGTTTATGTGACATTTTCATGCGTTTGAAATTTTTTTGTTTGGAATTGCTGTTTAAGGATTCTTCCAAACCCAAGAAACATCAGTACCTTGTGCAACTGGATGTTGTGCTCACTCACTGGAGGACGAAAATGGGACTGAAATCAAAAGAAGTAAGATTTAAATTCCGTTTTCTTATGGAACTTTCCTAAGTACTAACAGTTACTATTGTCTGGTTAGATCACAGTGATTAAATATAAATAGCTTAGGTGAAAGAGTGAAGGGGAATTGTTATAAAAGCCTGTTAAAAGGCTCGTTTCAGGATTTCACCTTGCGGCACAGCCTCCTATTACAACATCAGGAGCCACTCATGGTAAAAGTTATCAAAACCCCTGCAATGAAGTGGGTGCTTGATGGCAACAGAAGTGTAGAGCTCATTGATGATGGAGTGGCTGACTAAAGTGCCTATAACAAGAGTGGTGGAGATGTACTCCACTGCACTGCAAGGGAAGGAGATGGTAGCCTGAGATGTATCAGCATCTGTAACCGGAACAATTTTTGCAGTCATCCACAATTTACTAAGGCCATCCTAGCGTGTGTAGCTAGCGGCAAGGCAACAGAAGGAATGTGTACTGAAAGACTTACTTAATTCTTTTTATCACCTTTTTAGCCAATTTTTCGTCAAGAACCTAACAACTGCCACCTGCACAGGCTAAGGCCATCTTTATTCCCACCTCTTTTCTTTACATCTCAGTCTTCATAGCTGAATACAGCAATGTGGAACTTGTGCTGTTCTTATGACATAGTTCTACTCTACAAGCTTGAGTAATATTTACATAACATTTCTCTGTAGACAAACCAGAAACCTGTCATTTTAAGGAAAAGAAGGCAAAGAATCAAGAGTGATGCAAACTGGGAACTTTTCTATTACAAGTAAGCGAGGAGAACCTTAACCCTTTAACTCCCAAGATCTCATTGGTAATTCTCCTTACTGTCTCCCATACAGTTCTTGTGGTGTTAGTCTGGAGAATTTGGTATTGAATCAAATTATCATCCCCTAATTAATATTTATTTTTTTAATTCTCATCACTAGTCTGCTTGATATTATATTGATATTGTTAGGGGAAATTCTGTCTTGGTCACTCATGGGAGTGAAAGGGTTCATAGGTTTTCACTGAGTCCAACATTGACTGTGTTAAGAAAAATAAGGAAAACCATGCAAACTGCTTCTAAGTAACGACACAAAGGTCGCAATAATTCAAGTCAACAGTTACATTACAGGGCGTTGTTTTCTTTCGCATTGTGAAAACAAGCTGGAAATGAAAGATGGCTAATACTAGAAAGCTGACGAGTGGAATATTTGTTACGAAACACAGAATATGACACCTAGCGCACATAAGAGTGTTTTCTTCGTGGGCTTTGAAAAGATAGATGTGCTAATGATCGTAGTCATGTAACCTTTTCAAAATACGCAAATGAGACTGTGAAAAAAACACACAAAACACACATTATGAACCCTGCTTTTTTTTTTCATAGATTCAATCAAGATCATTCCATGCCTAATCTTATCTGGAACTACAAGGTGAGTTCTGAACATAAAGAAGTTGTAGTTTCTGCAACCGATTAGTTCGTTTTTCAGAAAGCTTTCTGACTGAATTGTAATTGTTGTTGTTTGAAAATGTTTTTTTCAGACGAGGGAAGAACTGAGAGAAGCCTTAGAGGCGGAGATGAGAGCATTTGCCGTGGACAAGGTGCAGCATCCAATTTTTTTGTTCTTGATCATCTCTTGTATGTGTCAAATATGTTAAATCCAGATACCACAGAAGTTAGAAAAGGTGAAAAGATGAACGCAGAATGCAGTATAATTTTTTCTAGGAGTGGTTGAGTATTTAATCTGTCGGGAGTGGTGGTCTTAGGATCACGTGAAAGTACTCTTGTGCATACAGCTCAAATGTCAGCGGCTTACGAAGTGAGCATCCTGTTTTTTATGAACCTGTAATATTTGACGGTGCATGCCTCTGATGGTTGTACCGTTGAAACTGCAGGGAAATTAAAACAGGAGTTTTTCGTGCGGGAAATCTGTACCCAATAGATTAATTCGCCCCGTGCTCCTGGGACACGTTGGAATAAAGTTAGGGACACTTTGTAGAGCATCGTAAACGTTACTACATGAAAGTACTTCACAGTAGCTTTCATTTGAACGGTCCCACACTTGGACACTGTTAACAGACTTAATAGCTACATGTAGAACCACCTTGTAAGTTAGTAGGTAATTTAGTGTTAACAACTGGGTTGAAAACGTAAATTAGCCACCGTAAAGAGTGAAAAAGCTGACGTTTCGAGCGTTAGCCCTTCGTCAGAGCGATTGAATCGTGTTTTTTGGACCTTCTTTTTTCCGTTTGTATTGGGAGCCTCATAACACCACCACCTTGAAGTACGTGATAAAAAGTTCCGCATGAAAGTAGTACTTACTCGCTTTTCCTTCAATGGTCACACGCACTGGGATTTTATTCACAGACTGAAGAGTTAGAGCCACCTTGTGCCGCATGATAAACATTACCCAATGAGAGAACTCTTAAGGAATTTTCATTTGATTAGTCATCCGCCTACCCCTTGTACAGCAATAAGGTCATATTTTCTAATCTCTCAATGACTCAGGATCTTGGATCAAATCATGTCATCTCTTGGAATCACCAAGAATTTGAAGTGAGATACGAGTGTCTTAGTGAAGAGATAAAAATTGGAGACTACTACCTCAGGCTGCTTCTCGAGGAAGAGGAAGGAAAAACTATGATTCACAATTCGTGAGTACTACACTGATACATGGTTAAGTCTTTAAAGTCTAGTTACTCTTGACTGCTAGAGGTTCTCCCTGTTTCTGTAACATAGAGTTACAAGGAGGTTTTCAGGTTACCCTGTAAGTGTTCGAGACGTTTTTCGGCTTGAAAGATCGCCGTTACCTAGCTGTACTCTTGATTGGAAACAGGCACTCGTAGAGTGAAGTGTTTTGCTCAAGAATAAAACGCAGTCGCCCAGCCAGAGCGCAAATCTGGAACTTTCAAACTAGACTCCGTTGCAGTGACAACTAAGCTACTCGCCTGCGCCTTAACATTGTGTGTGTATGGCACATTGTTTGCTCTAAGCTAAAGCATTTCCTCTTGTCCTTTTTGTTGTTTTCAGGTTGGAGTTCTTCAATGATCTTTACCACAGATTTCTTCTCACTCTGAAGCCTGCCATGAAAGCCATGTGCTTACAAGTAAGTAACAATCATTCTGGTGAAAGGAACGCTTCTCGTATAATCGAATAATTTATTAGCGTGTCTTCCTTTCTTTACCTTGTGAACTCAAATAGCAAACCCTTACCGTGTATCAAAATGCAAGAGGTCAAGTTACGACTGTTTTCTTTTGTTTTTGTGGCTGAGTTTAATTATGATATGCGCACACGTGTGAGACGGCAGGAAATTGAAGAATAACCAGGGAAAAGAAGGTTTCGAGATTTTTAGTTGCACTATCTTATCTTTGCTTCAACGATGTGTTCCGGAATAAATTGTAACACATCAGACTTGTATGTTTATAGTCAACTGAAATAGCAATGAAAATGAAAGCTAAACCATTGTATATTCGCTAATGGGATGACATGATGTTATACTTACAAATGTGTCTACCAATCCCTTGTCCTTGCCTGCTTTCGTCGCGATTTAGACTTGCTTCCGTAACTCTTTCTTTTTGATCCCCTTTCAGAAGGTTTTTAGCGTCTTATTTAACTTGCTAGGGTAATCGAATTTCGTGCCTCTTCAAGTTGAGGCAAATATCTTTGTAACTACGCAAAACAATGTAAATTATATGCTCGAAGTTCAGATAAAAGTGGTTCAGACTTTGGTAAGAGTTGTCGTCTTCTTAGATAACTACAACTAGACAATAACAATGCACAGTAAAGCAAAAGCAGCCCATTAGTGAATTACATTTGGAGCTGAGTTGAAAATTTATTTAATCGTTGTGACTAAATTTGCTTCTCGAAAATAAATGTTGTGACCATGATTCTCGTAAAAAAGTTTTGTGACCATGAGTAAAACCATTTGTCCTCTTTATTCCTTTTGTCAGGCCATGACCAAGGTATACAGCAAATGCTATGATGAAATTGGTGCCTTCAATGACACACGATACATTGTTGGAATGCTTGAGAAGGTAATTTCATTAGCTCTTTCCCTTCCAAGAGTGACAAGCACATTATTTGTCCAAGCCATATCAATACATTATTCAGCAGATAGGTCATGCGAATAAAGACAAATACTCTGTCATGAACTTACAGATATTTCTTTCTTTGGTATCAGATTCTCAGAACTAAAATTGTAAGAAACATCTTGGGGGGAAGGCTTAAGTGAATATAAAACTGTTTTCTTGGTAGCATTCTTGCGGCATTACGTCGACAAGTCTTTATGATATTTCACACTAGTGAAAGCTTTTAATGTTTTTGAAAGTAATGTGCTGACGTTGGCGAATGGTGTTTCTTTTACAGACAACAGACAGATTGGAGAGAGATCGCCTTATACTCTTTTTGAATGCACTGATCAAAAACAAGGTAATCTAAATTAAGAGAGATGAAATATATCAATTGCTGCGAGCGTGAGACTATGAATAAAGCCAAGTCAAATCGCTAAAGTACACGCTGATAGTGGAAAAAATGATGACTCGAACTAAAATCTCAGCGGTTTTTTAAAGAATTCTCAAACCATGAAGAGTCTTTCTTCTTTATCCAGTGTCTTTCTTACGTTGTGCTTTATTTAACACGGTGTTTGTTTCTTGATGCAGAAAAATGTAAAAGAGATGATGGATGTGAATGGAATCAGAGTTCTTGTGGATCTTCTTACACTGGCCCATCTTCACACGTCAAGAGCTGTAGTGCCACTGCAGGTAATGTCACTAGAACACTGGTCGCAAATGATGACCCTAAAACGAGGAAGTAGCTGAGTTCGGCAGGGAACACCTCTTTTATCACTGTGTGAAATGTATCGTTTTCTTGCTCATTAAAATAAATTTTCCATTTGTTTTAAAGAGTAATCTGCTTGAGGCATCTCCTGAAATGATGCAGCGTGACAGTGAAAAAGAGTGGTACTATGGAAATAAGGAGAAAGAGAGGCTGGGGCCATTCAGCTTTAAAGAGGTAAGTGTTGAGGCTTCATTCTTGATGTAAGTATTCAAATAACCGATAGACTGACTGACTGACTGATAGGGTAATTTATCAACTGAGTCGATAACGTAAATAAATTGGCCAGGCTAACGCTCGAAACGTCAGGTCTGAAACTCTTTACGGTGGCCGATTTAGGTTATCAACTCCGTTGATAAAACTAAACGAGCCTGTTATACTCTCCTATCGACGCAGCACCCCCTCTGTTCATTTCACTGACGGATTGACTGACGAACAGACTGATTGATTGACTGACAGACTGACGGACCGATTGACCGACTAACTAGCAGACTGACTGACTGAATAATTAACAGGCTGACAGACTGGCGGACAAACCGATAGACTACCTGGGTAACCAGATGTCTGCCGACTAGATAAACCTCTGAACCTTTACTTCCTTAAATAATTCGTACTAACCTGTCCCTGTTAACTCGTCGGTGTCTTAAGGAAATATAATGTTATAGTTTACATAAACACGTATACTGTTCGCACTAATGGACAGACGTACGGACGGATTTACGGTCATGACGTAATAACAAAGTTATGTTGGCTGTACACCACTGGGCTCTTGTAGCACCCTTGGCATGTTAGAACGCTGCCGATATCTCTGTTTCTATTTTCCCAGATGAAGGATATGTCAGCTGAAGGAATTCTCCGACCTGAAACAAAGTGCTGGGCTCAGGGTATGGATGGATGGAGACCACTTCAGAGTATTCCGCAGCTCAAGTGGTATCTACTGGCAACAGGCAGTGCAGTAATGAATGAAACAGACCTGGCTGTCTTGATCTTGAACATGCTGATTAAGATTTGTGAATTTTACCCCAACAGGTAAAAATGATGGTGAAACCTCAATTCAGGGAACTTCCCTATCACCATAAAAAGTGTCCCTATGAACAGAGGTGTCCCTTCTGGACATCAGTGCCTTTTACTTGATACAACCAAGATAAAGCTTACATTTTGTGAAATAATTCAAAGAGTACTCCAACATGGTGTTACGGAGTTTGTTTGTAAAGTGAAATTTCGCACTAGTGGGAAGTAAAGATGCCATATCATTCATTTGTTCATCTCTTTTTTTTTTTTTATTTACCAGAGATGTTGATGGTGCCATAGTGCGGCCTCTCCCAAGAGCGAAGAGAATGTTGTCAGAAGCAACATGTTTACCCCATTTAGTTCAGGTATTGTGTCTTCTACAAGGGAAAAATACTTGACAAATAGTCAAAGAAAGTCCATGTTGGTATTCGTCTGTTAACAGCCGAAATAAATTTTAACGTGCGGGTTATTAGGAAAAAGTTAAGCCGTTTGTAGCAAAATAGCGTTTCAACCATCTTTGATGTAGAGCGAATGGACGAAGGACTAACGCTCGAAACGTTAGTTTAAGAAACTCTTTACAATGGCCAATTTACACTATCAACTCAGTTGATGAAACCAAATTTCCTGGTTTGGTTCCTTTTAAGCTGGTCCATAAATTTATTTTTCTTGTTACCTTCTTTCAACAGCTTTTGTTGACCTTTGATCCTATCATTGTGGAAAAAGTGGCCATTCTTCTTCTAAATATGATGGTGGTAAGTATCCTTGGTAAGGCAGCTTTTTTGAATGGTGGCACAGTTGTTTTAATTGTTGTTTGTGGATGCTTCTCGCACACGACTGGTAGCTATGCAAGGCTCACCGCCATAACCTGACCCTTTTCAACTAAACTATGAATTCGCATCATGCAAAAATGAAAAATTGCGCAGTTGGTAAGGTTTGTGGATTGACTAGCGACTATACAGTACAACTTGAAATCCTTTCGGTGGGTGAATGGGAAAAGGTCACTACTTGCAGATGAAACAAAACAACTTCCGGGTAGAAGTCGTGGAATTCATTCCCAGGCTCCAGCAGTGTGTGAGAAAAGCTTGTTCTACTTATTTCGTTTCACTTAGCCAATGGATAATAACAATTAGCACAGCACATGAGACAACAGTGAATTGTTGGATACAAGTTTCAATACTTTACTTTCTGCTGCTTTAGGACAACCCCATCCTTCCACGATTGTACCTTACGGGAGTGTTCTTCTTTATAATGATGTACACTGGATCAAATGTTCTTCCCATTGGAAGGTAATTTCTTTATACAGCAAGCTATCGTTAAGTTTCCAAAGGAAAGACTTTCACTGCTCTTTTGAACACTTTTTTTCCGTTCGCTACTTTAGGGATTTTCGTTATCAAAACGTGCATGAAGGCCATAGGAAATAAATAAGATTGAAGCAAACCTTAAAACATACTCACAGCTTTTCGTTAATAACATTACATTTTGTGGTTAAAGTTATTTGCAATAATAGTCAATTATTTAGAAAAATATTGAATGGTAGGATATCAATATTTATTTGCAACAAGCAGTTGCAGTTTGATTAACTGGCGTTAAAGACTTCTTCGGTCCAAGGGCTGTTATCTTCGAGGGGTGGCAAGGTTTTTCCGTCGGGTTTTTCTAACAGCTGGCGAATTTCATCGTTACCGCAACAAAAAGCTTTCGCCTTGAAGCCTCTTTTTGAAGTGTTGTAGTTTTCGCAACTTAACAGAAGAAATATTCCCAGAAAAATAAACAATTTAAGAGAGTAAATTGTTGCAAAATGAAACTTTGGTGATTGTAGATGCATAATCGCAACACAGGAAAGTTTCTGTATCCAGGCAATGTGCTTAACTTATCATTTTTCTTTGTTGCTTCTTAGATTTTTGAAAGAAGTACACACTAAACAGGCCTTCAGATCTGAAGAGGTGAGGAGGAAAACTGAAATATGGGAAGCTTTTTAACGGGAGAAGCCATATACGTAGTTCCAATCTCGCCTTATAATTCAGTTTTGTTAAGCAGTTGTTATTTTCCTGGTCCGACTCTTAGTCTCATGAGTCAATTAATTCTTCTTGCAGAGTCAACAGTCAGATTTGTTCCAGAGGAGCATAATCGGGCCCATTCTCCCGGAGGCCATGGTCTGTTATCTGGAAAATCATGGTGGGTTGCAGTTTCATGTGACTTACACTGCAATCGAATCAACCAATGTCGATTTTTGACTGGAATAACAGCTAAAGGTTTTTAGAGAAAGATCAAAAACGCCGATAATGAATAGAGCCCAATTCGATTGCATTTTGTAAAAGCAAAGTAATCCTAAAGGCATTGAAATTATTGGGAAATATGACGAGAAGTCAATGATAGCTTAATGAGTAAAAAGGCGGGAAAATATTAATAGCGAAGTCGCGGTTGGTTTAGCTTCGCATCTGATTGGTCGAGAAGACGGCTTAAGATTTGTGAACCAATCACAGAACGAAACCAGCGCCATCCCGAATTCCTACAACACTCCATCGAGAAAAATATCAGAGAAAAATAGTAAACGACTCCAAAAGTTTGACAATGTGATAAAAATTCAAGTGTTGGGAAGGATCAGAGACTTGTATAATAGTTATCCGCGACTGAAACTGCGTCAGATAGATTTATAGACGTTCTATTGACATTCAGGTCCTGACAAGTTTGCTGAGATTTTCCTTGGCGAGTTCGACACACCAGAAGCCATTTGGAACAGTGAAATGAGGTAAGAAAGAACTTGGGTTTACTGTGCGATGACCTCAATCACAACTTTACTACATTTGTTTATGTCCGGTAAGGTTTATGTACTGTTTATGTCATCTTCAAAATTAATTTAAATTAAATTTTATTTTGACCAATGGAAGCAAACAACCCCTGAACTTTGCCTCCCTTCCAACATATGGCTTCGTAGCTCAGTCGTTAGTAGTACTCGCTCAGTATCTGTGAGTCCGTAGCGTTCAATCAGTAGGGACCTTAAGCAGTCAGGACGGTAACGCCAAGGAAGACTTCGATTAAGAAATGAATTTCTGCCTTTAGTTAGAATTTCAAAAATGGCTGCATGTGTTTACCGTCTCATACGGCGCCACACCTCAACTTCAGCATAACGTATAAAAGAATCGTTGAGTTCCAAATGGAATTAAAATAATTTGCCGTCGCGGTTTCGGTTCGCAAACGACGCAAATTGTGGTGATTTCATGTTGTTGTTTTGCATAGGACGGCTAAGAAATGTACAAAGTTTTAAAACGCGCGTGCTGAGCTGTTGTTCTACCAATTATATCTTTTTTTTTTTCCATGTTCGCGTTACCGTCGCCGTTGTGGTTTGCTTAAGGTCCCAAATATCTGGGAGGCGTGGGTTCGAATCCCGTCGATGCATGAATTTTTTTCAGGCTTCTTTTGTGCAATTTCTTTGATTGCAAGTCACCTGTAAGGATAAATCTCTTTTAGGCGGCTGATGATAGAGAAGATTGCTACTCACTTAGCGGATTTTTCACCAAGATTACAAAGCAACACTAGGGCCTTGTACCAGGTAATTTCGCATCGTGCTTTGAAATGAACTGTTTGCAGTCTATGTCGGTTATTTCCTTCCGTAACCTTCCTCATTCTCTTTTGTGTGTTACTACATCGTTGGAAGATTCTTCCATACAAAACTGTTTTAGGCTGTTGCATTTAATGTGAGTGTAAAATACGTAACTGCGTTTCAAACGAATACTTGGAAATTATTATTTTTTGATTAGTCGTCGAAACTATGAAAAGTTGTATCAGAAAGCCCTAATTAATATAGAAAGTGAAAAACTTTCTTAACGCTTTCAATGGCTTTAGTGCGTTTTTTTGTACCAGTGGAGACTTGATTAACGGACAAAAAAAAAAGATACCTGAAAAGTCAAAATCTATCCAGTGAGATGATTTAATCCCAAGTATAAAACAGTTTTTTGTTTGTTTGGACAATACCTATTGGTAGCCTTCTTCTTCTTCTGGTTGTTTACCTCATGTCGTTTTTATCCGCAGTATTGCCCTATCCCAGTCATATCCTATCCTCAACTGGAGAATGAACTGTTCTGTAATATCTTCTATCTGAGGCATCTCTGCGACACAGAAAAGTTTCCTGATTGGCCAATCAGAGAACCGGTAAGACTGTACTTTTCAAACCAACTTCCGATTGGCTTTGCTTTGTAACTGGTTCAAAAGCGCTTGCGCCACCGTCTAAGCCAATGAAACGTGTAGACGGAACAGATTGTCACGTGGTCGCATCTTGTTTCCGAGCTTCGCCGCTGGTCACGTTTGTTTACTTCGAGTTGTCATAACTCATACTGGCGCTCAGTTTTTATATCATTTGCTGTTTTATTCTCTATGTATCTAACTTCAATTGTTAAATGATACTTGTACCTAACGTAAGATTCTTGTCCTATTCTGCTTTCAGTTTCTTAAATTTGCCTTATATGATGTAAACATTGTGTGGTAATAATTTTCCTTCTCTAGGACAAACTGAACGTTCTCTGTTTTTCTTTTGACACTCTTGTTTTTTGTAGATTCGGCTGCTCAAGGACATTCTAGAAGCGTGGAAAAAGGAAGTGGAAAAGAAGCCTTCGACATTGACGGTAGATGAAGCATATGACGTTCTGAAAGTCAAAAGAGACCCTTCAGGGTAGGTACAGACACTATGTGAAACATAGCATGCAGTAGCACGTGAAAGTACCGCTAAGTAACTTTCAGTGATTGGTCACATACTAGAGTTTCCCCTCAGGCTTAAGAGACTGGCTCGCTACAACTTGGAACTGCCTCTTACGGCATAATTCACGGCTTCCTTTGAAATGCTGTTCGTATGCTTCTATATGAATGGTCACACATTAGAGGTTTATCCACTGACTCTAAAGTTAAAAGTACGTCTACCTTCTGCTGCATAATAAACAGTACCTCACGAAAGTACCACTCAGTGGCTCTACTATGAAAGCTCACATACCGCGGTTTTCATACCCAGACTTAAACATTAAAATCGCCTAGTGAGGTGTAAGAAACAGTTCTACATAAAAGTACTTCTTAATGGTCAAACTAAGGGTCTGGTAACCAATTCAGAGATGACAGTACAGAGCTGTGAAATGGAAACAGCCCTTGTTCTTTGTTCTTGTCCTTTGAGCTACAACCTGTCATATTTGACAGTGCAATCCTTCTGATTGTTGTTCTGTTGAAACCGCAGGGATACCAATACAGGAGTTTTCGTGCTAGAATTCTTTAACCAATAGATACACTAGCCCCGTGCTCCTTGTACATTTTATCTCCTCAGTTACGAATGTGATGTGTTCATAAGGCATGAAAACAAAATTGCTATATAAAGTATCCTGTAACTGCATATCCCACTGCGCGTTTCGAGATTACGCGACTTATCAGATCGCCATCGTAGATTCTAATGCGGCCTTATGATTGGTCCATGCCTCATTTGCCGGCATATCAAATTCTGCCCTCTGGTTGGTTATGGGCTATAGTCCTATTACTAAAGCTACTTTATTTTCCCTACAGACTTGTCGATGAGGCGAAAGTTAGAAAAGCTTACTTTAAAATGGCGCAGAGGTACCATCCAGATAAGAATCCAGAAGGAAGGGTAAGACTTTACCGTGTGTAACATAAAAATGTCAGCTTAAAGAAAGTGGGAGTTCTTTGACCCACGTGGGTGTCAAAACGAAGATCATCCTTTTTTATTTAAAAAAGAGCGAAAGAAAAAAAAAAGAAGAAAGAAAGTAGTTACGTAGCGATGTTTTGTATCATCTTCAGGGCATGAAAGAATTAGGATGAAATAAAAAAAAGTATTGAATAATAGTGCGCCAATGTCGTGGAAGCCACAATGGCCCATCGGTTAGCGCACAGGTCTGTGGATCGAGAGGTTTGGGTACGAAACCTGGTTTGGGGCATTATGTTGTGTTCCTGGGAAAAACACTTTCCTCTTACAGTGCCCCTCTTAACTTAAGAGTATAAATGGGTACTGATGAATTGTCAGGGAAATCTGACGAAATGGTGGGAGAAAACGTGCTATTGAATAGCATCCCATACAGGGGGGAGTGGTGATACTCCTAGTTTGCTTTATGCCTGATTCTGTTATGAGTAAGGTAGAGAAGAAGCTGATTGGCTAAAGATGGAGAAGAGTAACCAGGCCTCGAAGGGAAAACTCTGATAATAAAGCAAATGGTTCATTTTTTTTCAAGGGGGTAAACTTCTAACGACACTGTGGTGCCACTTTAATGGAGGAAGATACTTTGGTTTATCAACAAAGTTGATAATTTAAGTTGGCCACCGTATCGTTAGAAACTCTTTACGGTGGCCAATTTACAATTCATACTCAGTCGATAAAACCAAAAACCCTACACCCCAGTTTCTATAGAAACGTACTCCCTTACTCTTTAATTTAAGAACTCTTTACGGTGACCAATTTACGTTATCAACTCAGTTGATAAAACCAAATTATCCAGGAGTATTTCGTTGTTTAATTTCCCTTGTTCTTCTGTAGGACATCTTTGAGAAAGTGAACAAGGCTTACGAGTTCCTCTGTTCCAAATCCTCTAAGCAAGTTCAAGGACCAGATCCGCATAATATTGTACTTATTCTCAAGGCTCAGTCCATTTTATTCAAGCGACACAAAGATGGTAGGGTTTTGAACTTAGTCACGCTCTCTGTAACTGCCTCTTTTACTTGTAGTTCCTCGCAGACTAAAGAAAACGTTAATTTTTGTCTCGGAAATAAGTCAAGGACAGCTAATATTGTTGTAATCTCAAGAAACTACATGCTTTGGCTCTCCAAATCGGTGTAACTCAAGAGTGGTTTGCGACAAAAGGAGACTTTGATTTGGCATCCGGAGATATTTTTTCGTAAGGCTCTAAGTTGCACAAAAGCTTTATTTCTTGGGGAAAATTGGAATCAATCAACAGATGGATTAGTTATTTAACGCAAGTAAATAATCTTACACCTATTATATCTCAAATTTTTCTAAGTTTAATTTTATTTTAAGACGCGAGTAAAATGAGAGATGCTAACTTTACGTCATTCTTTCGGTTGACATTTTGAAAGCAGCTGGTCAAAGTTGTGTATCTAACCGGTGCCTGGCCCTCAATATAACCTCTGTCAGACTTAAGAAAGAGAAAAACCAATTAGTTTACATGAAATTCAACTCAACTCATAGATTCCGTGTTGCTGTGCATATGTTCAGTAACAGAGAGTGTCACTGATGTCTTCACTACAGTTTGACGTTTACTTTGACCTTTCATCGTTCGGGACCCCGGCTTTGTTAATGGTGACGTCATCTATGCGTCTTTCCTCCTATTTGGTCATAAGTGAGAACCAATCAAAAAACGTGCATAACTCAGCTTATCATATAAATTGGTTGATTTTATTGCAGACCTTCAGCCATACAAATACGCCGGCTACCCGATGTTGATTAAGACCATCAGACTTGAGACTGTGGACAGCAGTTTGTTCTCAAAGTCAGCACCACTTCTTACAGCTGCCAGTGAACTGGCTTATCACACGATCAACTGCTCTGCGCTTAATGCCGAGGAATTACGTAGAGAAAGCGGAATTGAGGTAAAAGCAGTTGTGATAGAAGGTTAACTAGAACTTCTTTAGCCTTCTGTGCTGGTGTCCTAATAGGAAAACAGGGACAACGAGCTTTTGAAAGCCGCCATTTTTATGAACGGAGATGGGAGGAGGCGGGCTGAGATAGCAGACCTGCTCCTTTCCCCCCCTCCCCCTCCCCCTCCCCCCCTCAACTGTTTTTTCCTTACCTATCGGTTCCCCTCTCGGTACGAATTTCTCTTTCTTCACCATTCTTCCTCTGATCGAAAATCCGAGGTGATGGTAAAATGTTTCACGAAGTAATACGGAGCGTCCGTTTGTAAAAGTACACTTTCTTTTTTTGTCAGAACTTTTCCAGAATGAGTTATCAAAATATTAGAGATTCCTCAAAATTGTCCAAATGAGTTATCAAAACATTAGAGATTCCTCAAAATTTCCCATCATGAGTAAGTTGATTACTTATTATGAAAAATCTTTTTTTGCCCGACTTAACGCCTTTTCATGTCCTCTATCTTTGACTTATTCAGCTGGGCAAAGTCTTTCACTTGTAAAGAGAAAAAACATAATTACCTGTGTTAGTTGCCTTGTGAGTATATTTTTGTAAGCGTTAGGTGAAAAAAGTCTCGTTGTAGTAGATTCTAAATGCTCTTTCAGATAACTAACATTTGCTTGTATTTAATTTGTTTTTTTACCAGGCACTTCAAGAGGCTTATGACCGTTGCTTACTGGCTATTACTGGCATGACTGAACCGAACGCCATTCCAGTCCAAGTAAGTTATTTTACAATACATGTCGTTTCCTCCGCAGTAGGAAAACATTTTTCTCAGTCTTCGACCCTTTGACTCCTAAGAGTATCCAATATCTAATTTCTCCTTACAAGATCACCTTCGAATCATACATAAAGGTCACGAGAATATAGAAAATGATCACCAACTAAAGTAGCTCTTGATTGTTAAACAAATTCTCCTTGTCAGCATTGTAGGAAATGTACAGAGAACAGTATGGAGAATATGCATACTGATGTTAGGTTGTAACAAGTGTCGTAGTAGATTGTACGAAAACCCATCTTTTAAACGACTTTGTAGAAACCCTTTCTTGTTTGCGTTAAACTAATTTTCATTGCTAATTAGAAAGTTAGCTACTGCTGTGCGTTATTTTGTAAAGTAAGGATAAGATGTCACCCTTTGTTGTTTTATTTTCTTGTTTAGGTTTGCACTCACATCACGAGGTGCTACACAGTGGCAGCCCAGTTTGAAGAGTGCCGAGAGAAGATCACTGAGATGCCAGATGTTATTAAAGATCTTTGTCGCGTCCTTTATTACAGGGTATGAAAAAATGCTGCGTTCAAAGATCGTGGCTCGTTGTCTGTAGTAGCGTGTACTTTATAGTGAATTGCTTATCAAGTAGGGTGCTTTTTCATGGAGTGGTTTTAAACCAAAATCAAAGTAATCACAACCAATCAGGCAAAAGTAAAATGTCTTTCAGAGTCAAAGAAATTCAAAGTAAAATCGATCAATTTTGCCAAAGTGCAGGAAAACACAAGCGACCAAGTCGTGGTTGGTTTTAGTTTTGCATCTGAATAATTGAGAAAGTGGCGCGAATTTTCTGGGCCAATCACAGAACGAATTTATGCGAAAGCAAAGCAATCCCGGGTTCTTATCAACACTCAATTCAAAATTATCCCATGACATGATTCAGCTTTGTTAAACCACCGTAGAAAATTTTAAAAGCTGATCTTTCGAGCGTAAGCGCTTCGTCGTAAAGCAAAAACAAAGTAATCACGACACCCAATCATATCAAAGGTTTACGTCATCTAAGCTAATGAGGACTTAAAGTAAAAACAGGCACACTACCAAAGGCGCGAGAAAACGCGGACGACCTAGTCACAAGCGGTTTTCGTTTGGCGTCTGATTGGATTAGAGAATGGCATGAGTTTTGTATACTTATCACAAGCCGAAGTGAAGGAAAATCAAAGCAATCCCGGAATACTTTCAACACTCAATTGAAGACTACTCTAAACTTGATATCCAACTTATAGTAAAAGCTTTTTTCTTGAGGCGAATTTGATGTGGGTGTTTTGACCAAAAGTGATAGGGTATTTTGATATTTCACTTCGACTAAGAGCTGTCATCTTTTCTTTTAGAATCTTCCAGCGCTCAATTCTGTAGCAGCAGAATGTGTCAGTGCTTTCTCTGTGGATTTCTGGCTTCAAACCCAACTATTACAGGTGAAAAACAAAATATGAGAGATGTGAAAGGGATGCGCATGGAGCAGTTCAAAACCGCGGCTATAAAAATATTTTAACGTCTTTGTTATCCTGTTATGTTGCTGTCAAACTTTTTTTTGTATGTGTTTCTTGTGCTTAGCGCCTTAGTTGATTAAATTTTGTGGAGTTTCGTGTACCTGACCTGTGGTTTCTCGTTGTAGGCTGGTGTACTGTGGCATCTACTCTTGTTCGTGTTCAGTTACGATTACACACTGGATGAAAGTGGAGTGGAGAAAAGTGCAGAAACGAACCAGCAGGTTTGGAGAGCAGATAAACGCGTTCTGTAATGGCCTTTATTCAAAAATCAACGAATAATTGAATGATTGAACGAAGGATTGTTCAATTAAAAGTGCAAACGAGAAAGCAGAGGGATAGATGGACGCATATTCGCACGCACACAGGCTCGTATACTCGCTCGCACGCACGCACGATATCGTAGAACGAAGAAGCAATCTTTTGAGTCTATGCCGACGAACGAACAACACGATCATTTTCATTTCTTTGTTTACAGGAAACTCTGAACAGTCTTGCTCGTCTGAGCATTGATGCTCTGGCTCGACTGGGAGGATATTTGAGTAAGTAAAACATTCTTCCTCGTTCAGCTAGTTTCTTTCTTTAACAATACACTGCTTTGCGAAAAAAAAAAAGCAGAGATGATCATTGAGTCACTGTACCAGAGGGGAGATCCCTCATGTAGATGTTTTAAAGGTCATAGTGGAGTTTCCACTCTTCGCTGTCCTACACGGAAAGCTTTCTTTTTTCTTTTACTTTTTTTTTCTTTTCTTTATTTTCATCCTCTTTTACGCAGAGATTAAAGTAAGCGATTCTCCAAGCAGCGTCTGGCAAATGCATAATTTTATTTTCTCTGTTCACTCGCATTCCCTTTTTCTTTATTTTTATCTTTTTTTATTTCTAGTAAACTGCGTGAGAAAGCAGTTCGTATCGAATGAGAAATCAAACAACGAAGTAAACCTTATCTGTTGTATTCTATATTTTTCAGCTGACGAAAATAAAACCCCTGAGAATCCAGCCATACGAAAGTCTTTGTCCAGTATGTTCACACCGTATATCGCCAAACAACTCAGCAATGATAATCCAAAGGAGGTTAGTAATTTAATTCTTTCCTCTTATCTGCGATCAGACGTTCTTAGGCACTTCCCCGAGAAAAGGAAGGTGCGATCAAAGGTTAACCTCTCCCAGGCTGGCGACAAACTAGACCATGTTATTCCTCAAATGCAGCTAATTTGATCCGCATCTGATTTACGAATTTGGCCATTGATTAAAGCAGGCTCACCTGACGATTCTGCAAAGACCTGATCGAGGGCATTTTCCACCACGAAAACATCGTCATTAATGAGCGTCAAAAATCGAAGTGACGGGCACTCTTGGCTATACTCGCCATATTTCGCCGGTCCTAGCGTCATCGTTACCTCCAACATACCAGGCGATTGTCGCTGATCGCTGCGCTATAAGAGTCTGTTACGAATACAAAGTTCAACTGTGCTACATTCTTTATATCATCCCCTCTCACCGAACACGCTTGCTGTGAATTACAGGTGTAAAACTCCAAATTGTGTGTAAGTAGTAAAGTTGAATTTTTTATTGTCTTTTTGTTTGTTTTGTTTTTGCATAGATCTTAAAGTTGCTGAACAGTAATACGGAAAATCCTTATCTCATTTGGGATAATGCTACACGTGCAGAACTGACCGAGTTTCTCGAAGCCCAACAACTACGAAAGATCAAGACGGTAACTGACTGATTAAACATCGTAAAAGAAACTTGAAGATTTGTGCCAAGTACAGCTATCGCTATTAAGCTGTATGAGTTTCATGGAATACTTTCTGCTTGTCGTAAAATTGTCAAAAGTTAGAGGAATACTTCTATAAAGATTCACTTAAATCGAAAGAGGCTACATCGCCGTTGGGTTAATTTGAAAAAAAGTAGCCTAAATTTGTCAAGTGCGTTTTTTTTAGTCCATTTCGATTCTTTCCATCCTTAACCTCGTTCCCAGAGTCCTCCCTCTTCCTCCCACGAGAGAAGAGGGTGGACCTTGGGAATGAGTTTACTCTATCCTTAGCCATCCTTGTACGTTTTTGGTTTATTTGTGCCTATTTCATGTTTGTCTACACAAACTACTACTGATCTTGAGGTTGAATTATGAAAAGGCGATTCTCTATCACGCTAACATGACGCAAAACACAATGACGTATCTTCGCCAAGATTTTCAAGCTCGTAGTTTGCAATTCGTGTCAATATCCTCCATCCTTTGGCATCCTTATTGGCTGATACTGACGTTTTGTACCTTAGCAAATCAAGTCATTCTTTTTTTCGCTGAGCGTTTATAGGTTTAGTTATATTTGAAAGCCATTTTTCTGCATCATGACAATCACTCGAAAACATGCCAAGCTGGAGACACACCTGACGATTTTCGCCGATCGCCGCAATTGGCGTATGAAATCGCCTGGTGTGTCATCGGCTTCACATATCTACTGTAGACATGATATTGTGTCTCATCTCAACCTTTTTTTTTTTGTTTTGTTTTTTAAGGGCGACTGTGATACTTCGTTTGGGGCACGCTTCACCTTCTCAGTTTTCAGTGAAGAACTTATTGTTGGCGAAATCTTTGTTCGTATTTACAACGAGCAGCCTCTGTTTCCACTTGAGGTACGCTTCACACCCCAGAGAGTGTCCACTCAGCCTTTTAACTCCCAATATCCCGTTAGTAATTCTTCCCACTGACTGCCATCCATTCCCACGTAATATAGTCAGAAGAGTTTAGTTTTACATCAAGGGGACACCATCTGGCTGATAAGCTTTTCTGTTCTCGTAACCCGTTTGTAAGATAACATATTGGAATGGCAATGAGAAGTTGCATGTTAATCACCTCTATGCAGGGTTGCGTCGCGTTGAATATGGTTCTTAAAGGCCACATGTAAATGCCGCTTGGTGTAAAAGTTCAGTTTCCTCGTATTCTAGCTCTTCATGATAAAGGTTTTACGGTAGGAACTCAATGGCTACTAAAAATTTAAGAATTTAACCTGTGTTTTGTTTTGTTTTGTTCGTTCGTTAATTTTTTTTCTTCTGTGTTGCCTTTAGGCTCCATTAAAATTCGCAGCAGATCTGATCGACTTTCTTGGTTCGGAAGCACAGGTAGGGAAACAGCAGAGGAAGAAAAAGTTTCTATGCATGATATCAGATTATGAATCGAAGTTACAGCTAAAACCAAATAGTATTTTGTGTTCTCTCTTTATTTCAATGGTTGAGCTTTGTAAAAATAGGTACAGCTTCCTGTTGGCAAAGGGTAGAGGCGTGTTAAGATTGATACCAAATTTTCAATGGTTACGTGGTGTGAGAAAAGGACCATGGTAAAGGTGATATGGCCTGGGGTATATCCTGTCTGATTTGGTATCTTTTTCTAAAGAAGTCGGAGGGGGAAAATTGATTAGAATGTCGATACCGACGATGCTTTTTTTCTGTAAATAGAAAATAAGTTCTTTTCTATTGGCTGGTTATTCAAACGATGTCCAACTTAGGTCGTGGTTGGGAACAGTAAATGGACCTCAATAGTTGTTAATGAGTGGGTTGTTTGGAGTGTAATCATGTAAATGTTTATCTAACGGTCGACATTGTTTCCAAAAATCAATCTTTAGTGAAAAGTTTAGATAAATTAGAGATGGTTTGGATTGAGGTTTTGCCACTGAAAAAACAAACATTGGGTATACCACTTGCCCCAAATGTGTTTAAATTTTATTTCATTCAAAATGCCCTAGTTATTACTTTTTCTAATTAACTCTTTTCTTTTTTCATCTCAGTACCTTCATTCAGTTATGGCGTTGACGGCTTCGGAACTGGATCTCAAGAAGAACCAAAAAAGACTGGACGCTAGTGTTATGGCCCTGGAGGCACTACGAAACGTTATCAAGAATAACGCAGGTATAACAGGAGAAAGCGTTACTTGGACGTCACGCAATCGCTCTTAGATGCAAAAAAACGAGTAATACGATTGAATATGTGACCTGGGTGTGCGTATAACTCAGCGACGCTTGCGTGACTAGTTAAAAGTGACGGTTGCGATGTAAAATTTTAATGCCTTTAGTTCGCAACTTCGTATTTCTTTCTACAGGCACCGAAGCTCAATGCATAGGACATTTTAGGCTGATTTTCTCATTACTTCGAATGACTAAAGCAACAAAACTCCAGAAGTTTGCTCTTGAGGTAAGGCTGTAAATACTATGTATCTACCCTGAATGTGTACAACATTCGCATGTTAATATCGAGCGCTATACACGGTGTAAGTGTATTGTTTATCAACCATTTTCATTGCCGATGTCAAGTTCTCATTATTTACACATTTTGGTAGTTCCAGTCATACTACCGTTGTAGCTTTGAGAATCATTGGGAAATTCAGACAGTTTTTCTTAAGGGATGAATTTCTATGGTCTCTCCAGTTTAGAGAAAATTAAGTTTTTATTTTTTTGTTTTCGTATAGGTCATTTCGTGCACAACAGCCAACAAGAACTGTGTTTCCAGTATTGCTGATTCTGACATTCTTGGCTTCTTATTCCTTACGCTCCACACGCTTCCTTCAGGTTATTAGTATCATAATTATTAGTATCATAAATATTCTAATATAGAATATCATTCTTACTCTCTTTTCTCTGCGCTATACGAAACAAATTTTTTATCGAAGGACAACATCGACATTACAGCACCGTTACTGTTGAGAGTAACTGAAAGAACGATAATAAATCAGGATGGAGAAGTTCAAAGCAATTCTCAAATAAGTGTCGAAAATAATCTGGGATTGCATTGGTTTCGCTTTACCCCTCTGTGATTGGTCTAGTAAAAACTCGCACCATTCTCTCAACCAATCAGATTCAAATCGGAAAATAGTTACGACTTGGTTGCCCGTGTTTTCCCGCGCATTAGGCAGTTTGCTCGTTTTTACTTTGGGTTCTCATTGGCTCGATAGGGTATTTTCCTTTCTTCTCATTGGCCGTCGTGATAAATTTGGTTTTGTTTTTTACGACACATAATCAAAAAGCGCAATTATTGGAAGACACGTCTATAACAAAGTTAAGAAATAGTAACCATGTCCTATTTGGACTATCTTGGACAAGTTTTAACTCACAGGGAGTAGTCTGAGCACTTTTAAAGATCTTCGTTGCGGCTAGTTCATCTCCAAAAGTTCAGTCATTTTGCGTCAAGTTTATCACTTGAAATCCGCGTCAATCTTTTCAATCCTTTGCAATCCTCGTTCGTTCTCGGGTCATTATTTTCTTTTAAGTGTTTTTCTGTCTTCCCTTACGTTCAAATTTTGCACTTCGCTAGAAAGGACTCAAATTTTCCGTGGTATGACACCTATACTAAGAAGTTAGAATGAAGCTGTAGGTGTCTAAAAATGTCTTCATATGCGCCAGAGTCTGGAACAATTACCATCAAAACAATTCTCATCGATTTGCTTATTTTTTTCTTTTATTGTTGTTGTTGTTGTTGTTGTTGTCCTCATTTAGATCGGTTGTTGACTGTTGATACCATGCATGCACTTTGCTCCAACACGAAGATTGTCAAGGAGACAATGCACAAAGGTAAGAAGAATTTCCACGCTCCAAACTGCGACCGTTTTGGTTTGGTGACGAGTGAAAAGAAGACAGCGGAAGCAGTCGCCAAAAATTGCCTCTTTTTCCACGATTGTCCAAATATTAAAACTTCAAATTTTGGGTAAATCTCTAAAACCGATTGCCAGTCACAAAGTTCATTATAAAACCAAGGGCTTTGCTGAGCAGAAGAAAATGTCTTAATTTTTTTCCTGTCAAAAATTGTTTTGACCACTTCGTGATTCTGAATCAAAACAAATGAAGAGGGTAAATTTCTGCAGAAACTGTGGTACTGCGTCGGAAGGGGAGTATAACTAGAGAATTTGGTTTTATCCACTTAGTTGATGAGTCAACTAGCCATTGTAGAGAGTTTCTGAAGGTGATGTGTCGAGCGTCAGCCCTCCGTCAGAGAAAATAGAATGAATTCGGATAGAATCCTATTCGCTCTTTCGAAGTGTTGGTGGCCAGTTTAGATTATCAACTCAGTTGATAAAACCAAATTGCCTTGGAAACTGTTGAGCTTGGAAGTCTGAGGTTAGATATGGCTTCGTGGATGGGGAAGTCATGACCCCTTCATGCTTTGTATGTTACAAACTTTAACCATTTATTTCTCTCTTAGGTGGTCTTATCTATCTTCTTGACCTGTATACTAATGGTACAAACCCAGTGGTGCGGGAAAGGTCAGCGGAGTTGTTTGCGAAGATGATGTCGGACAAGCTAATTGGACCAAAAGTCAAGATCGTGTTGTCCAAATTCCTGCCCGCCATCTTTATGGACGCCATGAGAGATAGCGCACAAGCCAGTGTGCACATGTTTGAAGGTAAGAAATTACTTGTAGTCCCTATACAGAGCAGATGCGCTCTCGCCACACCCTCATATTGCGATCAGTCATTTTTTAACTGCTCCTCATACGGTTATCTCGCCCCTCGTGCAAAGAACGTAAACAAACTGTACTGCAGGGCTAAGTAACGAACTCCATCATTCTCTTTGTGTTTGTCTGTTTGTTGTTCAGCAAATCAGGAGAATCCGGAGTTGATATGGAATACAGAAGCCAGAGAGAAAGTCTGTTCGGTGGTGAAAGAGCTGAAAGACAGGTAAACCTAACTGAGTTTTATTCTCGAACCTTAATGAACCTTAATGAACCTTACATCGCATATTCCTTAGACATGCATTAACAAGAACAACAGAAACAACCTTCTTTATTCGTATGAAACTGTTTTTCTGGAAGACAGGACAATGTGCTTTAAAAGCGACATACTCAAAACAAAGGCAGTTCTAAGCTGTCATTCCTTTGTACATGGAAACTGAAGAGACAAGCCAGTCGGGTTCCCCCGTTTAAAAATGAATGTGATGATTATTAAGGTGACATTCTGAAAAGCAGACCCATTTCCTATCCACCTTGGTCGGAAGTCACTGGAAGTAAGTTGCTCAGTCCAACTTTCCAAACATGATTCGGAGAAAAGATTGCGTGACAAGGCTTTAACTCAGCCTTGACATATAGCTTTAGTGCCATGTTGATTGCGTTACTTTTCGTCTTGCAGACATTATCAGGAGCAGAAAGACAATCCCGACATCCAGTGGAAGGTGAGTATTGAGCCAACCTTCGTTTTACATTTAATCACTGGTATGTAGAAATTCTAGAAAGTTTGTTCCGCTTCAGAATTTTACATATTTTCTCTTTCCTTCTACTTTAGCTTCCTGACAACTTCGAAGTGATGTTTGACGAAGCTGCTGGAGAATTAATCGTGGGTGGAATTTACCTCAGATTGTTCATACAGCAACCGGCTTGGGTAAGTAGTTTGAATCACGTTCGGTTTTGTTGACATGAAAGTCATTTTTGGGCAAATTACTTTTAAAGGAAGCCGAACTGTGGTTGGTTTACAGTAATCTGACGGGTGAAATTCGTTGAAACTCCCTCTGAATTGTAGTTGGCAGAACTCATGAATTAGAAAAATTAGAAAAAAAATTTAGAAGTTTAAAATTGCAGTGAAGTGGCATCTAACGTCCAAATCACAATGTATTGTATTTTACGTTAAGAAAGGGTCTTTCTTTCGTTTAGCTCGATGGTGAGTACATTTTCACTTTTACCTCAGGTTCTGCGGAAGCCAAAAGAATTCCTTGTTGCTCTTCTACAGAAGTTTATTGAACTACTCTCAAAGTCTTCTCATGTAAGTGTTTCCTGTACCTTCAAATTTATTTTTAACCTCTTCTCTGATGTGATTCATCTATCTTTTTTTGTTTTTCGTACCATTATTGTCTTTGGTGTGAACCTGTCTGACCACTTGTGCATGTATCTTGTTTAACTTGTCTGACTGGTTGAATCTTACTTAACCTGTTTCAGGGTGAGACTCTGGAGACTGTTACCCAGGCCGCTCTATGTCTTTTCACTGCGCAACCACAACTTGGAGACCAGGTATTTCTTAAAAGACTGACAGAAAAGATAACAATCTAGATCTGGGATCTTTTCGATGTTTAGATCTATAAATTCGCACCATACCCCTGTTTTGTTGATATGTTCGATATCTAGACATCCACCGTTATGGATTTGCTTTTCAACATGGCAACTTTACGATTAGTCTGAAAAAAATGCGAAAACTGTGAGCGAGTGTAAAGAAGTAGTGTTATCTTTAGGTTCCAGGTCTCGGCCACATTCCTAATTTAGTCAAGGGTATGAGCTCCAGTAATGATGCAGTCATCAAGTCCGCTGTACAAGTGGTTCATTTACTCTCAGCTAATGAGGTGAGGCGGGTTGTCAAGGGTGAAATATCATTTCCCTAAAAAATCACGATTAGGTACTGCAAAATCGTACCAGTAAGTTCACGTGAATCCTGGGAGGATGGCAGGTAGCTGAAACTGGATTTGGCAATCGTCAGTAAAGCAATTTTATTTCGTACATCCGTTTGCTAACGCGATTGTTTTTTTGAAGTTAACTTTGTATTTGCATAGAAGAAAAATTCAGAAAGTGTATTACCGTATGTATTCGATTAAACGCCGCCGTCGAATAGACGCCGTCCTCGAATAAACGCCGCATTTTAAAGCGGAAATATTAATAGACGCTGCATAATCATGCGGTGTTTAATCGAATAATAGACTCAAAAAGCACACTGCGATCATTGCTTCGATCACAGTTGGAAATTTTGAGTGAAACAGACACAAATCCTTTTGAATGTTCTGATGTCGGGAAAGCATATTCGACGTAGTATCTTTATTCAGTTTACGTATTGCAGTCGTATTAACATGCAAATTGTGAAATTGAGAACAATATAAAAAATAACTTTCAAGACAAAAGCTGAAACACGTTTCTGTTTTTTTAATTAAAATGGTCAGTTACCCTTCTATTGTTTGGATTATAAATAAACGCCGCACTCGAATCACGTAAAATTTCATAAACGTCCCCGCGTTTAATCGAATAAATACAGTAAGCAACAGATATCATTGCAATAGCTGAACTCTATGATTAAGAATCTCATTTAAACTACAATTTTACACAAAGTTTGTGGATACCCTGCAAGATAAGTTTCACCTCCCCCTTTCCTCCTACCGGCGGTGAATGCCACCAGAATTCAAACTTCAGTGGCATAGAAATCTAATTCGCGTTGTGCGACCAAGTGTGTGGAATATAACAGAACATTTCAATTACCGTGTGGATACTGTTCAACTTTGAGGGGATGTTCATCGCAAAATCCTTGCAGATGAAAAATTTCGCCCTGTTATAGAAGATCCTGAGATTTCGTAAGGGGGGGAGGAGCTTGTTAGATTAGCTGGGGTTATTAGAGAGATCTACGTAGAAGTATTGTAACCACAAAGTGTTAAGCCGAGAACTATGGGTAGGAATAATGGATTGCAAAAAAATTCTCCAATTGCAGATTTGTGTTCGAAGCATGGCCCAGGTGACTGATTGCATCAGTCACGTGATCAAAGGAATGGACGCGAGACCAGATGTAGTGGGTTTGGCTTGTGAAGCGCTTCACAGAATGTTCGAAAAGAATCACACAGAGCTTGTTGCGCAGGTAACGAAACTGAGAAATAACTTCCATGTCGCACAAGAGGTGTTATGACATACTGTGTAGATCTGAATTCAAAATCAGTGGATTAAACTCCAATCTCATTCCGAGGCTCATCTCTCTTCTTTCCTCGAGCAGGAACCCTGGTTATGACTATTTACGTGCCTATAAAGACCAAAGAACGCTGTTGAGAGGGTGGGTCCTATCAGCGGAAGGGACCAAGCGCGATTGCTTTTTAAACTGTTTCCCCCAACTCTTATTTTAATTACGGATGAAAATTTTACGAAGGAGCGCCTCCTTCGATTTGGATTTTTTGTTATCCCGCAAATTCTGGGACACACGTGACCAGCAGCAATTAAAATCCTCTCTCTTCCGCGAGAAAGAGAAGAGGATTTTGGGAAAGAGGTTAGATTTGACTCTAGTGGTTGACCATTGACAAGAAAGCTTCTGTAGAGTACTTTCAAGTGGCCCTGTTTATCATGCAGTGCAAAGGGGCTAAAATGTTACATTTGTGGCCAAAACTCTAGTGTGCAACCATTTAAATTAAAGCCACTAAGACGTGCTTCCATGTGGTACTGATTATTAACTCTCTACACCTTAACATCAGTATGCATATTCTCCTTACTTTCCTTCATACGTTTCATAAGCTGCTAACAAGGAGAATTTGTTTTATTCAATTAACAACCAACAGTTTTAGCTGGTGATCATTTCCTTTATTCTCATGACCTTCATGTTTGACTCATGGGTGATATTATAAGGAGATATTAGATGCTAATCACTCGTAGGGTTTAAATGGTTAAGCTATTTAAGCTGTTTTTGCTTTATATGTAGTCCTGGGGTGAAACCCCATGTGACCATTAAAACGAAAGCTCCAGAGCAGCGCTTTCTCTGAGTGAAATCATGGTATGCGGCATCGAATGAAGGCTTTAAGGGGAGTATCTCTCTCTGCCTGAGAATAAAACTAATTTGTTTCCCTTGTTTGTGGACTCTATTTTCCTGTTTAGGCGCTCAAATTTGAGTTAGTCCAGTATCTTTTAAACCTTCTGAACGGAGCGCTCAAAACTGTAGAGAATCCTGCAGCCACCAAAGCTCAAATTGTCAAGGCTCTGAAGGCGATGATACGTGACTTGACCCACGGCGAGGAGGTAATATCCGATAAGAAAATCTTTCTTTTTGTAGGGTGAATTTTTTTTATTACAAAACCAGTTAATGTTACTGTGTTATTCGTGATAACTTAGTAGTGTCAGGTGAGTTAGAACTATGTCTGAGAAATGCCAAATACTGCTTTGCTATTGGAGAAAGAAGAGGCTGTGTAGGGATTAGCGAATTCATTGTTTCAGTTAAAGTTTGATTTTATTCTTCTTTTTTTTTTTTGTCCTATTACAGATCAACAAGATTCTGGAAGCTTCCACAGTGTGGGCCTCGTACAGAGACCAGAAACACGATCTCTTCATATCGGACAAACCTGTGGCTGGCTACCTGACAGGGGGCGCTGGAGTTGCTGGCTACCTGACAATGGGCTCTGGCAATGCGAGCACCATGTCCAGCGTGCCCCCACCTGTGGACCGAGTGGAGAATGGTAGCTGATGTCACGTGACATTGGATGGTGCCAGTCAATAGTTAATTAGGCAGGCTGTGTTTACTCGAGCGTGACAGAGGATACTTTGTACTTCCTACATCACCAAAACCATTACAAATGTCAAAGTTTTTTCATAAATTATTTATTATATTAATTTTTGTTCATGTTGCGAATTCTTATCCAGATGATTTACAAACTTTTTCCGAATGGAAGGCTGTTCGCAGTTTTCGTAACTGATACATTCAGCTAGCGGATTTGACAAAATTTTGCAACAGAGTTTCGTCCAAGGAATCATGTGTTTACTGCGTTTTTCAGCGGTTAGCACAACTGAATTTTTTTTCTTTTTCATATGTAAACCTTCGCCGCAATTCTGGAAATTCTCTTCCTTTTTAACTTTCAAATATACTTGTAATTATATTTTAGGCAACTCGCTATAGAATTCCCGTAAATCTTCTCTACTTTGGTGATTGTATGAAGGGCTAAAGGACACATTGCGTGACTCACGGTATGAAACTTTGGTGCGTCACGCCGCATTCTGGCACGCTCATTCGAACACAGCCTTTTGTTAAGAATTGACGCAAATATTCTTTAGTGATAAACATTGCAATTCTGCACAAATCCAATCGGGTTTGTCGAAGCCAGTTTCCAAATTTAGATTCATTCGAAAAATCCATGTTTCGTGATATTTTATTTTAACTGAAAATGTCGCAAAGAAAGCTTAAAAACATAATATTCAAGTCGAAGTAGATCATCTGTGGCGTCGATTTGCGTTTCATGTTGTTGAAATATTTACGGGTAGCCAGAAATTAGTACAAATTAAGAAACAAGTAATTTATTTTAATTTTCACAGAAAATAAGTGGTTATAGTTCTCTCTCATTTGGTAAAGTCACGAAACAAGGTCACGTTTAGCTCATTAACCCACAGGATCGTTTAAAAATTCCCTTTTCCAACAGCCACACATTTTCCCGGAAATGGGCGAGGAGAATTTAATATTTTATCACAGCTGATCAGTTTGTTAATTCTTATCACCTGTTTTCTGGGTAAGGAATTGACCTTGCTAGCAGAAGCTATCTGTATCACTTCGACTAGTTTAAGCGATCACTCAGAGTAAACCACAAGGTGACTAATTCAAGAAATTAAGATTTAGGTACATTCTATTCGGAAAATCGAAAAATTGCCTTTTTTTTTTGTAAAACTTTGATATTTTCAATGTGTTTAGAGAGATTTGAAATTGCCAGCCAGTTCTTTTAATTGTAGCATGCGAGATTTGTGACTTATAACAAAATCTCAAACCAGACGAGAACATAGCAAACGGAATTTAACGGTTTTCTGAAATGTTTGCAAATTTTCTGCAGGATCCAGTCATCCTAAAAATAAGACATTAGATCTATCACAATTCAGTTGAATCCATGACCAGTTAAAACGCTCTTAAGCGCGGGAAAGTGCATAGTAAGTTGAAGTAGACCTGCGAGAGAAGCAAATTTTCTGTGGAAAATAATTCACCAGTAAAAAACAGTGCTCTTTTGTTTTACCGACACTAATTAAATTGGACGTTAATTCGGTAAAATTAGGTCAATGTATTATAACAGAAAAGTAGAACTTTCTTTTTTATTCTAAATAGATCAAAGTCGAGAAATATATTTTAAAAAAATGGCATGATTGTTTGAATAAACCATATTTGGAAAATTTTCTTTTGTTTTTCATTCGCTACGTAGTCTCTTCGAACTACCTTTTTGCAGCAGCAATTAGTGGCCAATTTTGGGTTTTAAGCATGAAGTAATAGTACTTACAGTTCTGATGGGGAGGGGGGTATCGAATTTCGAATCCCCCGAACCTCAGTTGTAGAGCATCGGAGCGTGAAATCCAAATATTTGACGATTGAAACTTCATGGGGTCTCAGAACTTTTTTTCTTTAATTTGTCCCCTGCTCGAAGCGAGACGAATGACACAACCTTCACATCCATTTTTCTTCTTTTATTGTTACCTATTGTCAGTCGTAACTCTTTGGAATACTGTACCTCGATACGCCTTTGGGCTGGTCACTTTGTCGATAAAAAGTAACTCAGTGCCCATGTTGCTCTATCCATGTGCGATTTTGATTCATTTTGCGTACTTTTAATCTTATTTTTCCTTCATGGGAGAGTAACAATGCTTCAATTTCTTCTTATTTTTCCTTCACCGGTGCATTGCAGTGTGTCATCATCATCTTTACGTTCTTTTTGTTACCCTTCCTTCGTAAGAGCGTAACAAACAATTGTTCGTTTATTCACGCAATTTCTAATTGAGGCCTTCAATATTTCTTAATTCCTTAATGAGATCTTATGTTTTTTTATGATATCAGTCTTGCAATTTAGCTCTTTTCAAATGTCGGAGTAATTTGCTGGTCCTATAGCAGTTCCTAACATCCAATTTCTGTGATCTTTTTTCCCTCTTTTTGTATGCTAATCAGTCTCTCACAATGCCTTTCACTGAATAGTTGGCTGAGCGTGCAAACAGAACTCCGTGCCAAATCTGTGACGTAGCGGCCGCTTATTGGCTGCAGTTGTAATCCATATTCATCAGAAGTACAATTTTCAGCAAACAACGCTGCTCGTCGTACAGTGAAGACTTGCTTAAATTTCGGTTGTGCAAAACAAAACGTTGCACTATGGAAGGAAGGCACTGGACTGGTAAAGAAGAGAAATGAAAGCACTTTTATGATACTACAACAGCAGGTGAGCATTGTCTTTGGAAAATGTCGCCTTGAGCTCATTAAGAGATGTAAACCAGTCGTATTATCTTAGTTCAGCACGAATCAGTTGCCCGGTCTGAGTGGCTCTTCGACTCGAAACTCGACCGAAATAGGGTGTTGGCAGAAACTTATAATTGTAAAATATTGTTGGAGAAACGCTCATATAAAAAGGTTTTGCTCACTAAATCTATTGGGGACTTAACATAATCATTTTGTGTTTGGATGCAGCCACGTGCAAGGTTAAGACTCTTCTACTCAGTGTCCTTTGCTTTAATTATAAATAACATTTAAAAAAAGTTTAGATGTTTTCCCTCTGTTATAATTGTGGCAAATAGCAAAACAATTTTGCAGAATTTTGTTTTTAGTTTTCTTCCTCAAAGAAAGTAGGCATTCCCTGATCACATTCATATTTTCTTCTTTCACAGGAAGAGCAATGTTGTCAGAAGGATGGAAGAACGAAGACTCTAGCCAAGAGATGACACTGGAATCAAAGACTTTTACGTGGATACTGCAAAGATAAGAACTTTTAAATTATTCAGTAATACTAGCAAAAATGGAGGCTTTATGTGTTTAACTATTTTACTAAATCTACGTTCTTTCACCAATTGTCCTAGAATCATGAATAAATGTTTAGTAAATAGTTTTCAATGGCTACCATTTTTGGGATAGTTTATCGTGTTACGGACTGCCATGCAGACCCTGAGCGATCATTTGATTTATGTGAACTGCCAGCTATAATTTGGTGTAATTTCGCTCAAAAAATCTGAAACAATCTTTGAATTTAGGACAAAAAACAACTAGAAACCGATATAATCCTGGCCTCGAAAAACTGACATTTGAATTCTTATTTTCTCGCGTAAACTAACGTAACAATCCAATAGAAGAGAATCTTAAAAGCGTGCGTGATACTAACATTACAATCCAATGAAGGAGAATCCTAAAAGTTCGCAAGATACTAACCTAACAATCTAATGAAAGGGAATCCTAAAAGTGCGCGAGATACTAACGTAACAATCCAATGAAAGAGAATCCTAAAAGTGCACGAGATACTAAAGGTGCGCGAGACACTAACGTCACAATCCAATTAAAGAAAATTCCTAAAAGTGCGCAAGATACTAAAGTTACAATTTTAATGCAAGAAAAGAGTAAAGGTGTGCGAGATACTATCGTAACACCCTAATGAAAGAGAATCCTCAATTCAATGAGAGAAAATCCCAAGACTACGAAAGATGTTAACGTAACAATCCACTGAAAGGGAATCCTTAAACTACGCGAGATACTAACATAACAATCCAATGGAAGAGAATCCTGAAAGTGCGCGAGAAACTAACATAACAATCCACTGAAACAGAATCCTAAAAGTGCGCAGGATACTAACGTAACAATCCAATGGAAGAGAATCCAAAAAGTGCGCAGGATACTAACATAGCAATCCAATGGAAGAGAATCCTAAAAGTGCGCAAGAAACTGACGTAACAATCCACTGAAACAGAATCCTAAAAGTGCGCAGGATACTAACATAAAAATTCAATGAAAGAGAATCCTAAAAGTGCGCGAGATACTAACGTAACAATCCAATAAAAGAGAATCCTAAAAGTGCGCAAGATACTAAAGAAACAATTTAATGATATAAAACAGTAAAGGTGCGCGAGATACTAACGTAAAAATCCAATTAAAGAGAATCCCAAAAGTACGCGAGATACTAACATAATAATCTAATGAAAGAGAGTCCTAAAAGTGCGGGAGATCCTAGCATAACAATCTAATGAAATAGAATCCTAAAAGTGCGCTAAATACTAACGAAACAATCCAATAAAAGGGAATCCTAAAAGTGCACGAGATTCTAACGTAACAATTTAATGAAAGAAAAGAGTAAAAGTAAACGAGATACTAACGTAACAATTCAATGAAGAGGATCCTAAAAGTGCACGAGATACTAACGTAACACTCTAAAAAAAGAGGATCCTAAAAGTGCACGAGATACTAACGTAACAATCCAATGAAAGAGAGTCCTAAAAGTGCACGAAATACTAACGTAACAATCTAATTAAAGAGAATCCTAAAAGTGCGCAAGGAACTATTGCAACAATCCAATGAAAGAGAATCCTAAAAGTGCGCAGGATATTAACATAACAATTAAATGAAAGAGAATCCTAAAAGTACGTGAGATACTAACGTAACAATCCAATGAAAAAGAATCCTAAAAGTGCGCGAGATACTAACGTAACAATCCAATGAAAAAAAATCCTAAAAGTGCGCGAGATACTAATATATTAATCCACTGAAAGAGAATCCTAAAAGTGTGCGAGATACTGACAAAACAATCCAATGAAAGAGGATACTCAAAGTGGACGAGATACTAACGTAACAATCGGATAAAAGAGAATCCTAAAAGTGCGCGAGATACAAACGTAACAATCCTAAAGGTGCACGAGAAACTAACGTATCAATCCACTGAAACAGAATCTTGAAGGTGCACAGGATACTAATGCAACAATCCAATGAAAAAGAATCCTAAAAGTGCGCAGGTTACTAACATAACAACCCAATGGAAGAGAATCCTAAAAGTGCACGAGAAACTAACATAACAATCCACTGAAACTAAATTCTAAAAGTGCGCAAGATACTAACTTATCAATCCAGTGAAAGAGAATCCTAAAAGTGCGCAGGATACTAACATGACAACCCAATGGAAGAGAATCCTAAAAGCGTGCGAGATAACAGCGTGACAATCTAATAAAAGAAATTCCTAAAAGTGCGCAGGATACTAACGTAAAAATCCAATGAAAGAGAATCCTAAAAGTTTGCGAGATACTGACGTAGCAATCCAATGAAAAAGAATCCTAAAAGTGTGCGAGATACTGACATAACAATCCAATAAAAGAGAATCCTAAAAGTGCGCGAGGTACTAACGTAACAATTCAATGAAAGAGAATCTTAAAAGTGCGCAAGATACTAATGTAACAATCCACTGAAAGAGAATCCTAAAAGTGCGCAAGATACTAACGTAAAAACCCAATCAAAGATAATCCTAAAAGTGCGCGACATACTAACAATACAACCCAATCAAAAAGAATCCTAAAAGTGCACGAGATACTAACGTAACAATAAAATATAAGAGAACTCTAAAACTGTACGAGATACTAACGAAACAATCCAAAAAAAGGGAATCCTAAAAGTGCGCGAGAAACTAACGTAACAATCCAATAAG